CCGTGAGTCAGGAGTGTCCTGACTCGGAACAGACCCACGAGGATCAATAGTGAGCTATTGTTGGCCGTTCTTCAGCAGCTCTTGTCATTTTATTTATACACATTATTTGCTGTTCTGCTGATTTATTGGGAGGAAAAAACCTTCATTCTTCTCCCCAGAAGAGCCCTGCTGGCTTTCTTTATGTCAAAGCTTTGTTATTTCTGTTAGGTAAATGGGATAATAATGCTGCTGTGGACAGTCTCTAATAATCTGAAGCAGAAATTGCCAAAACAAAGCCTAGCTTGTGTGTTGGGTTTTTTTTGTTTTTGGTTGGTTTTTTTTTTTTTTTTTTGTGTGTGTGTGTGCTTACTTAACTTTGGGTTGCTCTCAAGTTTGGAAGAGGATTAATTATTGATGTCTCCTGGTTACCAGGCCAGCTTACCACCACTGCTAGTTTAGTTTAAAATAAAGAAGCATTCTCAGGGCTGTCACAGGCAGATAATGGTTAGAAAGACAAAGTTTTTTGGGGTTTTTTTGCCAATTTTGGTGTTCTTTTGAATTTTAAGAGCTCCCTTGAATGCATTAGGATGGTTATTTAGATGATATAATTATCTTTCAGTGTGCTGTTCCTGCACATCTTTAAATATCTGAGTGGAATGTCAGTTTTGGAGCTGGAATTGCCCATTCTGGCCTGCACCAGGTGCTGCTGTGCTTGATTACAGCTGGGGCTGGGTCTGGAGTTAGAAATGGGAAAGGGAAAACCTCTGTGTGCCCCTGGGAAGTGTGTGAGGCTGCCAGAGCTGGCTGGAAGTGGTGGTGTGAGCTGAGTGTGAAAGGCAAGAAAAATACCCCAGTGCCCTGCTAGGCTTGGCCTGGCGTGTCAGAGCCAGGGGGAGCAGGCTGAGTTTTGGGGGGTAAGAATTTCCTACAATCATGGAATTGTAAAGGTTGGAAAAGTTCATCAAATCCAACCTTCAGCCGTTGTGGTCACACCAGCCCCTGTCCTCTAGAGCCACAGCCACACATTGTGTGGACACTTCAGGGATGGGACTCCACCACTGCCCTGGGCAGCCCCTTCCAGTGCTTGACAACTTTTCTGTGAAAGAAATATATTTTCTATATATTCTGTATTCTATATATTCTGTATTCTATGTATTCTGTATTCTATATAGTCTTAATTTCTTTGTAGAATTTCTTATAAGTTCTTGTAGAATTTCTTATACATTCTTATTCTTATATTTATAATATTCTATTATATTATTATTTTTATTTCTTAATAGAAATTATTATATAGAATCTATTCTGTATAATTTCTGCATTTTCTTAATATCCAACTTATCTACAGCACTTAGAGTTTTTTTGGCAGGTAAAGCCCCCAGTGTGGGCCAGGTTTCCCAAGGGAAGGTTCTGCCACTTGTGAAAGAAGCAGGATGAGGAGGCAGAGCTGCAGGCACTGCTCCCTGCAGCCAGCTCAGAGCCCATTCCTGCCTCTTGCCAAACTTGGCATCCAGCACATGGCACAGCTGGCATGACAGGGATCTGTGAGCTCTGTCTGAGCTCAGGGTTCGCCTCCAGCCATTTTCTAATGTTGGTTCTGTGTTGGCTCCCCCCTGCAGAGCTGCCCCAGCCCTGGAACAGCAGCAGGAGGACGTGGAGCTGCTGCAGCCAGGCCAGAGGAGGCCACGGAGATGCTGCCAGGGCTGGAGCCCCTCTGCTCTGAGCCAGGCTGGCAGAGCTGGGGCTGCTCCCCTGGACAAGAGAAGGCTCCAGGCAGAGCTCAGAGCCCCTGGCAGGGCCTGAAGGGGCTCCAGGAGAGCTGCAGAGGGACTGGGGACAAGGCCTGCAGGGACAGGAGCCAGGGAATGGCTGCCAGTGCCACAGGGCAGGGCTGGGTGGGAGATTGGGCAGGAATTGTTCCCTGGCAGGGTGGGCAGGCCCTGGCTTGGGGTGCCCAGAGCAGCTGTGGCTGCCCCTGGATCCCTGGCAGTGCCCAAGGCCAGGCTGGGCAGGGCTGGGAGCAGCCTGGGCCAGTGGGAGGTGTCCCTGCCATGGCAGGGTGGCACTGGATGGGCTTTAAGGTCCCTTCCCACCCAAACCATTCTGGGATTCTGTGATTCCAACTGAGAAATGGGAGATGAGCAATGGACCTGCTACAGTCTCAGGCTTTAAGAACAGACTCCAGCAGGTCACAAAATGTTCCTGGTTCCTGTAGGAGCAGGAGACACTTTTGCAGTTATTCTGCAGTGCTTGGCTCAGCTTCCTGGGAAGATTCTGGCTGAAGTGCTCCTCTCCTTCCCTGCCTGCCCGAGGCTCCTGGCCTGGAAGGATCTGTAGGATTTACACTAGAGGGTGTAGTAGCTCAGCCAGAACCAGGCAACCATCTTCTGGGAGCATGTTCTCCATCCCCCAGGGCTTGCTCCCTGCCAGGGGAACTGCCTGTCTTGTTTTGAAGTAGCCTCCTAACCATGCACACGGGCAGCTCTGACCTGTTTAATCACATCACTCGATAGAGAAGCTTTAAAAGTGTCATTTTTTTGCCAAGGCAGGTGGGTTTCTACACCAAGAGCTACAGCACAGATTGGTGTTTTCTGGGATGGTGCCTAGAAAAAAGGATAACATCTAAAGGAGCAGCCTGCTAAGCATATTGATTCGAGGCTGGGGCTGGCTTTGATGTTTGAGGATCACCAGAGGATTGGCAGGAACCCCAAAACTCTCGGTGCAATTTCGTAGCTTTGAAAGGAGCTTTTGAAAACTGCAAGTGGAGCTGGCCCTGGCAGGTTGAGGGAGGGGGGGCCATGCACATGTGCCAGTGGAGCAGAGAGGATGTGGAAAGAGGATTTAGTGGGATGTAGCACTGTTCCCACCCTTTTTTTGCCCACCCTCACGGCTCCAGGCTTCCCAAGGTTCAGGTGTTGTTGACGTGATCCCTGTGTTGCACCCACGCTGCTGGTGTGCTCCCAGGCTCTGGGGACAGTGGTGCAGAGCCCTCCATGGCCCTTGGAGATCTGCAGGAGCAGGAATGAGTTTTCCCTCACTGCTGCTGGATGTGTCAGGAGTTCCCTTTCCTTCCTGTCTGGAAGCAGGTCCATAAATACAAACATGCTGAGTGAGGGGCACGTTTGAGCTGGGTCTGAAACATGGAATGCTTGGTGTGGGAAATCTATTCCGTGTTTTATTGCAGGGATTGTCTGTGTGGTAGCAGAATGTGGGTGCCTTGGAGGTTTGTGAAAATTCTGTTCTGGCTGAGCACTGAGGCTGATGGGGTTTTCTGTCCAGGACTGGGAATCTGGAGATTGCAAATTCTCATCCTGACTTGGCTGAAGTGCTTTTTCCATCTCTGAGACGACTAAAACCCACCTGCTTCAGAGCAGGATGAAAAGATTATTGAATGTGTGTGAAGTGCTTTGAAAGCGTGTGCTGTAAGGAGGAGGGAAGAGCTGCCTTCAGTCCTAAAAGCGTCTTTTCAAGAGCTGTAGAGGGGAAAAATAGGTCTCTCTTTAAAGTCGAGGTCCTGAGTATGCTGAAAGACATAAAAGAGGCATAATACAGCTCTTCATAAATATCTTAAGGTAGGCAGCCCTGGTTTGCTGGTTTGATGCTGTCAGGGGGTGTTTTGGAGGTGGATGTTTTTGAACCCAGAGCAGAAAGCTGCTTCCAGGTCTGGAGCTCTGGGCTCTTTTGTCTGCACTGATCACAGAATCCTGGAATGTGCAGAGCTGGAATGGACCCAGAGGGATCATCCAGCCCAGCCCCTGTCCCTGCACAGCCACCCCAACACCCCCACCCTGAGCAGCCCTGAGAGCTCCTGGAGCTCTGGCAGCCTTGGGGCCGGGACCATTCCCTGGGCAGTGCCAGCACCCTCGGGGGCAATAACCTTGCCCTGAGCTCCATGCCAAGCCCTGGCACAGCTCCACCCACTCCCTCAGGTCCTGATCCTTGTGTTCTTGTGGGATGGGAAGAGCCAGCCAGGCTTTCAGCACCCTGCCTGAAGTACTTTGTTCTGCAGTTTTCTGATGTGGTCCAAAGCTCCTGGAGAAGTTTTCTGGCTGTGTGGATTCTCTATCTGGGTGTACAAAGCTTTGCTGGTTAGACCTGGATCAAAGCTGTGGAAGGTGTCAGGGACAGAATTCTGCTCCTCTGTGTGACTGGCACAGTGAGCTGCTGCAATACTGTTGGACTCAAGTCAAGTGTGGAGAAATCCTTGGGCTTATCTCCCCAGCTTTAACCCTGGATCCTGTCCCTGGTGCAGGGAGGCACTTCACCTCTCCCTTCTGCCCAAAAGCAGCCACAGGGGATGGCTGTGACCAGGGATGATCCCCCCGAGGGTGCTGGCACTGCCCAGGGAATGGTCCCGGCCCCAAGGCTGCCAGAGCTCCAGGAGCGTTTGGACAGCGCTGCCAGGGCTGCTCAGGGTGGGGCTGTTGGGGTGGCTGTGCAGGGCCAGGGGCTGCCCTGAGCATCCCTGGGGGTCCCTTCCAATCCAGGACATTCTGTGGTTCTGTGATACTCACTAAAACCTAAAGAGGCTCTGTAGAAGTTAAACCCCAGCTTGAATCACCCGTATGGTGAGGGCCATGCTCAGGTTCCTCACCCAGCACTCTGCTGGGGGCTGTGCCTGTTTGTGGGAGCAGCCCTGGCACAGGCTGGGATTTGGAGCCTTGGTGTGACTCACATTGCAGGCCATGTTCACACTGTGTTGTAGAAGGGATGAGAAAATGTCTTTCCCAGTGCATTTTCCTTCCTGGAACTGATGTTGTGCACGATCATCTCAGCAAAGAGCTTTCATTACAGTATTTGCTGCAGCAGAAGTGGAAGCCCAAGTGTTTTCAGTATCATTTCGCTGGCAGAGCAAAGCAGGTGTTCAGTGTTGGGTGCTCCAGTCCGTGAACTGGGAGGGGGCATCAATTCTGCTTTCCCCCCCACATCTGTGTTCAGGAGAATAATTACTAAAACGCCGCAGTGGATTTTATTTTTAACCAAGTTCTGAAATTAAGAGTGAAGAACCAGTTGGTGGTGAGGTCGGGATGTGTCCTTTCAGCAGTTTGGGGTTCGTGGTGATTTCCCTGTGCTGTCGGTTGGGGCGTTCCTGCGGGCGGGCAGGTGCAGGTGCCCTTGTGCCCAGATTTCAGTGTGGCCTCACAGGACACTTCCTATGTTTGGTTTTTCTGTGGCTGTGGGGAGATTCCGCCCCGCATCTGAGTCTCCCCACGTGGGGCATTTCCAGATGTGTGAAAAGCAGGAGGTGGGAGCAGATCTCCATCAAGCGAGCAGGATTTTGGGTTTGGCACAGCTGGAGTTGTGCCAGTGCTGGTGAGTCCCTGGCTCCTCTCCGCCCGCCCAGGAGCCCTGTGTCTGCAATCCCGGGATTGAAAAATTCCTCTTCCCTGACATTTGAACACTTCCTTTAATTTATGTTTTTGCTCTCCAGCCAAGCCCGCCGCGCCAGCGGGAAGCACAATTCCCTAATCCAGGGCTTCCCGGAGCGCGTTCTGTGCGCTGGGCGAGGCGGAGGCGCCGGGTGCCTCCCGTGGGCTGGGACAGGCAGCGACAGGCAGGGCCGGGCTGTGTCCCTGCCCTGCCACCTCCTGCCCCGCTCCCCGGGCTGTGTCCCTGCCCTGCCGCCTCCTGCCCCGCTCCCCGGGCTGTGTCCCTGCCCTGCCGCCTCCTGCCCCGCTCCCCGGGCTGTGTCCCTGCCCTGCCGCCTCCTGCCCCGCTCCCCGGGCTGTGTCCCTGCCCTGCCGCCTCCTGCCCCGCTCCCCGGGCTGTGTCCCTGCCCTGCTGGCCCGGGGCTGCAGGGCTGCGCGCTGTGTGTCGCGCTGAGGGATGGATGTTTGGGGAGCCGCTGCGCACAGCGCGCCGAGCTCAGAGCCAGCCCAAAGCAGCCGCGGGTGGGCAGTGGGGAGAGGAGCAGGAGGAGGTGAGGAGCTCCCCCAGGGTGAGGGCAGCAGTAGCAAAGAGGAGCGGGCTGGGGAAGCCCTTGCAGACACCCTGCACCCCGCCGGGCTGGGAGCCGCGGAGGGCGAAGGCGGGCCGGGGGCAGGTCCTGCCCCGGCCCCCACGGAGTGCTGTGTCAGCAGCCGCGCACCGCGTGCTGCCTGCAGCCCGGCCGGCCCCGGCATGAACAAATACCTGCAGTGCTTATCGAGCCCGGGCAGCTCAGGTAACTCTTTCTGAAGTTTTTGGCGTCCTGCGGGGTGAGGTGGAGGTTTGGGGGGTGCAGCTGGAGAGGAGAGGCTTGTCCAGGGTGGCTTTCACGTGGTCACCATTCATTGAGCAGGAGACCTGAGCCTGGGGTCACCTGCCCCTGGAATATGTGCACCGTGCAAAAAACCCACATTGGCTTTGGAGGGGTTGGTTTGTGAGAGTTTTCATTCCCCTGTGGATTTTGGGTTTTTACTGAAGAGAGGATTGTGCTGGGGGTGTTGGGTTCTGTGTTAAAAGGGGCTGTGGAGCTGCAGGTGTCTGAGACCTAAAGGAGCTGCAGAGTTTTAATTCCAGCTTTTGAATTGTTTAAAGCCAGACAAGTTTAAAAAAGCAGCTTAAGTTTTGCTTTTAGCCTTTCATACATCACAGCTGAAATGTTTTCATGTAATACACCTTGAAAGGTGCTTTTCTTTAGTTTTTAACTTTGTTTTCCAAGTGTCCAGTTGTGACTAAGTTGAAATAGTTGGGCTTCTCTTCTCTTCTCTTCTCTTCTCTTCTCTTCTCTTCTCTTCTCTTCTCTTCTCTTCTCTTCTCTTCTCTTCTCTTCTCTTCTCTTCTCTTCTCCTCTCCTCTCCTCTCCTCTCCTCTCCTCAGAATTTTTCACCCACACCAGTTAAAGAATCAGACAGGTGTTGAGAAGATAACTTATCTGGAGCATGCCAGAAAAAGGGTGGAAAATTAAAGGACTGGTTGGTGTTGCTGCTTGTGACTGTGCTGGTTGGAGTAAGTTTTCAAGGTGAAGTTGAATGAAGTCACCAAAATACTTGAAATATTTTTTTTTCTTTGAAAAGAAGACTTGCTCTGCTAATTGCATTTTTGAGTAGATCATTAGTTTTATCCAGTACTCTACACAGGAGATGTGGAAATGGTTTCTGGGCTTTTTGTCAGAGGAGAAAAAACAGTCTCTGTTAAGTTTGTTTTGGTTTTTTTTTTCCCCCAAACAGAATTTAAACTTTTCCTGTATTTTGAGGAGTAACTTTATAGCTAAAATGAGAGGAGGGGGTGGAAAGATCTCCAAAGAACCCAAACATTGAATATCCAGGTTTTCAAATGGTGAGACTCCTTCCAGCCTGTGCATGACAGGCTGTGGGGTCAGGGTGTATTTTGGGTGCCAGTCTTTGTCCTCTGCCTGTCCTGGCCAATCCAGCCAGTTGGGATTCTCACATTCTTTCCTAAATCATGGGAGAAATGTGCCAGTGGTGTGATTCCCTCTTAGGAAAATGTCTCAGACCTTGGTGCTGTTTTCCTGCAGCGTGGGTGGGACTGGCGGTGGTTCTGGGCAGAGAGGGGGGCAGTGGTGGGTGGGTGTGGGTGGGCCATCCTGTCCTGGCTTTTGCATCCCTGGCTGGAGGTGGTGTTGCTGTGTGAGGCAGTGACAGCCCCAGGTGTCCTTGGGGACTCCCTGTGAGGCCACCAAGAGGGTGAAGCTGCCATGCTCAGTGGCTTGAGGACCTTTCAGAGTTTGGTTTGCTGCACCAGAGACAAAACTGCCTGTGAGGAATGATTCTCACTTCCAAAAATGTAAAAGGTTTATTAAAACCTTATCAAAAATACAACAGAAGACTGAATAGAGAAAATATTATAGTGCCAGGAGCAGAGGATTTTTCCCACCATGTGCTCACCCACACAATGGAGGTTTCACCTTTTAACCCTTTAGCTCCTCCCAAAGTTCTGTCCATTGGCTCCTTCTTTGCTGTCCAGTGGTGGAGAACACTTCCTTGAATCTCAATTGGAGCTCAGGCGCTGCCATGGTAACAATCCCACCCTCCCAAATGTCCCAAACCCAGGCCACCCCCTGAGAACAGCACAAGGGGGGTAAAACACAACTATAAATCCATAAAACTTCTCTCAACATATATACAGGATATTTGCCTTTTAATTGGGAGAGTCAAGTATCACATTACTCATCAATCACATCCCCAAAGTTGTGTTGCCTTGAATAAATTGAGGAGGTGGGTTCTGCATCTCAGGCTGATTCTGTCTGAGCTGCTTTGTGGGATGTGCCCTGGTGAGTTTCCTGCTGAGTGGTTCCCTGATAACACTTCCAGCTCTGGAAGGACACTCTGGAGCTGCCCTGGCTGAATGAAGCCCCTTGGGCAGGTCCCTGGCTCAGGAGGTCAGGACTGGGGACAAGGCCTGCAGGGACAGGAGCCAGGGAATGGCTGCCAGTGGCAGAGGGCAGGGCTGGATGGGAGATTGGGCAGGAATTGTTCCCTGGCAGGGTGGGCAGGCCCTGGCTTGGGGTGCCCAGAGCAGCTGTGGCTGCCCCTGGATCCCTGGCAGTGCCCAAGGCCAGGCTGGAGCAGCCTGTCATGGTGGAAGGTGCCCAGGAATGAGATGGGCTTTGAGGTCCCTTCCAGCCCAAAGCATTCCATGATTTCTCCCTGGCACTGCCTGCCCTCCGTGTGGGATGGCTGAGCTGAGGAGACAGCTCAGAGCACAGTACAGAGGGGCTGTCTGGCTGCTCTTGTCCCTCAGCCCCTGGGGACAGGTGGCCCCACTGGCCACAACACCTGGGGAAAGCAGCACTGCCCTGCTGGCTCCAGGAGGCTAAAAATACCTTGGAGTGAGAGATGACTGTTCAGACGTTTTCTCAGCCTTGCTAATATCAGACTTTCTTTTCTCATATTTGCATCCTTTTTTCCATTAAAGAAATGACTGTAGAGGTTCATGATGTACTTTGAGGCTGTGGCACTAAATACCTCCCCTGGAGGGACAAATCCAAGGAGTGGGGTGCCCAAGGATTCTTCTGCCTCTCATGTATCTCAAACCTTGCTTCCTGCTGTTCCTTGACCAGCACAAGGTTATTCTGCTTTTAACACTTAATTTTATAATTAGATTTACTTTTTCAAAAACACAAAAAAGGAGCAAAACAAATCCTTGGGCTAGGGTTGAATTTAAAGTTGAAGAAACATTTCTCTTAGCTCCCCTTCCCTGCCCTCCTAACCCATTTCCTCTGGATGATTATTTGAAATGTACTATTTTAAATCTCAGTGTTAATTATTTCCAAGTGGTTGCATATTATTGTTAAATTAATTGTTGGAAATTTGTTTTGGGTCCTGGTGAATGAGCTCTGTGCCAAAACCTGCCATTTCTTGTGTGCTCTTTAATTCTGAAGAGTAGCAGAACTCAGGCTGCTGCTAAAACCTCTCTGAAACATTCTGTTCTTGAGGCACCACTGTCCCTTCTGTGAAGTGTTAAATGCAAAGCTCAGAATGATTTTCCAGTGGTGATAATTTTTCTGCAATCACAGGGGTTGTCCCTTTGCTGAGTGCTGGCACTGTAAACACAGCGAGCCCTTAAGCCAACAAAGCTGTTCCGATGACGTGGAATAAAAATGCCTTCATTTTTTCCTTTTCCAAAGAGTCTCCAAACAGCTCTCACCTTCCCCACCTCCCCATGAATGCACCTTTTGTTGCCAGCTGCAGGTGACCCAGGGCAATGGGTGACTTCAGCAGCAGCAGGGCTTGAAAATCAGAAAGAGCTGTAAGATCCTTGAGTCCAGCAGTCAGCCCAGCCACCATGGTCACCACTAAACATGTCCCCCGGTGCCACATGCACACAGTTTTTGAGCTCTTGCAAGGACAGGGGCTTTATCAGTGCCCTGTCAGGCTGTGCCAATGTCTGACAACCCTTTCTATCAAGAAATTTTCCCAATTTCCAATCTAAACCTCCCCTGGCCCAGCCTGAGGCCGTTCCCTCTGCTCCTGTCCCTGTTCCCTGGAGCACAGCCCAATACTCCCGGCTGTCCCCTCCTGGCAGGAGTTGTGCAGAGCCACAAGGTCCCCCTGAGCCTCCTTTTCTCCAGGCTGAGCCCCTTCCCAGCTCCCTCAGCCTCTTCTGGAGCTCCAGACCCTTCTCCAGCTCTGTTCCCTCCCCTGGACACCCCCAACCCCTCTGTGTCCTTCTTGTGTGTTCACTGCAAGAAATGTTCAATGTCTTTAGACCTGTGCTGGTCCTTCTGCAGCTTGGCCAGCAAAGCCTTTTGTTTGGAATTCCTAACTGCTGTAAATGTGAAAGTTTCTGATTTTTGCAGCCTTTCTGTCCTGCAGCAGCAGCTGAGTAGCTCTGTTGGATCTGGGAGAAGCCATTGTCATCCAGTTGTCCAGAGCAGCTGTGGCTGCTGCATCCTGAAGTGTCCAAGGCTGGATGGGGCTGGGAGCAGCCTGGGACAGTGCAAGGTGTCTCTGCCCATGGCAGGGTTGGCACTGGATGAACTTTAAGGTCTTTTCCAACCCAAACCAGTCTGTGATTCTGTCTTCCACATGCATTCAAGAGCTTGAGTCCTTTTCCAAAACCTGCAGGTTTGTGTGATCATTACAGCTCACCGGTCACACATTTGGGCTTTGCTGTGTTTAAAGCATCTCAGCTATGTGCTGTGGTAGGCTTGGACAAAAAAAAAATAATAGGAAGACTTTTCTCTGGAATGATTCACTGTAAAATAAGTTTTACCTTCACACAGGTGACCTTGTCCTCCCACTCTTCTTTAATGCCAGCTTTGTTTACTGCCTTGCCTGTTGCCCAAACTAGAAGGACCAGTGAGGAGTCTGGCTCAGAGAAGCTTTGTAATAATCCAGCTCCACCTTGGAACTGAAGCCTCATGTCCCTCAGTCATCCTGACAGTTACCAGGAAAAAAACCCATCAGCCTGGTTTTTTTAGGTAGAATCTTGTTCTGTGCTTCTATATTTTCTGTGCTGCAGTGGCTGATTTAAGCACAGCTCAGTTGGGTGTGTTCTAAAGCAGTTCTGGGTTAAATATAATGGTCACTGAGGTTCTGCATAGAGACCTCTGTGTCTCTATTAATATATATAAAAATATTAATGATATATTAATGTCAATAACTTGTTTAATATTAATAACTTGCTTTCTATAGTATTGATGGTAACCTCACCTTTTGTTTCCCAGGAGGGTTACTTCATATGTGTGAGGTACATTAATTTATTAAAATAGTTTGTACTTTAGAAAGTGTTTAGTTCACAATCCTGCACGGAGTTGGCATCTCCAGCCTCATTAGCTCGTGATTCCCGAGGGTCAGAGCAGACTGAGCTTTCCATCCCTCCACAAAGAGTTCTGCACTAGGAGTGCCTCCCAGGGCAGCTCATCCTGGTCACCCTGCGTGCCCAGCTTCCAGAGGGAAGAGGAATAAAGGAAAACATGAGGCAGAACCCCCTGAGAGTCAGATCCCAGGGGCAGGGAGAGCCTTCCCTTTCCTGCTCCTGGGAGTGTAGTTTGGCAGCTGAAAAGCTGATTTCAGATGGCAGGTGGAACATCTCTGGTTTGGAGACTTGTGTGCTTATGCCTCATCATATATGTTTACATATAAATAGATATAAAAATAAATATATAATTATATTAAATATAAGTAGTTATATATATATATAAATAAATACACACATATATAATTATTAGTTATATAAATATGAATAAACATAAATACAAAAATATATAAATATGAACATAGAAACATATATTTATTTGTATTTAATAGATTATATAAATAGATTTAGATTTCATATATAAATAGATATTTTTATTTTATATTTATTTATAGATTGTATAATTTTTATTTATAAATATTTTGTGTAAATGTTATATATTATATATATAAAGTTATATATTAAAATGATATATTTTTGTATATGTGTTTTTGTATAAATAAAACCCCTCCTGCCGTGTTTCTGCTGCATTCTCTGCAGATGCCTCCTGGCCAGAGGGGATGGTGCTGATGGGCATCCTGGAGCCACTTACACAAGTCTTTCATGGGCAGGCAGCCTTTGATCAGCAGTGCTGGAGAATCCATCAGGCCTCCCCCGCACTTCCACTGAGCTCCCTCCCTGCCCTGTCTCCCAGCCTGTGGCATGTCCTGAGGTTACAATGTGTGTTTTCATCATTCCTGCCACAGAAAATGTGCCAGGAGTTCTGTGCTGGAGAACAGCAGCCACCATGTCTGTGCTGGGGTTGCCCTCTGCTTTCCCTGATCCTGATAAATTTAAAATAGTTTGGTTTTCTGCATGTACAAGATGCCTTTTGTTTGGTTAGGGTTTGTTGCTTTTCTTTTTGGCAGGTCTCTAGATCCAGACTCTGTGTTCTCTGTTTGCAGGCCATCTGATATTTAGCCCTGCATGAATTATCAGACTTTCAGCTGTTCCCTTCAAATATTTGTGCTGCATTTTAGTTCTCAGTCCTGATTTAGAGAGCATTGTTTGACTCCTGCAGGCTTCAGTGCACTGATCCTTTCTGCCAGTGTGGAGCTGATGTTTCACACCATGGGCAGAGATGAGCTGTCTGTTCCTTCTCTCTTCCTAGGCTGATTTTATCCCTGACAATTCTGATAATCTGTACATAGCCTTGCCTTGCTGCTGCTGCTGTTTGCATACGGGTTTGTTCATGTTTTTGCCTTGTTACCTGCTTTTCTTCAAAGGTTTCTAACCAGGAATTGCTCTCCCCTGGTTTGTCACCTGCTCCCTCCCCGTGTCCCTGGCTGTGCTGGTGTCCCAGGGAGGAGCACACCCTGGGTTTGGAAATGTTCTTTGTGTCATCATTACAGCTCTCTGCAATAGCTGGAGGGGAGCTGCTTGTAGAAATAGCACCTTGTTCTTCTTTCCCCACGTTTGTGGCTCTGAGCAGGGCTCAGGCAGGCCCATGAAAGGTGGTGACATCACCTGCCATGGCCCAGAGTCCCTGTTCAATCAGGAACTAATTGGTTTGGGAAAAAAACTGGCAAACCCAAAGGGATAAAAAGTATTTTCTGAAACTGCTGCCTTTGTTTTAACCCAGCCTCTTTCATTCTGCTTCCTTTGGGGCCAGTTCTGCCAGACAGATCCTTTTCCTGCTGCCAAAGGAAGCTCTGCATTTATGTATCCTGTCCAAAAACCCCCAAACCTACCCCTGCCAACCCCAAAAATACCCCAAACCTCTCAGTCTAATGAGAATGGTAGAAACAGCTCTTTTAACACTGCCTGTTTCTGACTGTTACAAGAAATTCTCCCATCCCTCTTAGACCTGAGTGGTTTTTGATTTTCTGTTTTCTGTCTCTTCGCTTTTTGTTTGGTTCTTATGCATATCCATGTTGGAGAGGCAGTTTTGTACTGTCCTTGTAGCAGAGAACAAAAAGCTCCTCTGGAATGTCAGCATCCAGAGATGCTGTGATAAAACAAGGATTGAAAACAGTTCAGAGTCAAAAAGCAGCTGTTGATGTTCTTGAAGCTTCTGTCATTGTTGGAGTCCTGGAATGGTGTGGCTTGGGAGAGACTTCAAAAATCATCCAGCCACTCCTGCCATGGCAGGGACAGCTCCCACTGTCCCAGGCTGCTCCCAGCCCTGCCCAGCCTGGCCTTGGGCACTGCCAGGGATCCAGGGGCAGCCACAGCTGCTCTGGGCACCCCAAGCCAGGGCCTGCCCACCCTGCCAGGGAACAATTCCTGCCCAATCTCCCATCCAGCCCTGCCCTGTGGCACTGGCAGCCATTCCCTGGCTCCTGTCCCTGCAGGCCTTGTCCCCAGTCCCTCTGCAGCTCTCCTGGAGCCCCTTCAGGGCCTCTCAGGTCTCTCAGGAACCTTCTCCTGTCCAGGCTGGATGTGGAAGAGAGGCCATCAGAGGGACTTTTCTGGAAAGGGGAGTGTGGATAAAGGAAATATTTTGGGTGTTCGGTGTTCTTGCCTTGGTGGTTGCTCTGATGGTTGAGTTGTGTTGCCCGTTGTTTTTCCTTCCGACTAGCAGCTCTCAGTTTGTCATTTCAGATCAGAGAGGTTTTTCTGCATCTGCCATGAGGATCACTGAACCTTGAGGAATATTGGAGGCTTTTGGTGAGCTTTAGGTGTTGGCATTGGGAACTGAAATCCTAATCCACAGTTTCTCACTGGAATCCTCTTTCCTCTTTGGTGGCTGCATTGAATTTAGGAGATAGTTCTGTGCACATTCAGCTCCTCTTGGTCCTAATACAGTGATTATTCTTTGGTGCCCTGAAGAATTTTAATTTCTAGAGCTTTTCCATAAGTCTTAAAAGCACTTTGTTAACAGATCTTTAGTCCTGGGAGTAGGTTGTACAGTCTGGTTTAGTCTAGGCCAGAGAGCATCGCTGGTGGCTTTTGGTATCCTACATTTATTTATTCTGTGGTGCAGAATGTGGCTTTTGGTTGTGTCATTCAGTGTTGGAGTTTGATCAGAGCAGGCCCTGAAGAGATCTCATTTTAAATTTTACTCGAATTATTGGCAGTAAATGGTATTTTTTCTCTTTCCAGAACGAGGCTATGATCCCTACAACCCTGAGCTGCCCAGGCCCTCGCTGGAGGTGGAGGATGGCTTTCTGGCTGACATTACAGATGTCACACCTGGAATTCTGGAGCTGGAGCTGGTCAACAAGGCCATTGAGGCAGTGAAGAACGAAGTGGAGAGGGAGCAGAAGAAGTACGAGGAGCTGCTGGAAACCACAAAGGAGTTTGGTGCTTCAGAGGGCTCCTCACTCATTTCAAACACACCCGTGTCAGCTGCTGGGCCTCAGAATGAGTCCTTTGCCTCCTTGGAGTATAATCCAGGGAGTTACAACTTCAACAATAACTCAGACTACAACCCCACTCCTCTGGCTGCTGCTGGCCGCTCCAGTAAATACACTTTGGATTCCTCCCGCTCCAAGGGGAGCTCACTGGAGTACGTCCCCAAGGCTGTGGTGCAGAATAAAAAATACAGCAGCACTGTCACTAACAACAAATATGTGATCGACGACTCCAAGCCTTCCACAGACTTGGAATATGACCCCCTTTCCAATTACTCTGCCAGGCTGTTGGGCAAAGCCACAACCAAGGGGTCCAAAAGGGAAAGGGCCTCTGATTATGAGGACTCCTACTCTCCATCACGGAAGAAGCTCTGTGAAGATCCTGATGATGACGAGGTGTTGGCCAGGTTCTCCTCCTCTGAAGATGAGGCTGAGGTGGAATATAAAACAGCTTCTGGTAGTTCACCCTCAAAAGCTGGTTCTGAGAGTGAGTCAAACGAGTTCTCCAGCAAAGAGCAGAGCACAAAAGTGGATGGCTCTGCTTCCCAGGAGAGCAAAGAAGCAGCAAAGCACAGGGAGGACCTTCCAAATTCACAGAAAACCCTTGTCAAGAACTCAGCAGACAAGAACTCAAAGGCAGCGAAGTTGTGTTCTGGTAAGAACAACAAGGAGATTGAATATAAAAACAAAGACTCCAAAGACAAAACAAAAAAGAAGAAAACTGATGTTAGTAAAGCACCAGGCCTCAGTGAGGCTGGGAAGAAGGAGAAAAATAAAAATGCAGACAAAGACAAAGTGGTCAAGAAAGAAGAAAAATTAAAAACCAAGAATGAAGAGAAAAACTGCAAAGACAAAAGCGTCAAAGTGAAAACAGATGGGAACTTGAAGAAACCTGAAAAACAGAAGTCAGAAAAAGTGGATGGGTGTAAGAAAGAAAAATCCAAGTCCAGCAGCAGCAGTTCAGGAAAAAGCAAGAGCGAGGGTGTCTCCAAGGGCACAGAGAAAGTGGGGAGCAGCAAGAAGGATCCGCAGAGCAAAACCGCTGGTGTGAAAAATGGCAAGGAAAGCTCTGGTCATAAAAACAAGGAGAAAGGGACCAAGAGCTCCCTGGAGCGCAAGAAGGACAAGGTCAGTTGTGCAGGACAAGGAGACCCCAAGAAGGGTCGGAAGCAGCAGAGTTTGAGTCACGTGGACCTGTTTGGAGATGAGAGTGGAGATGAGGATGACAAAGGCCGGCCTTTGTCCTCCTCGTTGTTTGATGTGAGCTCGGACTTGGATGGGGCTGACTCTGGCTCAGCCTCTGACAGTGACAGGGACAGGACAAAGAAGGTGAAGCGCTCCAAGCTGTCCAAGTCATCATCATCTTCCTCAACATCTGATGACATTGATTATTCCATCCTTGAGAAAGATGTGGACTTTGAGTCAGATCCCATGGAGGAGTGTCTCAGGATCTTTAATGAATCTAAAGATGTGAAAACTGAAGACAAGGGAAGGCTGGGCAAACAGGTAATGCTGGCTTGGGGTTGTTGGTTCTCTCCCCTCCAAAGGTGGAAGGATTCTGGTTTGGTTTAGTGGTGCTGCTTATCTCAAGTAGCTGAAGAGGGAGACTCCATGTGTTGGAAGAATCTCTTCCTTGGTGTGGCTGAGTGCTTGGGAGTGTTTGCACCTGAATTTATCTGCAGGATTGAAAGCTACTTGAAATGCAAGGGTTCAGTCCCCTTTTGTGTGGGAGGCTTTCAGGGTTATCAATTACTTCTGTCTCCATCTGGCCTGAGAACCTTGGGGGTGTTGATGGCTGGAGAAAAGGCTGCAGGGAGTGAGTTTTGGGGGTTTCAAAGCCAATCTAAGGTTGCCAGCCTGGGCACTGCCTTCTTGTTGCAGCGTAGTTTAAGGAACATGGGGGCAGGTAGAACCTGGACAGGGTGTTGGTGTAAGTAAGTCCAGTATTTGTCAGTCCCTTTGGAGACTCCCCAGATTCATCTTTCCTATTCTAAATGCATGCTACAGGTAGTTCCTCAGGATCTCTGGATACCTTGTGGGTGGTGCAAGCAAGAAATGGAAGGTAAAATTTCTTCCAGTGGTACCAGGGGCTTCAGACTAAGGAAGTAAAAAAGTATTTACATAAAAAGAAAAGAGTTGAAGGGCCCATTATCTGTAGCAGGAATTACTGATCAGTGAATTCAGAAAGTGCTGAACCAGGGGCTGCCACTCACAGCCAGCAGTTAATTGTGGCCCGGGGTGACAAAGCTCAGTTGTCAGCAGCCACGTGTGGCTCCTTTGCATCCCTGTGCTGAGCTTTGGTTTCTGCTCCTTGGGGAAGGAGGCTCACTGCAGCACAGGGATCCTTCTTTGGGACACCCACCTGCTGTGGGTGGGATTGCTCGTGGGGCATTTTTTTTGTTTGTGGAATGATTTCCTGCATGGACCCATTGTGGTTTGACACTGGCCAAACACCAGGAACCCACAAAAGTCACTGCCTTGCCCTGCTACAGCTGCACAGAGGAGAGAAAAAGTTCAAACCAAGGGTTCATGAGTTGAGATAAGGACTAGAAGAGAATAGTCAAAGGGGATAACTTAGAGGTACAAAATGAGTTTATTGCTAAAAAAATCAGAGGAGTATAATAAGAAGTAAAGTAAGCCCTTAAAACACCTTTTTCCATCCCAGCTCCTCCCTCCTTCCCAAGACATCAGAGGGAGACAGAGCATGGGGGTTTGGTCAGTTCATCACTGAGATTTTCTTCCACTGCTCTGGGAGAGGAGTCCTTCCCCTGTGAGGCTGTGGGGTCCCTCCCAGGGGAGACAGCTCTCCATGAACTTCTCCAACGTGGGTCCAGTCTCGTGAGCAGCAGCCCTACTGCACCTGCTGCAATGTGAGTCCCTTCCACAGGCACACAGCCCCCCAAAACTGCTGCAGTGTGAGTCCCTTCCACAGGCACACAGCCCCCCAAACTGCTGTGGCATGGCTGCCATCCTCCAAGCACAGCCTGCTCCAGCCTGGCAGCAGGGTCCCTCTCTCTGCACTGGGTCTCCCACTGGAACACAGCCTCCTCCAGGCACCCACCTGCTCTGGCATGGGCACCTCTGCCACGGGCTGTGCATGGATCTCTGGATCCCCATGGATCTCTATGGGCTGTGGGTGGATCTCTGCATCCCCCATGGATCCCCACGGGCTGTGGGTGGATCTCTGCATCCCCTGTGGATCCCATAGGATGTGAGTGGATCTTTGCATCCCCTATGGATCTCTGTATCCCCTGAGGATCCCTATGGGCTGTGGGTGGATCTCTGCCTCTCCCATGGATCTCTGCATCCCCCATGGATCCCCACGGGCTGTGGCTGGATCTCTGCATCCCCTGTGGATCCCCACAGGCTGCAGGGGCACAGCTGCTTCACCATAGTCATCATCACAGCCTGCAGAGGAACCTCAGCTCTGGTGCCTGGAGCACCTCCTGCCCCTTCTTCTCCACTGACCTTGGTGTCTCCATGTCGTTTCCCTCACATGTTCTCACCTCCTCTTCTCTAGCTGGAATTAAAACTGCATGCCTCACTTTGTTTTGATTTTCTTCTTAAATCTGTTACCACAGAGGTGTTGTTACCATCTCCTCTAACTGGCCCAGCCTTGATCAGCAGCAGTCCATCTTCAGCCACCTCTGTGCTTCCCCCCACTACCAAACACCAGGCCATGCAAAACCAGCACAACCCTGTGTTGTTTGGGCTCAGTAATGTGCCAGGGCTTGGCATGGAGTTCAGGGCAAGGCTCTTGCCCCCAAGGGTGCTGGCACTGCCCAGGCTGCCCAGGGAATGGTCCCAAGGCTGCCAGAGCTCCAGGAGCTCTCAGGGCTGCTCAGGGTGGGGCTGTTGGGGTGGCTGTGCAGGGACAGGGGCTGCCCTGAGCATCCCTGAGGGTCTCTAACAGCTCAGGATACTCAGGATTCTGTGATTGCAGGAGCTACATGTGGGCAGTGCAGTGCTTTTCTGCCTGGGAGAATTGCTTTGTGGGAGTTTATTATGGCTGTGAGTGAATGAGCAGACTCTGGGGTTCCTGGGGAGCCGAGGGATTCAGGGTGAGGTGCTCATCCTGAGTGCCCTTGTGGTGATGAACACAGGCTTATCCCAAGTGGTGCCTGAGCTCATCCCAAAGTCCAACCTTGGCTCTGTTGCTGAATTTCAGAGATTGTCAGGCTCATGTCAGAGTTTTGCCAGGAGTTGTTTTGGGAAACTGAAAACAAGATTGTCTGGAGAGCAGCTGCAGTTTTGAGAAAGAAACTTGTGAAGTGTTTTGTATCAATTAACAACTGATTCCAATTTCAAGCAGATTTCCAAGTGGTTCTCCTTGCCCAGAAGCAGGTCTGAGGTGTCAGTTTGGAGTAGTTCTGGCTGGAGAGGTGCTTCTGCCTCCTGCTGAGTTTCTGGATGTGTCCTGGACTGTGTCACCAAAGTCTTCCTGCAGTGACAGCTGTGGCTGAACCTGCAGAAAATGTTTCCCTAAATGTGGGGTGAGGGCACCGTGGTTTGGTGTTGAGCACGTGTCAGCACTTGCCCAGGGCAGAATGAGTCAGTTCCCACCTTCTTAAAAAACCAGCCCACCCCAAACCCCCTGGACTCTGAAAATGCCATGGGAGGTGAGGTGTGTGAGTGGCTGGCAGGGGAGGGCTGTTCAAGGCTCCTGGTAAGGCTGATCTGCCTCTTGGAGCTGCTGGGGTGGCCTGGGGTGGGAATGTCCTGCTGCTGTTCCTTGGCTTCCTTGGTGGCTCCTGGGTTCACAGCAAGGTTCTTGTCACTGGCCCAGCAGCTGGCCACGTGTTCTCACCTGTCCTCTGCTGGGTTAACCCAAAAGGAGACTTTCCACACCTCCTGCATGTGAGGGATCTTCAAGTCTCTTCTGGTTTTTTGTTTTCCAGCCATCCAAAGAAGAAACAAATGAAGAAAAGACAGAAGATAATTTAACTACCTTGTTTCCTGGCCAAAAAAGAAGGATCTCTCATCTTGTCAAACAAGGAAATGTAAGTGCAGATTTAGAAGCAGATTGGTTTAGGCTGTTCCAAGTGAGGGTTTTGTGTCCTGACCCTGGAGAAGGCTGCACTCCCAGGGCCAGGCAGCAGTGTGAGAGCTGTTTGTGCTGGAATCAGTCTATGGCAGTTGTATTTCCTCTCTTTCCAATTCCTCTAAAAACTCCCCTGTTTAGGATCTGTCAAAAGTGGCAGCAAAGCTCTCAGTAAACCTTCCTAAAACCAAGGGTAGGCTGGGAAGGGTGAGCAGATTGTGCTCTTGGTAACCCTTTGGGATAGGTTTGGGGTGTTCATTTTTCTCCAGTGTAGCTTAATTTAGAGATTTCAGTAAAAATTAACTGGACACAAGGTCACTCTGTGTCTGCTGGTATTTTTCTGTGCCTTGTGGATCTAAAAGATACTTCAGGAATTTGGTCAGATGTTTAAAACCATTACCTTACATCTGTTCTGAATCAGCCAAGATCTCTGCAGTATTTGTTTAGATACTCTTCTTTCCCAATTGTACAAATACAGAGAATTAAAACAAACCAAAAAAAAAAAAAAGCAAAGAAGAAGCAAAAAATTCTGATTTTTTTATTCCTTTCTCCCTGGGATTTTAATTCTTGTTTTCTCTGAGGGTTTAATGTGTTTCCCTCCAGGTGCTGATCACAGATTAGTTTTATGTTGCAGCAGGATAAGAGTGGAGGCTTGTGCACTAATTTGAGCTGGGTAGTCCAGATTAATTGTTCTGCCTTTCCTCTCTGCCTAGGAAGGGTTTTTTTGCCTTTAATAATTTGAAGCCCTGGGGTCAGTACAATGGGTTTTATTTAACTACATATCTCCAGCCAGTTCATGTGGTTTGATAAGGGCCCTTTCTTCCAAAATGAAGAGATAAGAGACTGAAGCAAATGGCTTGGAAATTCATTAACTCAAATATTTATTGCAAAGAGGCACCTTTTAGACATGTACAAACCTTCAAATATATTTTCTTAATGTGACAGCTGATCCCAAAATGCTTTCCAAAGATGGGAGCCCCAGCAGAGCCTTTGCTTGGGCAAACAGAGCTGATGGGGTGTGCTCAGCTGCCAGGGCAGCTCCAGGACCTGCATTCCCTGCAGGATCTCAGCTCAGAGCAGCTCCCAGCTCTGCCCAGGAGTGCTGTAACACCTCAGCTGCCACTTTTCACCTCAGAATGTGCTTTGCTGTGTCTCTCCAAGTGGAATATTTGCTCAGTCTTGCTCATGATTTATGGCTCAGGGACTGAGGGGAGGGAGCTGAGTTCGGGGTTGGTTGCCAGGGGAAATGGGGGCCAAAGGAATTGCAGGTGAGGCAGAAAATGAGTGGCCTGTCCTGCTTGGAAGTCTGTAATTATAATTTAATGTCTGACTGCACCCAGTTTGGTATCCAGAAGCTGCTGTTAGCATCAGAGGCCGGGAATGCAGGAGGTGCCAGCTTGCCCCCAGGTGTTAGACTGGGTCACACTCCTCCAAGGAGATTTTGGGAGGGAAGGCCAGTTCCTCACATTTCAAAGGCTGTTAAGTAGAGGGAGAAGTCTGTACTACTGCTGCTTCTCCTGCACTTCTGCTGCTAGGAAACTTCTCTCTTTGCTGACATAATTTCTGGCACTTTTCCTGCAAACCTAAATTTGGCCATCAAAGGAAGCTCGTGTGGAACCTGTTTGTGCTGTAACGGCCGAGGCACTGAGGTGCCTCCAGAGGTGGGCAGGGACACCTCCTGGAATCAAAGAGCCTGTTTGAAATTCAGAAAATCAGTTTATGTAATGCTCTGATGCCATAAATACTTCTCAGTGAGCCTTGTAAGCAGTTCCAGGGCTGCAGAGAGGTGCTGTGGTGCAGAGGTGGATGCAGGTGTCCTCAGGGAGGGAGCAGTGGAGCTCAGTGTCATGTGCCAGAGAGGAGTGGAGAATTGGTGACACTTTTTTGTTGCAGTGGAAAGCAAAGTAGGCAGCACAGGGCTAGGTCTGTGTGCTAGGGCAAGGCTGAGGGTGTTGCTAGAGCCCAGGTCTGGGCTGGGCACAGCCACTAAAAGCAGCTCATGAATACCACCTGCCCACTGAGGAACGTGCCAGTGAGCTGGGAGGCGTGAATCATTAATGCCATGTTTGTTGAAGGATGACTCTTTAATTATTTCATTCTGGAAGCCACTTGGGATCTTGTCCTCTCAATACCCTGTACTTGCTGACAGAGGGGTTGAGGAGAAGAGTCCTTTCTGGGGTGAGTGGGAGGCAGGGGTGTGGATGGAGCAGGGGCTGCTGGCCCTAAACGCTGTTTGTCTGCAGGCAGAGGCCCCGAGCAAGCCGGTGGTGCGGCCCTACCGTCCCCCCACGGCCCAGGAGGTGTGTTACCAGAGGATCCAGCTGGCTCAGCAGCAGGCAGCACAGCTGGTTGGGGCTGTTCAAAAGACCTCTCTCTGTTTGCCAGGAGAAAAGAGGAGGATTGCTCACGTGCCAAATGCAGCCCTCACCGCAGCAGCCAAGCAAAGTAAGCCAGCGGTGGGATCTGGGGTCACTGTCCTGTCCTGTCCTGTCCTCCCTCTGGTCAAAGGCTCTACTGTGTGTTTACATTTCTCCTGAGCACGTGTGAAACTGTCAGGGGTTGTGTAGGACTGGCCATGACTTGAATCTTTGCTGGTAGTGTCCAGTGGAAGGTCTGTCCCTGAGAAATTCCACCCTGTTGTGAAAAGCAGCAGGTCAGACTTGTACAGCCTGATGTGTTGTGCCCGGCCTCCCTCACTTCAGCCTCTCCTTTTTCTGTTTCTTCCTTGGATTGTGTTTGCTTTCATTCCCTCTTCCGTTTAAGCCTGGAGCTGGCAGGAGCAGGAGGGAAGTGCTAATGAAGGCTCATTGCTGTGCCTTTGTAGTGGAAGGACTCAGAGCTGACGTGTGGGGTGTCAGTGCCTCCAGCTGACAGAGCTACCTCTTTAAACTCTGCTGACTCAGTCACCCCAAAACAAACCCAAATGAGACACGTTTCCTGGCAGAAGATTTCTTCATCCTTGCCTGCAAGGTGGTAAAATTGCCCAATTTGTATCCCTTTGGAGACCTGGACTTGAGAAAATCACAGCTTGCAGTACTGGCCTTTGATAGTGAGTTCATTCTGGCAGCCTGAAGCCCAGTGGCAGGATTTGCACCTGAGTGTTTTGTGTTCCCTGCAGGCCTCAGGAGCAGTAAGGCGGCTGTTGGTGGCAGGAGTGTCACACCTTCCAATGACTCTGAAGCCCCCACCCCTCCTCTGAAGCCTTGCACCTTGGCTGGGATGGCTTCCAAGACCACCAGCACCATCGTGCCCAAAAGGGTAGCACACGTTCCCTCCTTACAGGTAAGGGCAATTTGAATTATTTCTTGTCATTCCCCAGGCAGGGTGGAATGTTTGATCCTGCTGTTCCAAACTTAGCCCTCCCTGAGAGTGGTGTTTTGATTATGTTGATTGAGTGGGTTTGTTTCTTCCTGTGGTTTTCCTAGATAGCATTGTATAAAAAATTAAACACTCAAGGGGTAGGAGCTTAAAAAGGTAGCAACACTTAAATGCTGCTCTGATCTCTGTGAAAATTGATCACTTGTCTCTAATTTGAGCCTTCTCTTGTGCTGACTGGCCTGGGTGTGTTTGGGGCTTGGAACCTCCTGTGCTCAAAAGCCAGGGATGGATTCATGGCCTTCCTGGGCTCTGTGGGCCACACTGGTGGTTGTGAATAATGTCCCTCTGTGACCTAGATATAAAATATGAGCACTGAACTTCATGCTGCTGCTGGTGTTTAAGGAAAAGACTATTTTGTCTTTGTTAGCTGCTTGTGTTTTGTTTCTCTTTACCCCCAGGGATCTCTGCCCAGCCTTTGGGTACATTTCCTGTGAGTTCCTAAGCAAAGTGACAGGAGCCAGGGAATGGCTCCCAGTGGCAGAGGGCAGAGCTGGATGGGAGATTGGGCAGGAATTGTTCCCTGGGAGGGTGGGCAGGCCCTGGCTTGGGGTGCCCAGAGCAGCTGTGGCTGCCCCTGGATCCCTGGCAGTGCCCAAGGCCAGGCTGGACAGGGCTGGGAGCAGCCTGGGACAGTGGGAGGTGTCCCTGCCATGGCAGGGAATGAGAATGGGATGATTTTTAAAGGCCTTTCCAACCCAAACCATTAAGTTTCTTAAGGGATTCTATTAAGTCCCTCCTTTCCATGAGCACTGGGAAGCTGTTACTTATTAATTGAGAGCAGAATTCCTGCTGGAGCAGCCTGGGGATGGCATAAGGAGCTGTTTGCTGGAGTGGATGGCAGAACTGGTTAGTGCCAGGACTTGATTAAAGATCCCTTTATTGATGATGGCTTGTGTCAAGATCTGTCATAACTTGCTCTGATTATTTCTAGAAGAGTGAAAAGTAATTTTTTTTTCCTTTCCCACCCAAACTGCCACCATAGTAACGCAGAACTTGAAGCTGATTAAAAATAAGAGAAAATAACTGAAAGGATACAATATTTAGCAGAGTTACAGAGGTGCTTAAGGGTATAATATTAGAGGTTGAGAATTTATACATTTAATGAAAAAGAGCAAATCCTCTTGAACAGGACATCAAGGTGAGAGTCTCCTGGGGAAAATGAGCACTTTTCCCATTGAGATTGGACCAGACCAGTTGCTCCCCTTGGAACAATATCACATCATCCACAGAGCTGTTTCTATTCCAGATTGCAGCAGATGGCTTGGTTTATGGATATCTCTTGGGTGGGATGGAGAACAACTGACAAAACAATTGGGTGTTTTAGAGATGAATGAACATTTTCCTCTCTGAAAAGGAGGCAAGTGTGCTGTGATGTGGGGGATAAACTGGTGTGGAATGGAAAGCTGCAGTGGTGGGTCATAGCTCAGTCCAACATGCAGCTTTTGAAGAACCTGCCATTAAACTGAAGGGGTAAATCCTTTTAGGAACATCATGATTGGCATTAAAAAAGGAAGAAAACCCCCAATGCCATCAATTTGCAGGAATGCCCCAGGAGGTGGGGGTGGGTTAAGTGTCTGCCAGCCTGGCAGGAGGGGCCTCCTGTTCTCTCTTCAGAGCCAGAGAACCAAACCTGTCTGTGGTGCCCAGAACTGGTGCTGTGTGTCCATGGCTCCAGTGGTGCTTGGTGCCATCCTAACCTTGGACCTCTCACTGGAAATGTCAGCATGGCCTGCTCTGGAATGCTGTGTGTGACTAATGCCACTGGAGTCCTTGGCTCCTGGCTGACTTCAGAGTGAAATACAGCTGTTTTCTAAAGGACTTAGAGCTCTGAAGGTGGCGAAGCCTCAAGTGGTATTTTTAGTACCAAAAGTGCTGCGTGTTAAGTTTGGCTTTGGGCAGGTTTTCAAAAAGGAAGTCACCCCATGATTAATAACAGGAAATGGGAGAGCCTCAGAGCAACCTCCTGGAGCCTGACCAGCCTCTTTCTCTCTGTCTCACCTCCAGAGCACCACTTTACAGAGGCCTGTTATTCCCACAGAATTTGGTGCTAAAGTCCCAACCAACATTCGTCAGAGGTATCTCAATCTCTTCATTGATGAGTGCCTGAAATTCTGCTCCTCCTCCCAGGAAGCCTTCGACAAGGTCTGTACAGATCCCTCTTCTCAGGAGTAATGTTTGCAGCAGGGAATGGCATCCTCTGCCTTGGCCAACACCTTCTAAAATGGTAGCAAATCCAGAAAATTGAATTGCATTTATGCTTGCAGAAACTTGGGGGTGGGAGCTCGATGATCTTAAGGTTCCTTCCAAGCCAAACCATTCCCTCATTCCCTGAAGACTCCACTATCCACAACTGAGGAAACTGGCATTAAATGTTACCAGACTGGGCAACAGCAAGTGTCATTGCAGTGAGGGCTTCCAGGAGGAAATCCCATCTGTCCCTTCATGTGGAAAGCTTGCCTGAGCCCTTCAATAACCCCAGGAGAGACTGCAGAGGAATGTGCATGGTGCTCAAAGAGTTTCTGCTCTGGTGCAGCCAGAAACACCTCCTGGAATCAAAGTGTGGATTTGGGATAGATGTGTTTGGTTGGGAATTGGTTCCTTGCTGCTTCTCAAGGCTGTTAAGGAGACTTTAAGGAGCCTTCTAGCAGCAGGCACAATATAGTAGGACTTCCAGAAGCAGGGTGGAGAGAGTAATTCCTTTTCTTGGAAAAGCTTGGCTGTTAGTTGGGTGAATGTGGGGCATTGTGTGGTGTGTTCCAAAACCAAGCAGACACCACGAGGATTTCTTTTGTGGGATTCCACCTTCCCAAGGAGTCACCATTTGCCAAACCTCCTTTTCTTCTCAGTTAAGATCTTGCACTGCACCAAAGTGGGGAAAGCTGCCTTGCCCAGGCAGTTCTAAGAACAAGAATTACTTGATGAAAGCATGGCTTGAGTCAAGGTGGCAGCAGACTTTATACTGGGGGAAAGAGAAGGGATGATACCAATTTAAAATACTGCCTTGCCCAGGCAGTTCTAAGAACAAGAATCAAGAATTATTTGATGAAAACATGGCTTAAGTCAAGGTGGCAGCAGACTTTATACTGGGGGCAAGAGAAGGGATTATACCAATTTAAAATACGTTAGAGTTTTTTTGTTGTTGTTGTTTGGTTTTTTTTGCTAAATACGAAAGTTTTATTCATCTCTTCAGGAAAGTTTCACATGGAAGTGATTTTCCCAGCACTTTGTTTAAAATAAAATTACTTATTTTCCTCTCTTCTTACCTGAGCAGGTACATATTGGTGCCATATTCTGCTTTATTACTCTATTCCTTGTCAGGCAATTTTTATTTTTTAATCTCTGCTGATAGTGTAGGCTGACCTAGAACAGAGGCTAGGCAGAGGTAAAGAATAAAGTAGGGATTTCTTAGGAGGCCTCAATGGATCCACATTGGGCAGCACAAGAGCCCAGCCAGGGCTGCACCCAAGATGAACCAAAATGGTCACAAAATGCACGACCAGTCACAGGGTCTCTCACTTTTATCATTTCTGCTCCATTTGCAGACTGGAGTTCATTGTCCAATTACAGCCCCAGCCCATGCAGTCCCATCCTGCTTATTTTTCTCTCTTCATTCCACATTGTTTGTGCTTTTGGGCCTGAGATTTGGATCCTTTGTCCTTGGTGCCCAGCTAGAGCAGGAATTGTTTTGTCTCCCTGCTCTGTGCACAGAGCTCACCATCCCCTCACAGGAACCTAGACCCACACACTAAAGCAGCAGAGAACCTGAAAAATAGAAAAGTTCAAACCTGAGGCATCACTACTTGGAGTCTGTATTTAAGAGCCAAACATTTCTTTTGTCCCAAAGCCATGGGAGCTGTGCCTGCCCTATCCTGGAAGTGTTCAAGGCTAGGTCGGATGGGGCTTGGAACAACCTGGGATAGTGGAAGGTGGAAACAAGTGATCTTTGAGGTTCCTCCCCACCCAAACCATTCTGGGGTTCTGTGAACAGTGGAGGAGTGTGTGGTGATGACCTGTGCTGTTCCCAGGCCCTGGCAGAGGAGAAGGTGGCCTACGAGCGCAGCACCAGTCGCAACATCTACCTGAACGTGGCCGTGAACACCCTGAAGAAGCTCCGCAGCCTCGTGCCCAACTCCCCAGCCAGCACCAACAGTAGGTACCTTGCAGCTGAGCTGGAGCCCTGCTGGGATTGCAAACCACAGAGAGAAACTTGTTTGAAAAGCCAGAGCCCATTTCTCGGCAGCATTATGCTGAGAGGCAAACAGCTCCAGTTCAGCTTTTTATAGCCTGGCAAGCCTTAATGGGCCTTCAAGAGGCAGGTCCTGCAATGCTTTGTTGGCTTTCTCAGCCTAAATGGAGATAATGCCACACGGGTGGAGGGGTTTTTTTAGCACAAGTTCTTTCAAATGAAAAGCCCTGCTAATGGAGTAACTTTCACATGATGCCTTCAAAGTGATAGACTCGTCCATCACCACAGAAATCTGTTACACACATTAAGCTTCAAGAGAGAAACGAAGAGGGTTAAGACATTTCATTATTGGCTCTCGAGAGGGTACATTAAACAATCAATTTGTGCTGTTCTTGTGAATTTTTTTTTCTTTGGTCTCTTCCCTTTTCTCCCCTCTGTCTTCATTACGTTCCTGGCCATTAGGCAGAGCAGCTGAACTTGGAGGCTGGCCTTTAGCAGAGGGCTGCCAGTTAATGATTAGCAAAAAGCCCCTCTCTGCCATTGTCTGATGTGTTGAGCATATTCTGGAGCTCTGAAGCTCTTTTCTGAAAGAAGCTGAAGGATCCTGCGTGGGAGGTTGGTCTGCAGGGCCCCAGAATCCAAGCTGCTTCCTGGGGGTGGGTGGTGCCCTCACACAGCACATGAAGGGGTCAAGTTGTTTCTGTGCTGGCTCCTCTCTTGCTTTTGGTCAGTTGGAGGGCTTGCTGTGCAGAGTGAGCAGGGAGAGCTACAAGTTTCTAGCAGAACTGGAAAAGTGTCTTTGCTGCCCTTAAAATGGCTGTGGGCTGGCAGTGTGAACAGAATACTCTGTGTGGTGCTGGAATGGAACTGCTGGGCCAGCATGTGGCACAAAGAATCCATTTCTGGAGCTAAACAAGAGTTAAAGAGAGTAAACACGTCCTCCTCTTGCCCATATGCAGTGTCCCAAACCAGGACTGGAGTCACCCACTCTGTACCTGATCTCTGTCCCCCTGTGCTGTTCCCTTCTCCTTGCAGAGACAAGTAACAAGAAGGTGGTGTCCCACGAGGCTGTGCTGGGAGGGAAGCTTGCTGCCAAGACCAGCTTCACTCTGAACCGCTCAGGGAGCCTGAGAGCCGAGGATCTGACAGGTCAGACCCTGCCCTGCTGGGCTGTCACTCGTGAGGGGGAGCTGAGCTGTGACACTGACCGGGGGGTGAGGATCAGGCTGGTGCATTCACCTCGAGTTGTGGGGGCACTTCAGCCACCACACTGGGCGCTGCCAGGGCTGCTCAGGGTGGGGCTGCTGGTGATCCCTGTGAGCCCCTTCCCACCCAGGATTTTATGACCCCAGGCTGCCCAGGGAATGGTCCCGGCCCCAAGGCTGCCAGAGCTCCAGGAGCGTTTGGACAGCGCTGCCAGGGCTGCTCAGGGTGGGGCTCTTGGTGATCCCGGTGAGTCCCCACTCAGGATTTGAAGTGCTGGGATTTCTCAGTTCTCTGGCTGCATCACAGGGCTGCAGAGTCCCTTGGGGGATGGTGACACCACTGACCAGTGCCCTCCTTCTGTCCTCGCTGGGGCTCTGAGGTCACTGCTGCAGCCTGGCTGGCTTTGATGGAGCATCAATAACCATTCAGAGCTGCCTCTTGTGCTTTGGGCATTATTTTACTTCAACTCTCTTGCCCTGAAGCTGTTCTTTACAATGTGCCTGTCAGATTAAAAGGCAAACTTAAAAATCTCCATCTCTGCAGGGCTCAGTTTCACTTTCACCAATGTCACAGTAAGGTCGTATCGTAGCCAAAGGGTTGTGCCACGAGCATTTTTCATGTGGGCTCAAATCAGTTATGGGTATTTTGGTTGCCAAGAGATGTAGGCAAATTGTGGAGGAGATCAGAGAAGAGCCAGGGAGGCCATGGAGCAGAAGGAATTGACATTGAGAAAGCTTAAAAGGGCCAATATAGCTCAGCTAAGCAACATCAAAGGGCACCCAGGAATATTGGAAGGGTTTAATGCAGCAGCCAAAGGAGATATTGAGCAGAGAGAAATAAGTTATAATTATTCTGTGAAATGAAACAAGCAGCCTGAAATCAGTAGCAGGAAGAAACTTCTGATAATGAAGTTTTTAGGGAGCTGTGGGTGGCCTTTGAGGGGTATTTGAGGGCTGTGTTACCAATTATCAGCTGTTGCATTTAAACACTGAAATGGGAGAAGTCTCATGTTTAGTGACAGGACAAGGGGGAATGGCCTCCCACTGCCAGAGGGCAGGGATAGATGGGATATTGGGCAGGAATTGTTCCCTGGCAGGGTGGGCAGGCCCTGGCTTGGGGTGCCCAGAGCAGCTGTGGCTGCCCCTGGATCCCTGGCAGTGCCCAAGGCCAGGCTGGGCAGGGCTGGGAGCAGCCTGGGACAGTGGCAGGTGTCCCTGCCATGGCAGAAGTGGAATGGGATGATCTCCAAGGTCCTTTTCAACCCAGGTTGGGTTGGTTGTATCAGTAACAGCAAGGCTGAAGATGGGCCTTTTGGAGGAATTCTGTTCCAGCTGTGCTTCCCAGACTTAATGCTCCTTGTTCAAGGAGTTTAAAAATCAACTTGGGCCAGATATTAAAAATGACCACCCAACAGCTACTCCCCTGTCCATCCTGAGCTGAGGCAGTAGAAGCAAGTTCAGAATAGTGGGGGAAGTTCAGTTTGTGAAGGCAGGAGACTTGGCAAAGGCAGAGAACCAGGCAGTGCTTTGGTGCAGGGCGCTGAGCTCTGTGTTTGTGTGCAGGAGCTGCCCTGTACCGGCGCCTCAAGGAGTACCTGATGACTGAGGAGCAGCTCAAGGAGAACGGGTACCCAATGCCTCACCCCGAGAAGGCTGGACGGGCTGTGCTCTTCACTGCAGAGGAGAAGAAAGTGATTGACTGTAAGCTCTGCTGGCTCTTCCCTTCTGCAGGGTTTGCTGGACACAGCAGGAGCTGCCCCTTGGTCCTGCTGGGATGGGGAGTGTGGCTGCAGAACTCTGCTGCATGGAGAGTTTCTTCAGCTTTCACATCCTGAGAATGCTGGTTTTGACCCAGAGTTTATCGTTTGTGGGGCTGAGGGAGGTTTCTAATTTCTAATTCCCAGGTAACAAGTGACAGGATGAAAGGAAACAGCCTCAAGCTGCACCAGGAGAGGTTTAGATTCAATATAAGGGAAAATTTCTTCTTGGAAAAGGTTGTGAAGCATTCAACAGGCTGCCCAGGGCAGTGGTGGAGTTATCACCCCATAAATGTTGAAAAAATACGTGGATGTGGACTTGGGGACATGGTTTAGTGGTGACCATGGTGGTGGTGCTGATAGTTGGACTTGATCTTTAAGGTCTTTTCCAACCTCAGCAATTGCAGCATTCTGTGCTGCCAAAGAACAGCAGTTGAGCAGGCTGGAAAGAGGCTCCTGTTCTGCACTTGGTGACCCTCCCCTCTCCTAGGGAAGGATTTTTTCTGTCTCTGTCTGTGTGAGCTGCTGTTAAGGTGGGATAAGGACTGACACTGGGCTGGGCTGGCTTTGGAGTGGGTCCTGCTGTGCTGCTCTGGATTGCAGAGTTTTCTGTTTGATCTCATGGCACTGCTGGGCCAAATAGTTCCCCAAAGTCCTTTGTGCAGCTGGACAAAATGATCATAAAATCACAAAATAGTTTGGATTGGAAGGAACTTTAAAGCCCAGCTCATTCCACCCCCTGCAAGACCTTCACCAGACTGGGTTGCTCCAAGCCACATCCAACCTGGCCTTGAGCCCCCAGGTTTCCTCAGGACAGGATGGGTCCTCCTCTGAATTTCCTGAACCCATGGCAAGATTTCTGCTCCTCAGCCCCTGCCTAAAGCAGCCTGTGCTGCAGCAGGGATAAAACCCAGACTGGTGATTTCTGTTGAGGTGCTTTGCCACGCTCCCCTGAGCATCTGTGTGGAGAGACCTCAGTAAAGTGTGTTAAGTGCTCATCCATGTTAACACCTTGTGCCTACATTTGTCCTGTGGTTGCTGAAGCAACCTGGGCAAAAGCTCTCTTGCATTAACACTGTCAAGTGCTGTATTTGTGAGAGCCCTTTTTTCCCAGGAACCAGCCAGCTTCTTTATATGAACCTGAGCTCATGTTCCTGGTTTTGTTCCTGTAGTTTCCTGCAGATGTTGCAGGATCTTTGAATTTCTCCTTGTTTAACTAAAGCTGGTGCTGCCACTGTGACCAGTTGGGCAGAGCTAACAGCTTGAATGCTCACACCAAAATGGAATTTTGGTGGGATCATGGAATTGCATGGAGATCAGAAGAATGATAGCTCCTTCCCAGTGGCTTTTTGCATCTCCCTTCCCCACATTTTGGGCAGTAAAAGCAGAGGTGGTAGGAGGGGGCAGTTGCAGACTGCCAGGCCCTGCCCTAAGTGCTCCTTCATTTGGCTGCTGGAAAATCCTGGCAGAAAAGCTGTGCCCTAGAAGAGGTAAAATGTCATTTGGAAGTGACAAGGCACAGATCCCCTGGAAACCAGGCTTCATTAGCTCTGGTGTCCAAAGAATGACTTATTTATCCTGTTTCTTAAAATAACTGTGTTAGACTCCAACGTAATTTGCTGTGCATGGAAAAACAATGCAGCAAACCTTGCTGGAACTGGGGGCAGCTTATGTGCACCAAAGCCACTGGAGAGTCTTTGTGTTTGGGAAGTGTTTGGGGGGGCAGATTTCAGAGGGATTGCTGTGCCCTTATAGGAGTTTGCAACAACACTGGGAATCCTTTTGAACAGAAAACATCATTTAACAGCATTTGGGGCTGGAGTGGTGGTGATGTGCTTTGCTTTGGCCAGGTTAAGCAGGTGAGGGGTAGGAAGGCTGCTCCCAGTGACCTGGCTGTTGTTTCTCTCCTGTCCCCCAGCCTCGTGCAGGATCTGCTGTCGCTGTGGCACCGAGTACATGGTGTCAGCCTCGGGGAGCTGCATCCGCAAGGAGGAGTGCGTGCACCACTGGGGGCGGCTGCGCAAGCAGAGAGGTACAGCCTGCCAGGGATTGGCCCTGCTGCCTGCTCCAGCTCCTAACACAGCCTCTCCCTCAGCTTTGAGCTGGATTTTGGGGCCTGTCACGCTCCCAGGTGGTGGCAGTTCTGTGCCTGTCACTGCAATGACCTCGCAAAGAGCTGCTGGGCTTGGCTGTCCGCAGAATGTGACACTGGGGCTGCAGCAGGGGTGTGTCATCTTTGTTCTGAAAAATAAAGGAGAAAACCTTCCTGTGCTTTTTGGAAAGAATCAGCCCTTTAAAAGGCTGACTGGGAGCACTAGAGGCCTGTCACTCCCAGGAGAGTTCACTGATCTTGGTTGAATTCATTTGCAGCAAGGCACTAACCTAGTTTGAGCTCGGCTCTGGTTTTCCATCAGAGCATCTGAGTGGCTTCTGGAGTTTGTCTGGCTGAGTACCAGAGACTTAAACCCTTTGGATTGCTGCCTGTGAATGCACAGTTATTTTCCCCCTATGTTTGACACATTTTTGTCATGCTTATCTAGGGGATCTGCACGTGAAAGCTGAAGTTCAGGTCTCTTGTTAACAAGAGCCTTCTCCTTGACCCTTCATCTCTTACTCTTTCAGTGCCAGGTGGGTGGGAAACTCACTACAGCTGCTGCTCCGGAGCTGTGGGGTCACCAGGCTGCCAGGTTGCTAAAGTAAGTGATGGAACAACACCTCTTTATTCTCAGTGACATTTGTGCTCTGCTCACAGTGGCCGTGGCTGGGAAATCCTTGCTTAAGCCTTTAGGAGAACAGTGGCTTCCCTTAAGGGGATAAAACAAGTGCAACTTTTTTTTTTTTTTTTGCTCTGCAGTGGTAGGAAAATCCAGTATTTGACACTCAACTGTCTGGAGTGAGCTGGGTTCATTTATCCTGAGCTGCCCAGCTCATCTGCTTGAGGGACATAGAAAAGCTCATGTTCTTCAGTGAATCACAGAAGGAATGAGAAATAAGGGATTTCCTTTTAAGGGACAGTGTGCCAAACCCTTTTTCCCATCTTTTCCTTTCCAGATTCCCATGCTAAGGTAACTTTATCCTGGTGGAAAAATCTTTTCTGACAAGTTTTCTGTTTGTTGCCTGCCCTTGGTTGTAATGAGGGGAGGAACCTTCCCAAGGAGCCTGTTGTAACTCCAAAATATCACAAAACTTCTTTTGAGGGAGCCCAGCACTAGAAAAAAGAATGAAGAAGCTTCTCAGGTGTGGAGTTTGCTAGAGCAGGGCACTGTCTGGGTGCCTTTGCACAGGTGCTTTTTTCTTGTCCTTGGGCAGCAGGAGAGTTGGTGTCCCAGCCCAGCATCCCCAGTCTGCCTTGTGCCTTTCTCTCAGCTCTCTGGGCATGTTCCTTGTCACTTGTTTTAGTTTTTATGTTTGGCACCTGCCACAAAGGGGAGAACCAAAAGCTAGAGGTAGAAGGTGATTCTGGGCAAAATTCAAGGTTTGTTACAATTTGTTTGTTTACACCATAAAAGCCTGCCCTGCACTTTCAAATTGGATGGGATCAGGTTATTACTGTTCTTTACATTAATTTAGGATTTTTTTATCACTTCTCTGGGCACCCTGTGCCAGGACCTCCCCACCCTCACGATTCCTGCCCAGTCTCCCATCCATCCCTGCCCTCTGGCAGTGGGAGCCATCCCCTGTGTCCTGTCACTCCACACCAGTATAAAAAGTCCCTCTCCCTCCTTTTTATAAGCCCCCAGTTTTCACAGCACCCTTTGGTAGATTCAAGGTTGAATCCACAGCCTGCTCAGCATCAGAGCATGCAGTGAAATTTTTGGAGTATTGGGGAGCACAGAATCCTTCAGTGTTGAAGAAGGGCTTTGAAAGCAGAAAATATTTGTAATGAGACACCATTCTCAGTAACTGGAGCAGTGAGCTGGTTAGAAAAACTTGTGTGTGTTCAAGCACAAGGGTGGGAAATCCTTGCTTAAGCCTTTAGAAGAACAGTGTCCTCCTTTAAGGGGCTAAAACAAGTGCAACTTAAATTGTTTTCCTCTGCAATGGTAGGAAAATCCAGTGTTGGAGCTGTGGAGTGAGCTGGGTTTGCTGCAGTTAGGCAGGAGGTGGCAGGAGGGAGCTGTGCTGCTCAGGGAGCCTGCACAGGCTGCTCTTTGTGCTTGCTTGGCTCTCAAAAACAGGAGCAACTTCCCGGCCCTCCTCCCAGCCAGGAGGAATTGGGCATTTTCAGAACAGCAAAAATAACTAATATAAAAAATACCTGGGTTTTTTTTTGGTTTGGTTCGGTTTGGTTTTTTTGTTTGTTTGTTTGGGTTTTTTGTTTGTTTGTTTGGTTTTGGTTTTTTTTTGGGGGGGGTTGTGGTTTTTTTCTTTGTTTGTTTGTTTTTGGTTTTTTTTTGGTTTTGTTTGTTTGTTTGTGGGGTTTTTTGTTTGTTTTGTTTTCTGTTTTTTGGTTTTTGTGGTTTTTTTTTTCACTTCACTGCCCAGTTCTGTTGTGTTACACAGGGAGGGAAGGCTGAAGCTGCAAGGGGAAGTGTTTGGTGTCTCCTGGCTGCTGAGCTCTCTCCCCATTCCCTCAGCAGAGCAGTTCCATGCCATGGGTGCAGCCCCTTGCAGCAGGGCAGCAGTGACCCATGGGGCCTTTGAGCAGTGCTGCTGTGCAGTCAGGGGGAGATTGGCCTCAGTGTTGGCCCTGCTGCCTCATTAACTTCAAATGGTGCAGTTCCTGTGCTCTGGCTGCACCTGCAGTAGTGACCTGTGCAGGAAAATATGCAAATCCTGCTTTGCTTTCCTCTCTGCCCACACATGGCAGCTTTACAAGGACCTCAATTCCTGCTCTCTCCAGCCTTTAATCCTGGGACAAACCAGAACAGTTTCATTCTTTGTAGGGTGAGACCAGTGGGAAGCTCTGTGCTGTGCTGGGCACTGCTGAGGCCCCACCTCCAATCCTGGGGTCACTTTGGGGCCCCTCAGGACAAGAAGGACGTTGAGGGGCAGGATTGTGTCCAGAGAAGGGAACGGAACTGGGGAAGGGTCTGGAGCACCAGGAGCAGCTGAGGGAGCTGGGAAGGGGCTCAGGGGGGGACCTTGTGGCTCTGCACAGCTCCTGCCAGGAGGGGACAGCCAGGGGGGTCGGGCTGTGCTCCAGGGAACAGGGACAGGAGGAGAGGGAGCGGCCTCAGGCTGGGCCAGGGGAGGTTTAGGTGGGATATTGGGAAAATTCCTTCACAGAAAGGTTTGTAAAGCACTGGAAGGGGCTGCCCAGGACAGTGGTGGAGTCACCATCCCTTGGAGTGTTCAGGAAGCATGTGGGTGTGGCACTTGGGGATGTGGTTTAGGGGTGACCACGGAGGGGCTGCTGGGTTGACTTGATGATTTTGGGAGTCCTTTCCAGCCTTATGGATTCAGTGATTCCATGGTTCTGGACATGGCAAAGAGGCTGTGTCCAGGTTGCTGTGGTTGTACACAAATACAAGGGGATTTAGGGACAGACAAAATTTAAACACAACAAAAAACCCCACTGGGGAATAAGGGAGGGAGAGCATCACCTCTGGGTGTGGTGCAGGTTGGTTTTACCTAGAACTGTGTCAGCAGGCAAAAGGACAGTCCCAGCTCTGCCTTGCCCTGTTACCTGTTCCTGCTTCCCCTTTAAACTTCCTCCAGCTCAGAACCCCTGCTTGCCAGGAATGTTCCAGGAGAACCAGTGGGATCTGTGCTGTGGAGGAGTGTGGGAGTACCTGTGTTGCAACAGCAGCTCAATCATGCACTGGCTAAAACCACTTGTGAAATCACTCCCTGAGTTTTCCTGCTGGCTCTTGTTGACCCTGGAGCTTTAGCTGGGAGCAGTGCAGAGTGCTTCGAAATGCCCTTTATTGCCTCAAGAGCTGGTGGGCTGGGCTCCTGTGGGTGTGGGGTGCAGTATGTGGGTGCACGCGTTGCTCTGGAGCTGGCTGGCTGCTCGTGCTCACACAGGGATGTCTGGGCTTGGATCCTGCTCCTGGCCTTGTCTTGGAGCCAGGAGCTGGAGTTACAGCAGAGTCAGGCCTCAGTGTGACCCTTCCTGACCAATTCTGCTCCAGACTGAAAGCTCCTTCTCCCCAGACACAGGATGTCCTGCTCCTCCATGTGCTGTCAGTAGGATGCCACCCACCCTGATGTGCCACTGGAATTAGGGCTGCCCATGGCTGTGTTTGATGTGGTTGTGAACTTCTCCAAATTTATTCCTCGTGAAGAAATTATTAAAACCCCACATTTGTTGAAGTGGAGGTTTGTGGGAGTGGGCTCTTTGGCTTCTTGTTCCTGTGATCACCAGCTGTCCCTGGCTTTTCCTTTCAGCAACACGTGCACGATGGGCGCAAGGAGAGCCTGGATGGCTTCGTGAAGACTTTTGAGAAGCTGCCCACGACTGATGGCTACCCTGGGATCTATGCCTTAGACTGTGAAATGGTGGGTCTAAAGCCAAAACAAAGCTTTTTGGGGCTGCCTGAGGTGTGACACGAGTGGCTGAAGGGAAGCTGTTTGCTGACCTCATTCTCTGTTCTGAATATCGGTGCTGGAGGTGTAAATGAGCTCTTATTGATTGCTGTGCTTGGCTTGGGGGCTGTGCAGCCCTGGCAGGCTCTGGCTGGCCCACGCTGGGCAGTGCTGCTGCCTGGCCTTGCTGCACCAGATGTGCTGCATTTTGGGAGCTGCAGCCCTTGGGGAGGGGCTCCACAGATCCCACACTGTTTTGGCCTGTGCCTCTCATCATCTGCTCTGTTCTTGCAGTGCTACACTAAGCAAGGACTGGAGCTGACGAGAGTAACTGTGATCAACTCCGAGCTGAAAGTGGTGTATGACACCTTTGTCAAGCCTGACTCCAAGGTGGTGGATTACAACACCAGGTGAGGGCTGTAGCACCAGCTGAGGAGGGTCTGTGGTGGGACAGAGCTTTGTGCTCTCTCAGGAGCTTGGCGTGGCTGGCAGCACTTGTTGAAACTCCACTGACCACCACTCCCAAGGGGTGAGGGGCTTTGGGCCTTGAGGTGTTTCTTCAAGTGAAGGAGCCCCACGTGTGTGCTGTTGCTCTGCAGGTTCTCAGGTGTGACAGAAGAGGACCTGGAGAACACGAGCATCACCCTGCGGGACGTCCAAGCCGTCCTACTGAACATGTTCAGTGCAGACACCATCCTGATAGGGCACAGCTTGGAAAGCGACTTATTTGCACTAAAGGTAACTTGGGCTCTTATTTCACATCTCCCTGTGGTGCTTTCCCACCCTGGGGGGTGTAAGGTGTTTCCTTCAAGTTTAGGAACTGTTTATTTCCCAGGACCAGGAGGGTGGCCTCACCTCAGGTCCTGTGTTTTGGGCACCACAATATAAAGAAGCCATGCACCCATTAGAGAGTGTCCAGAGGAGCTGTGAGGATGTGAGGAGGAGCTGAGGGGAAGGGTCTGGAGGGGCCTCATGAGGAGCAGCTGAGGGTACTTGGTTTGTTCAGCCCAGAGGAGACTGAGGGGAGACTCATTGAGGTCTTCAGCATCCTTATGGGGGGCAAGGGCTGATCTTTTCACTCTCATGACCAGGGCCAGGAGCCCAGGAAGGGCTGGAGCTGTGGCAGGGCTTGGCATGGAGCTCAGGGCAAGGCTCCTGCCCCCGAGGGTGCTGGCACTGCCCAGGGAATGGTCCCAAGGCTGCCAGAGCTCCAGGAGCTCTCAGGGATGCTCAGGGTGGGGCTGTTGGGGTGGCTGTGCAGGGACAGGGGCTGGGCTGGGTGACCCCTGAGGGTCCCTTCCACTGAGAACATTCCAGGATTCCATGGTTTGTCCACCCTCTGAGCCTGTGTGAAGCTGGTTGTGGTGGAAGTGCAGAGAGTGGGGTCATGTCTGTCACTCATGGTGTCACCTCAGCTTTTAGTGGCTGCTGCTGCCCAGGGTGACAGAGCTGGACAGGGCTCTGAGCAGCCTGGTCTGGTGGAAGGTGGAACAAGATGGTCTCTAAGGTCTCTTCCAACCCAAACCATTCCATGATTCTATGACTGATCCCAAATCATTTGCCTCTCACCCCTGTCTGATCTGTTCTCTGCTCTGTGCCAGCTTTTCCAGGAACTGTGGTGTTACTTTGATGAAGTTACTTTGACCTGTCCTGTTTCCTGCCTGGCCCTCATCAGCCTCGTGTGCCCATCCCTCAGCCACCTCTGCTGTCCTGCCAGGGAATCTGTCCTGCACTGAGGCCCCAGGGCTTTGTCCTGGCTCACCAGGAGAGCGTGTGGCAGGCAGGAGCCCTTTGTGCTCACATGCCAGAACTTCCCTCAGCCATTCTTTGTCCCACAGCTCTCCTGCTGAAGGCTCTGTGGCTGCCAGCTCCCAGGGCTGGGTTGGAAGCAGGAGCTTTTAATGCCTGTAAAACACTTTACCTCTCCGTGCACCCTTTATCCCAGCCCTGGAGAGGCTTCATCATAATCAGAAAGACATTATTTCCAGTTAGATCAGCTCGAGATGACTGCCTTGGCCTCTTAGAGGCTTGATTTTCTCTTAGCACCTCAGCTGCTGCCAAGAGGAGGAGCCCAGAGCCATCCAGCAGAGCCGTGGGGTGTCACAGCAGAGTGGCCCAGGGCTGTGGCACTGAAGCCATATCTCACTAATGGCTCTGGCAACTTCCAAGTGCTGATGGCATTTCAAGTTTTATTTAAAGCTTTATTATCCTGTTTCCTCACTCTTCCTGATCTACATAAGTAATTACCAGTGTGTCTGGGAGGGTGCCAGGGCTGAGTGCAGTCCAGGGGAGATTATCCATAACATTGGCAGGTTTCTATTCCGAGGAGTGGAGCAGGTTGTTCCTGTTCAGGTGCAGTTGTGGAGCTGTTACTGATGGAGTTATGGGTTGTTCTGCAACATGAGCTGGTGCCTGGAGGCAGAGAGGAGAGGGGATTATCAGGGTCCTGTTGGAGTCATTCCTGTTGGGACAGGACACAGGTTTATCTCTTAGGCCCTGTCCTTCACTCCTGTGCTCAGGACATGGGATTGCCTTCACCCACATTCCTTCAGCTCCCACTGAATGCAGTTCATGACAGCAGAGAATTCATCTTGTCTTAGTCTGAGAGGGAGAAATCAATGTTAAAAAAGCCAGCCTGCCCTGTGATTATGGACTTTATCAGATGGGGCCTTTTGGCTGTCCCCAGCCCCCTTGGTGCAGGGCAGGGAGCACTTTGACCTTCCAGCATCCTCAGTTCCTCCAGCGTGGTGACAATTCTTAACTGAGCTGTTGGATTAGAGGAGTGGAGCCCCTCTGCTCTGAGCCAGGCTGGCAGAGCTGGGGCTGCTCCCCTGGACAAGAGAAGGCTCCAGGCAGAGCTCAGAGCCCCTGGCAGGGCCTGAAGGGGCTCCAGGAGAGCTGCAGAGGGACTGGGGACAAGGCCTGCAGGGACAGGAGCCAGGGAATGGCTGCCAGTGCCAGAGGGCAGGGCTGGATGGGAGATTGGGCAGGAATTGTTCCCTGGCAGGGTGGGCAGGCCCTGGCTTGGGGTGCCCAGAGCAGCTGTGGCTGCCCCTGGATCCCTGGCAGTGCCCAAGGCCACGCTGGGCAGGGCTGGGAGCAGCCTGGGACAGTGGGAGGGGTCCCTGCCATGGTAGGGATGGAGGAGAAGCCCTCTAAAAAGTCCCAACTCAAAACACTGCTATGATTCAGTGATAGAATTTCCTTGTCCCATTCCACCCTTGCTGAGCTGGTGCTGGTTAAAAACTTCCTGTTGAGTCACTGCTGGTGGATGGGAGGATTTGGGGTTGGTTTGCACCCTGAAGGCCAGGCCTGCTGTGCAGCAGCAGTGTGAGGTACATCCTGCTTTGTCATGTGTGCACATCCTGCCCACTTGTGTCCCACGTTAGAGCCCCAGGATGGTTTGGTTGGAAGGCACCATGAGCATTGCCCAGTCCCAGTGCTCTGCCACAGGCAGGGCTGCCACTCACTAGACTGAGAAGCAGCTGAAAGGTTGCTGCAGCTCCCACAGGGGCTGTTGTGCAGTCAGCTGGTTCTTCAGTTTAGTTTTTAATTGGGAAAGGCTCCAGAGCTGTTCCAGCTTCTCCAGGCTGGGGCATTAAGGACTGACCTGTCCTGCTGGAGTTATACGAGCTGGATCAGCCCCAGTCTCTGCTGAGATTCAGGAAACCCCCTGAATGTGAGGTTCCAGGGCCGTGGGGCTGGCACAGCAGTGGGAATGCTGTGTGCCCACACCCTGCAGGGGGACTCATCCTGCATGCAGCCAGAGCCTCCTGCCAGACTGGTTGGGTCGGAAGCTGCCGAGAGCGGTCACGGAGCCCAGAGGTGACCGGAAGGTGGCTGCAGCATGGCTGGTCCCAGGGAGTGCCTGTCTGTCCCTGTGGCAGTGGGGAGATAACCCTGTTCCTGTGCTCCTCCCCAGCTGATCCACGGCACTGTGGTGGACACAGCCATCGTGTTCCCCCACCGCCTGGGGCTGCCCTACAAGCGGGCCCTGCGCACGCTGATGGCCGACTACCTCAAACGCATCATCCAGGACAACGGTGAGCCTGGGGGCCCCTCCTCCTGCTGTGCTCTCCTCAGCCCTGCCTTTGCTCGCCCCACTTCTCTTCCCCTGGTGTTTTCTGCATGTGTGTGGTAGCTGGGGATGTGCTGGCGTGAGAAGCCTCAGGCACAGCTCATTTCAGTGTGACCCCGTTCCGAGGGCAGGGCTCTCCCTGCTTCCCTGCCTGTGCTGAGTGGGACAAAGGAAGTGCTGTGGGAAGGCTGAGGGTGGCTCTGCCAAGGTCAGGTCCTGCCTCCCTCCTCTGTAGCCAGCTGGGATGGAACCTCCTGTTGGAAGTGGGGCCTGATCCCTCCTGTCTTCCCTGAGCACACTGAGCACTGCTGGGGGAGCTCCCAGCTGTTCCATAGCTGATGGTGTCAGGTTCAAGCCCAGCAAAAAGTGTGGATTTAGTGGAAAAAATACATGTTTAACATTGGGAGTGTTCAGCCTGGAGAATAGAAAGCTATGGGAACTCCTTAAAGCTCCTTGTAGGGCCTGAAGGGGCTCCAGGAGAGCTGCAGAGGGACTGGGGACAAGGCCTGCAGGGACAGGAGCCAGGGAATGGCTGCCAGTGCCACAGGGCAGGGCTGGATGGGAGATTGGGCAGGAATTGTTCCCTGGCAGGGTGGGCAGGCCCTGGCTTGGGGTGCCCAGAGCAGCTGTGGCTGCCCCTGGATCCGTGGCAGTGCCCAAGGCCAGGCTGGGCAGGGCTGGGAGCAGCCTGGGACAGTGGGAGGTGTCCCTGCCATGGCAGAGCTGGCACTGGATCAGCTTGAACAAACCATAAACCACAAACCATTCTGTGATTCTGTGGAATTCTTTAAACCCCCAGCTGTGGCTCAGGGTGCCCCCAGGTGTGGCTGGAGCTGCAGGGAGCAGCTGGCTCTGCCTGGGGAGCTCCCTGTGCTGAGCTGGGCAGGCAGAGGGGTCACTGCCTCTGTGTTTGTGTCCCCAGTGGAAGGACACGACTCCAGTGAGGATGCCAGAGCCTGCATGGAGCTGATGGTGTGGAAGATCAAAGAGGATGCCAAGGTGAAGCGATGACCTGCGTTGTGTCTCTGCTGTCCTCCTGCACCTCTGTGAAGAAGCAGTGCAATAAATGCCCACAGCCACTCTGTCCCCCCTGCCAGCAGCATGTTCCTGCTCCCCAGCCATCCCAGCAGGACTCCTGGAGTCACAGTGCAGCCCCCCTGCCCGGGTGGTGGCTCTCAGATCCTCAGACTCCACCTGAGGCATTCTCTGTGGTCCAAGCACTGCCTTTTGGGCCTGGCAAGGTGGTTTGGAGTAGCACAACCAGAACTTCTTGGTTCCTAGGAGAAGTTTGTTAGAGGTAGGTTGGAGATGTGCAGAAGGATGTTTCTGGTTCAGTTCAAGGTAGATTGTTTACTTTTTTTTGTTTTTCCCAAATGTAAGTTAAATTGCCTCTGTACTCCAAAGCAGTGTTTGGAGAGGGGGGAGGTGGAAGAAGGTTGGGCAGGAAGCTGTGAGTGGATTGTGTAGCTGGTGTGGGAAGCCAGAGCTGAGGATCAAGCACTTGGGAAGAGATCCTGGTGCAATCCCACTGCAGAGCTGCAGAAGAGGGAGAGGAATGAGGTGGGATCTGGGAAGTGCCACCTGCTGTGCCCCAGGTGATGTCCTTGCTGAGGGCTGGCTGGCACCTGGATCTGCACTCAGTGCAAAGGGGGAAACCACGAGTGTCCCACCTGGCCCAGACCTCAGGGAGCCACGAGGCAGGACAGGGACAAACAGCTCCCAGGGCCAGAGAGAGCCTGCACCCCATCACTGCAGGGTGGGACAAGGGTCCTTCCCTGGCCCTCAGCTTCCAGCAGGCCCCAGTGAGCTCGTGTTCAGGGAACGAGGTTTGGGGTGTGCAGGGAAGGTTGCACCTCAGGGGGGCCTCAGCAGAGTGCAGGACAAAGCAATAGGGGAAAATGCTTCATTTCACCTCGTTTACATGTTGGGAGTTCTGCAAAGGACCCAACTGTGTGTCTGGCACCTGGACTAAAGCAGCTGCTGGGTGTGACTCACTGGGGTGACTGGATGGCACTGTGGGTCCCTCTGCCCAGCCCCTGCTGCTGGCTGGGGACAGCAGAGCTGAGGGGACAGACATGGACCCCATGTCTGCCAGCTGGGGTCAGGGAGCACTGCACCCCAGAGCAGTGACCCTCGCCCTCCCTGGCAGCTGAGTTGTGTCCCTTGCTGGCTGCTGTGTCCCTGTGTCCTGCAGGGCTGGCTCTGTCAGCCTGGGGACACTGGGGCAGAGCAGCTCCTGGGGTTTGGTTCCTGTCAGAGCCAGGTCCTGCTCACTCCTTTGTGCCCCTGCTGGGCTCAGGGTCTGGGGACAGCTGTGTGTCCCCTGCTTGTCCTGCTGAGCTGTCCCAGCCTGTGGGCAGGAGCTGGGCTGTGGTCAGGACAGGGATGTCCTGCTCCAGCCCCTCACAGGGCCCAGTGACCTCTCTGCATCCCAGTGCTGCCCTCGGAGGGAGGTGGCTTCCCTGGCAGGCTCTCCAGGAGCCACCAGGAGCAGTGGGGCTGTGCAGGCTCCTGCTGCTGCTGAGCCCATCTGTGTTTCCCCTGGCAGCCAGTTCCTTACCCAGGTTTTGGGGATGCAGCTCCCCCACTGCTCCACATCCAGCTCTGCTCCTTCCCTGCCTTGGGGCTTCCACCCCAGGCAGCCTGGGGACACCTTGTGCTGTCCCTGTGTCCCACTGCCTGCAGGGAACAGTGCTGGTGCTGCCCGGGCTGTGGGAGACAGTTCAGTGCTTCCAGGTGTGGAGGGAAGGTTTGTTCCTGCTCCTGCCTCTTTCCCGTGTTCATTCCCATTGTTCTTCACCCCTGGCTGCAGCGGTGGAATGTCCCTGGAGCAGCCCTGCAGGCTCAGACCTGGCTCTTGCCTCCTGCCCGTTCCTCAGCAGGCAGCCCCTGCTTCCCAGCCTTGCCTGGCACAGCCAAGCGTTGTGCCACGGGCACGGTGTGCTGTGCCTGCTCTGGGGCTGCTTGGCTCCCTCCCACTCCTGGGGCAGGGATCCTGCCAGGCCATGCACCCCCTCACTCCCCCTCCTTTCCCCACTCCAGCCCAAACTGAGGCTTTTGGGGTGGGGGGAGTTGCCTGTGCCAAGGGATGTCCCTGGGAGAGTGGAACCATACCCAGGCACACCGTGGGTGTGGTCAGAGCCAGTCCTGGCCCAGGGCTGCCATCACCTCCCCCGGCACCAGAGGTTTGGTTGGGTTGTACAGAACGATTGTAACCTGTAACTTTTTGTAATTGTTTTTAATAAAAGAGTGTTGACTAGATGCACATTCCTGAGTCTGGGACTGCTCTGCCTGCAGATGGTTGTGGAGGGGGGGCTGGAGCCATCCTGGAGCTGGGAGGGGCTGGAAAGGCTTCCCAGGAGATCCTTCCCAAGCTGGAGAAGTGGGTTCAGCACGTCCAAGGTCCTGCACCTGGGCCTGGGCATCCCAGCCCTGAGCACAGACTGGGGATGGACTCGGATGGGCTGAGGGGTGAGTGGCATCCAGCCCTGAGGGGTCCCATCCTGTCCCCCTGTGCCCTTTTGGAACCCGGCTGCTGCCCAATCCAAACCATTCCGTGACTCCTGGAGGGTGACACAGATGCCACCCAGGCATGGGCTGAGGGGTGAGTGGCATCCAGCCCCGAGGGGTCCCATCCTGTCCCCCCTGTGCCGTTTTGGAACCCGGCTGCTGCCCAATCCGAGCCATTCCGTGACTCCTGGGTCCCTTCAGTTCACAGCTGCTGTTCACAGGATTCACTGAATCACTTTGCAGACCCCGGTTCACAGCCCCCAGCCCACACAGAATCACAGAATTCACAGACTCACTGGATTGGAAGAGACCTTCAAGCTCATCGAGTCCAGCCCAGCCCCAACAGCTCAACTCAACCCTGGCACCCAGTGCCACATCCAGGCTTTGTTAAACACCCCCAGGGATGGGGACTGCACCCCCTCCCCGGGCAGCCATTCCAGAGCTTTATCACCCTTGCTGGAAAAAGGTGATATCCTTTTTTCCTGATATCCAAGCTGTGTTTCCCTTGGGGCAGCTCGAGGCTGTGTGCTCCGGTTCTGTCACTCCTGTGTGTGCCCCCGGCCGGCTCCCGCTGCTCCAGGATATCCCTCCCGCCGGGATGAGCCCGAGGCAAAGGGATGAGATCGGTGCCACTCCCTTTGGACAGAACCCGACCCCACCGCCCTGGACCCTCGCCCTGTGCAAACCCCGCAGCCCCAGGGGTGCCCGGGCACATCCCGGCTCCTCTGCCCCATCCCGAGCCCATCCCCAGCCCTGCCCGGCTCCTCCTGCCCCATCCCGGCTCCTCTGCCCCATCCCGAGCCCATCCCCAGCCCTGCCCGGCTCCCCCCCAGCCCCAATCAATCTCCCAAATGGGGCAGGAATGAAAGTGCCGAGCCAAGGAGCTGATTCAGCACGGAGGAAGAGGTGAAGGTAAAAAGTTCAAATAAAGAAATAATGGGCCATTAGATGACCTCACAGGCAATGTGTTTTATTTCACGCGGGCTGATGGCCCGGCGGTGCGGGGGCTGTGAATTCACGCCTGGCTCGCGTTCTCAGCCACCTCCGCGGGCTTGGGTGGCACCGGCTGCTCAGCAGTGACCTCCCGTCCCCGAGGGTCCCTTTGCTCCCCCCTTGCAGCTCACCTGATGGCCCGAGGTGACACCGGGGAGCCCCTTCAGTGACAAAAGCATTTTGCTTTTTTTTTTCCTCTTTTTTTTTTTCCTTTTTTTTTTTTTTTTTTAATTTTTGGCTCTTTTCCTTTTTTTTTTTTTAATTTTTGGCTCTTTCGTAGCCTGCAGGGTGACAGGGATCCCTCGGGTCTCCTCCAGGTAGGTGGGATTTGCAGGGTTATGAGAGCCCTGGTCCCAAGAGAGCAGCACTCACCCAGCCCCAGGCACGTGGAGGGACAGGAGGGCACAAGGCCAGGCTGGACAGGGCTGGGAGCAGCCGGGGACAGTGGCAGGTGTCCCTGCCATGGCAGGGCTGGCACTGGGTGGGCTCTGAGGTCCTTCCCACCCCAAACCACTCTGGGGTTCGATGACACCAAAGTGTGCTCAGGATCTGTCTCAAGGGTCTGTCCCTCCTGTTTTTCCCTGGCAGATCTTGTCCCCCAGGGCACTGCCAGAGCTGGGCATCACCAGCAGAAGGGGTTTTCTTGCTCTCTGAAGCCTTGGCCCCTTTTGGGTGTCTTTGCCTCTGGCTCTGGCTCCAGGGCTGGGCACTGCCCATCCCCACCTTGGTGCTCGGCTGCTGCAGCTGAACTGGGGGAAGCAAAGGAGCAGAGAGAACCCCAGAGCCCCATTCCTTCCCAAAACCCTCTGGGATCAGCTGAAGCCCAGGAGAGGAAAGGCAGCAGCTTGCTGGGGGAAAGGCTCCATTTCCACCCCAGCAAGAGGAGAGGGGTGAGCTCAGAGGTGCTGGTGGGTCACAAATCCCCCCCTTTGTCCCCCTCACAGGGGGGCAGCCCCTGATCCCACACTGTGTCCACACCCCTGGAAGTCACCTCTGGCCCCAGTCTGAGCTCTGCCGGTGAACTGGTGCTGCTGGTCTGGTCCTGAGAGCTCCAGGGCCCCGCAGGGTCCCTGACAGCCCCGTCAGAGAGTCCCAGCCCTGGAGGAGGGCCCTGCCCGGCTTTCCCTGCCCCCTGCCCCCACCCTTTCCTTCCCAAGGATAGAGGGATATCCCAAAGCAGCCTTGGATCCAAAGCTGCCCCCTCACAGGGGGAGGAGGTTTTGGGCAGCCCATGGGATGCTCAGGGTCACTGCACATCCCTCAGCACTCAGCACACCCAGCCCTGGCTGCAGGGCTCCGGGATTGGCAACAGGACCTGCCTGGCCACAGAATGGCAGAATCACAGAATCACTGAATCACTGGGTTGGATGAGACCTTCAAGCTCATCGAGTCCAGCCCAGCCCCAACACCTCAACCCTGGCACCCAGTGCCACATCCAGGCTTTGTTAAACACCCCCAGGGATGGGGACTGCACCCCCTCCCCGGGCAGCCATTCCAGAGCTTTATCACCCTTGCTGTAAAAAACTTTTTCCTGATATCCAGCCTGAATTTCCCTTGGGGCAGCTTGAGGCTGTGTGCTCTGGTTCTGTCAGTGCTGCCTGGAGAAAGAGCCCAGCCCCAGCTGAGCACAGGCACCTTCCAGGAGCTGTGAGAGTGACAAGGTCACCCTGAGTGGCCTTTTCTCCAGGCTGAGCACCCCCAGCTCCCTCAGTGGCTCCTCTCAGGGTTTGTGTTCCCAGCCCCTCTCCAGCCTTGTTCCCTCCTCCAGACGCACTCAAGCGTCCCAAGGTCCTTCCCAAACTTGTCCTGCAGCATCTCCCCCAGCAAGGGACACCCACAGGTGTCTGTGTGTCCCCCCCTGCCCCTGAGCCACCTGGCACAGCTCACAGGTGACCATCTCATCGATCCTCTCGTTAAAGAGATTTTCAGCACACTTTATCCAGCCCCTCCAGCACGGGGAGCTCTGGCCCAGGCAGGGGTGAGTCCCTCCCGGGTCCCAGGGCTGTGTGTGCAGGCAGGACAGCTCCTCACCGGGGACATAGTGAGTGACACTGCTCTGCCACAGCCGGTGGGGACAGGACCTCAGAGCAGCCCCTGCTCCCTCTGCTCTCCTCCTCACTCCAGACTCCTCTTGGCTGGGCCCAGGGCTGGTCCTTGGCCGTGGAGCTGAGCCCCGGCACCTCGGCCCCTGCTCTGTGCCCTGGGCTCTCCTGGGTGCCCGTGCTCCGCAGGGGTGGCCCTGTGCCCAAAGTGCAGTGCAGGGGGGCTGGGGGCTCCCCAAAATCCCAAAATTGGGGTCCCTGTTGCTGAGTGACACCTGTGTCACCTCGGGGACCGGGGTCCTTCTGCAGCCTCCGGCCACCAGGGAGAGGAGAACTGGCCACAGCGGGGAGCAGGGGCTGGGGGTGGGCAAGAAACGGGCTCAGCACCAGGGACCAGCCCTGGCCCCCCTAGAGCTGTCCCCTGGCCCGGGGTGGCTGGGGACAGAGGAAGAGGAGGGTGGAAGGAGCAGGAGGGAGGGCAGCAGCCGCTTGGTGCAGGTTTTGGGAGGGCACTGAGGGCAGGGTTTGGGCGCTGGAGGCAGGTTCTGCGAGCTCAGGGCATCGCTCACTCCGGGCACCGCCTTCGGGCAGCTTGGGACAAGAGTGGGAGCCCAGGAGGGGGCGGCTGGAGGTCGGGGATGCTCCTGGGGCTGCCCTCAGCCTGGGGAACAGCCCCTGTGCGCAGGGAAACGCTCCTAAATCAGTATTGGTATTAGTATTAGTGTTAGTATTAGTATTAGTGTTAGTATTAGTGTTAGTGTTAGTATTAGTGTTAGTATTAGTATTAGTGTTAGTATTAGTATTAGTATTAGTGTTAGTGTTAGTATTAGTATTAGCATTAGCATTAGTATCAGTATTAGTTAGTGTTGGCATTAGCATTAACATTACTACTAGTATTAGTATTAGTATTAGTATTAGTGTTAGTGTCAGTGTTAGTATTAGTATTAGTATTAGTATCAGTATTAGTATCAGTATTAGCATTAGCATTAGTTCTAGTATTAGCATTAGTATCAGTATTAGTATTAGCATTAGCATTAGCATTAGTATTAGTATCAGTATTAGTATCAGTATTAGCATTAATATTTCCGATCAAACGGGGCTTTTTAGCATTAACATTAGTATTAGTATTAGTATTAGTATTAGTATCAGTATCAGTATCAGTATCAGTATTAGTATCAGTATTAATATTTCCGATCAAACGGGGCTTCGTGGCCGCTCGGATCGGGGCACCTGGAGCCGCTCGGTGCTCGAGGAGAGGGAAAACCTGGCCCGGGGGTTTAACCCTTTCCTGGGAGCGCAGGGACTGCCAGGGGGCAGCTCCCGGGGAGGGACACGCGGGGACAAACCCTGCTGTGCCAGGGCAGGGGACACACGGACACAGCAGGACAAACCCTGCTGTGCCTGGGGAGGGGACACACGGACACAGCAGGACAAACCCTGCTGTGCCAGGGCAGGGGACACACGGACACAGCAGGACAAACCCCGCGGTGCCAGGGGAGGGGACACACGGGGACAGCCACCGCGGCGCCCCAGGGACAGCCTCTGCCCCGGCCTCCCGGCGCTCATTTAATTACCCTGGAAGGGAGGGGGGGTGCCCGCTAATTGCACAGGGCGATTGATTGGGAAAATGTCATCTCCGCTGGCCTCTGTTGCCAGGGTGACCTCGGCCGCTCTCGTCCCCGGGTGCCCAAAGCCACCCCCGGTGGGGGACACAGGAGTGGGGTGTGGAAGTCCCTGTCCTTGCTCCAAACCCAGCCCGAGGGAGGGAGGGAGGGAGGAGGAGATGTGTACGGGGACATGGGGATGTGGAAATATCAGGAGATGTATAGGGACATGAGGACACATGTGGGGACATGTGTGAGTTGTTTTCTGTAGATTTGGGGTTTTTTGTTTGTGTTTCTGTATAGAATTTTCTGCATTTCTTTTTCTTTGTAATAACAGAAGTGGTTAGGGGGGTGTTCTAGTGAGAGGTTGGTAGTTTTGATGGTTGTAAAATGGTGTTTGTGGTGCTGGGCATGCTTGACATGGGGGGTTGTTATTTTGTTGTGTGGAAACTCTTGTAGGGTGCTGTTATTTCGTTTTAAGGGAGTAAGTTTGGTAATGATGTAAGACATTTGTAGAACAGTTTTTTGGTTTGCAGTTGGGACTTCTAAGTTTTTACTCGAATTTTCGGTCAGAAGTTCAGGAGGGTTGTTGTTTTGTTTAGGACTCAATTTTTCGGTCAGAAGTTCAGGAGGGTTGTTGTTTTGTTCAGGACTGTTATTTTGGACATTGCAAAGCTCGTGTACAAGGTTGCACATGTGGACAAGGGGACACGGGGACATGTGTGGGGACACCCCTGGGGACATGGGGACACAGGGACAGAGCAGGAGCCGCTCCCGGCTGTGCAGTAAATGCTTTGTGGGCTGCGCGGCTGGCGCTGGGTGATCGCCTCCGGGTCCCTGCGTTAATTGCAGGCAGTAATTAACGTAATGACGGCGATGGCGGGACCACTGCGGGAGCGCAGGATGCGAGCGGGGCGGACCCCGGCCCTGGCCTCATTAGCTGCCGTCACTAACGAGGTGGCCTCTGTCCCCGGCTGGGCTCGCGGTGCTGGCACTGCCCGGCGTGGCTCCCTTGTGCCTTCGGCCTCCTCTTCCTCGCTGCCCCCGCGCTCCTCGGTGCCAGGGCACGGCCCAACCCCCCCGAGCTGTGCCGCACCCGGGGGGCCCGGGGGGCTCCAGTGACACCAGTGCAGCCCCAAACCCGCCCCGGCATCCAGTCTGGGACCACCTGCCCCTCCACTGGGGCGGTGGCAGGGACGCCCGCACGGTGTCACCGTGTCCCGGAGCCCGGCCGGTCCCACGGGAGCGCGGCTCGGCTCGGTTTGAACGGGACAATAAACCCGGGCAGGGAGGCGGGCAGGGCCCGGGGGTGGGGCAGGGGCTGTCCCCGCGGTCCCGCGTGGGGCAGGGCGGTGGCAGCACGGTGGCAGGACAGTGGCAGGACGGTGGCAGCACGGTGGCAGGACAGTGGCAGCACGGTGGCAGGACGGTGGCAGCAGTCCCGGGGGTGGCGGAGCCGCTGGAGCGCGGGGCTGTGCCCGGACATCGGGGCAGGTACGGGGAGCGTGGCACGGTGACATCCACGGCCCGGACAGCGGGGGGACACGGCTGGCAGGTCCCTGGGGTCGCGGGGGAGCCGCCGCTGTCCCCGGGAGGAGCGGGGTGCCGGGGCAGCCCCGGCCGGAGCAGCGCCTGGGGACGCGGGGCCGCCTTTGCGCCCCAAACCACATCTGCAAAGTGGGGCGAGCGGGGGAGACTCATGGCTCGGGCACGTCCTGGGAGCTGGGGAAATAACCCCGGGGAGGCTTTGACCCGCCCGGCCGAGCGCGGGGGCGTTTCCGGCGTGCCGGGGCCGGGAGGTGACAGCCACCCCCGGTGGTGACAGCCACCCCCGGCCAGCCCCGTGGTGACAGCCACCCCCCGCCCGTCCCCTCCCGGGCCGCTGCCACTGTCGCCTGTCGCGATGGGTGACACGGGCCGGGCCGGGGCTGGCGGCGGGGACAGCCGGGGTGGCTCTGGCTGCGGTCCCAGTGGGACACTGGGGTCAGGGAAGCAGCAGCACCCACGGGAGGGTGACGGGGCCGTGTGCCAGCCCGGGAGGGACCGAGGCTGCTCCTGTCGCCGCCGGTTTCGCGTGGGAAGGAGCAGAGGGCACCGAGGGCACCGCGAACCCCCAGCTGTGGGCACTGCTCTCACCCAGCTCCTGCACGGAGCGGGAGCCGAGCCGGTGATTTCAGGAACAAAACCTCCTCAGAACTGCCGTGGCAGCGCTCGGGACATAAATCTCGGCGGGTTTCACCGGCTGTGCCAAGCCCGGGTGGCGCCGTGCCCGGCCCTGCTGAGCCCTGCCAACCTCCGGGAGCCAGGGCGGCTTTTTTGGGGTGAGAAAACTCTGCTTTGGGGCTCCTGAGGCGTTAAGGACACCCCGGGACGGGACAGTGCCCCGGGGCCGGGCAGAACGCGGCTCCATCCCGGGTGGGGATTTTGGGAACATCCCCTGGGGTGAGAACTCGGTGCTGGGCTCGCAGTGGGCACAGCGTGTCCTGGGCCTTTGCCATCCCAGCCCTCCCTGGCCCCCAGGGAGCCCGGGCTGGGCCAGAGCAGGGTTTGGCTGTCCGGGCTGTCCCCCGGAGTGGCTGGGGCTGGCACGGAGCCCTGGCACCAATTCCAGCCTGTCCCGCCTCCCCAAAGCACAGTTTTTAATCTCTAATTACTGAGCTGGTGAGTGACTTTCATCAAGAGCTTTCTTGGAACCAAGATTTCTTGGATACCTCCTTGAAAACATTTTCCCAGTGCTTTGATTCACTTTTTTTCCCCTTTCCCTGGCTGCCTTTGCAGGGCACTCAGCCCCATGGAGTGTCCTGCCCGTGCCAGCTGCAGGTGCTGAACAAACTGTGCTTTTGTTTGGGACACAGGGATGCTTGGAGCTGCTGAGTGCAGCCTGGTTGGGCGTCCTGGTGATCCTGACCAGGCACAAAGGGGCTCAGAGATGCCAGGCACGGTGGGGACATGATGGATCAGCAGCTTCATGCCTGATCCTGAGCATGAGGGGACCAGGATAACCACAGATAATCCCAGGAATCCAGTGTGGAACTCAGGGCAGGCTGGTGTGGGAGCAGAGAGCCCAGGAAAGCACCTTGGCATTTCTCACCCTAGCTATCGGCGTCCTGGAGTGAGGAGGGAGGGCAGGGGGTGCTCTGAGCCACTGACCAGAGCCCCGAGGGCACAGCCAGGGTTACTGGCCCTGAGCAGCCCCCTGGGACCCCTCCCCATCACCCCGGGCTTGGGAAGCTCAGCCAGGGCTCAGTTCCAGACCAAGCCCCAAGGTGCCACTGGCTGCAGCTTGGCCTTGGAGCTGCCTTGTCCCAGTGGATGGAATGTGTCCCACCTTGGCTTTGTCCTCTTTGGAATCCTGGCTCTGGGCTTCCCCACCTGAACCTGGACCTCTCATCAGGAGCTTGGCTGAGGCTCAGGGCTTGTCCTGGGTGCCACCCCTGCCTGGGACCTTGGAATGGGCTGGGAAGGACCTTAAAGCTCATCCCATCCCAGCCCTGCCATGGCAGGGACACCTTCCACTGGCCCAGGCTGCTCCCAGCCCTGTCCAGCCTGGCCTGGGACATTCCAGGGATGGGATCAGGGTTTGTGGGCTCAGTGTTCTCCATCCCCTGAGGTTTGTCTTGCCTCCTGTAGGGTTTTCCCTGTGGAGCAGCTGCCTCCCCTGGGCATCCCTCAGCCTGTTTAGGGTCTCTGAGGGGATCCCCCACATCCCAGTCCCAGGGGAGCCCATCCCTGGCAGGAGGAGAGGGGGCAGCGTGCTTGCCAGGAGCAGGGGATGGAGGCTTTGCTGTCCCTCCTTTGTCCTTTTGTACACAAAGAGATAATAAAATATATGAAAGCCAGCTGTAAGCACTATAACAATGCCTTATAAATAATCCTTATCACAAGAGTCAGTGATTCACGTTATACAATCAATATATTAGCAGCGTTTGAAGAGTTAAGACAATATTTTTTAAACATTTATGCAATATTAACAACAGTCACTATTTATCAATGTTACCTATAGAAAAGAGAAATAAGAGAGGCTACAGGCTCACTGCCAGCAATCCCCAAAACTCTGAATCATCGGGGATCAGCTGATGACCCTGCAGACAGGATCTGATCAAAGTTCCCCAAATGTTCTGTCTTCAGAGACATTTTGGTACTTGAATCATCAGGAGGGTGGGACACTCCCAAAGGCTCCCACTCCCATTTGTCCCACAGGTGAGGGGCAGCAGGCAGAGCAGGGATGAGATCTCTCCCACACAGAAATAAATCCCTCAGAAGCCCCTCAGGGCTCAGACTGGCTGTGACCACTGAGATCAGGCAAAGCAGGATGTGACACAGGGCAATGCCAGCCTCCCTTCCTCCCTGCTGTGCCCCTCGTGTCCCTGGGTGCTGCCAGCTGGGGACACCTCTCCCTGCAGCCAGACAGGGGCTGATCCCAGAGGGACAAAGGCAGCACAAAAAACCCCTCACAGCTCCCCGTGTGACTCCTCAACACGACAATTCCACAGAAACAACGGCAGCAGAACTCACCAAAAGCTACCGCCATGGTTAAAGTGTGCAAAACTTGGACATAAAACAAAATATTGCCCAGAGACATTTGGTACTTGAATCATACATTGAACACTCGTATCCTTACACAGTGGTTTCACTGTCTGTGAAACACTTTTCACAGTAAGATTTCCATCTGTGTCACATTTGGAATAGCACTGATTTGCAAAGTGTCTCCCTTTTCTGCACCTTGGGCAATGATTCGGTGCTGTCACATTTTCCACAGACTCTGGGCAATATTTTGTTTTATGTCCAAGTTTTGCACACTTTAACCATGGCGGTAACTTTTGGTGAGTTCTGCTGCCGTTGTTTCTGTGGAATTGTCGTGTTGAGGAGTCACACGGGGAGCTGTGAGGGGTTTTTTGTGCTGCCTTTGTCCCTCTGGGATCAGCCCCTGTCTGGCTGCAGGGAGAGGTGTCCCCAGCTGGCAGCACCCAGGGGCACAGCAGGGAGGAAGGGAGGCTGGCATTGCCCTGTGTCACATCCTGCTTTGCCTGAACTCAGTGGTCACAGCCAGTCTGAGCCCTGAGGGGCTTCTGAGGGATTTATTTCTGTGTGGGAGAGATCTCATCCCTGCTCTGCCTGCTGCCCCTCACCTGTGGGACAAATGGGAGTGGGAGCCTTTGGGAGTGTCCCACCCTCCTGAAACCCTTCCTCCCTCCTTTTTGTTTGTGAAAACAAAGAAAGCAACACCTGGGGCTGCCCCTGGATCCCTGGGGGTGTCCCAGGCCAGGCTGGGCAGGGTTTGGAGCACCCTGGGATGGTGGAAGGTGTCCCATGGCAGGGGTGGAGTGGGATCAGCTTTAAGGTCCCTCCCAACCCAAACCACTCTGGGATTGTGTGTGCTGAGCTCAGGGGTGTCATTTAGGATCCAAGGACAGGGACAGCACCAAGTCCTGGGTGTAAAGGAGGATTTTGTGGGTCAAAGCTTCTTCTGGGCAAGCTCTTGGCTGCAGGTGTTTGAATCTCTTTGACCTGGAATGAGGATGGATGCCCAGCCAGTGGCACCTGTGAGGTGTTGGGACAAACCAACACCCACGAGGAGCAAGAGGGAAGTTGATACTTTGGGTAAAAGAATGGAAAAAGTGATCAAAGGAGTGAGATAAGAAATCAGGGCAGGGGCTGACTTCTGGTGGGATTATTTAATAATAAGGTAATTAATGCTTTATCCCTCACTGCCTCCTTTCACATGAGGATCACAAAGCTCCTCACAAACATTAATTAATCTTCCCTACCATCCCTGCAGGAAGGTCACAGGGCCACCAAGCATGAGGGAAATCTTGTCATTGATGGAGGTGGCTGCTCCCCCAGCACGATGGAGCTGGGCTGGCAGGACAGCGACAGCTCCTCACCAAGGACTTCAGTGATTCCCTGTAGCTTCCCAGAGGGCAAAAATGTCTTGGAGCTGTCACAGGGAGCTGGGATGGGCGAAGGCTGGTGGGAGAATGTCCCTCCCAGGGGCCATTCCTGCCCTGGAGCCTCGGGGGGCTGGAGCATGCAGCTGGACCCCTGTCCTGGCTCAGTTTCAAAGCTCCGTGGCTGTCCTTGTCCCCAGGGCCTGGCAGCGGTGCCAGCATGGCTGAGCAGGACCCGGCCACAGGCTGCCCACGAGGGAAGCAGCAGCTGCCAGGTCAGTGTGACAAGGCCGTGGTTTGGGGATTTTCCCTGCTTTCAGATGGTTTTTGAGGCAGCTGAGTGTGGGACACGGGTGTGGAATGGGGAAGGAGGTCTGGGGTGAGCAGGGGCAGGTGCTGGGAGCAGCTCTGGGATGTTCCTGCTTGGAGGGATGCAGAAACAGAGCTGGGAGAGGGATGAGCAGAGCCCAGAGGCTGGGGGCTCACCCTGCAGGGCCTGAGCCCGCTGTGAGCCAAACCCTGAGCCCAAGGGGTGACCCTGAGGCTCGGGGGAGGCGAGGGCAGCGCTCCTGCAGCTCTGGAACGTTCTGTCCCGTCCCTGACCCTGAGACCCTGAGAGCCAGCTGTGCCTGCAGCTCTCAGGGTCCCCGTGCCCGGGGAAGCCACCCCAGCAGTGGCCACCCCTGGTCCCTGTGCCCGGCCTGGCTCCCCTGGCACTGGGGATGTCCCCTTGATTTTCCAGCTTTCACCTGGGAGGTGAGGGCCAACGACCGCACCTACCACAGGCAGGCCAGGAAGAGATTTGCCTTCTGCCTGAGCAAGAGGAAATACTCGGTGAGCCCTGGGCCTCCCTTCCCTGGCCTTCCCTTCCCTGGCCTTCCCTTCCCTGGCCTTCCCTTCCCTGGCCTTTTATTTTATTTTATTTTATTTTATTTTATTTTATTTTATTTTATTTTATTTTATTTTATTTTATTTTATTTTATTTTATTTTATTTTATTTTATTTTATTTTATTTTATTTTATTTTATTTTATTTTATTTTATTTTATTTTATTTTATTTTATTTTATTTTATTTTATTTTATTTTATTTTATTTTATTTTATTTTATTTTAATCATTTTAATTTATTTTATCTTATTTTATTATTTTAATTTATTTTATCTTATTTTTAAATTTTTTAAAATTATTTTATTTTATTTCATGTTATTTTATTTTATTTTAATTTAAATTTTTGATTATTTTATTTTATTTTATTTTACTCTTTTTAAATTTTTTTTTTTTTAGCTAAATAACATCAAGGTCAGTGAGCTGGGCTTTAAATCAGAGCCAGAATCACAGAATATTCTGAGCTGGAAGGGACCCACAGGAATCCAAGAGTTGGACTCTTGGATTGGCCCACATGGAGAACAAACCCACCAGCAAATGGTTTTGTTCTGAATTTTAAGCTGCCTGGGATCTGATGAATTCCTGTTTTCCTGTCGGAACCCCAGATGATGAGAATTTTAAACTTTCTGTACTCACAAATATTAACCCCCCAAAACCACTCCATTTAACCTAAAGCCATAAAAAAGCTTCCAAAGTTAAATAATAAAATTAAGAGTATAAGTGTGTAGTTTAATTAAGTGCTTAATATCTCGTAGTAGAAAAGTTAAAGTTTTAAAATATAGTAATATATATAAAACAAAATGAGTTTTAAAGCAAAAACTAATCCTTCTTCTTCCCAAGTTTGTCGTATTTTGTAATTAAACAAAAAAGTCCACATTACAAGACATAAGTAATTAGTCATTAAGTTAGAAGTAAAAGTAACTTGTAATTTCTTAATTAAATAGGGTTTTTTAAAAATCTTATAAAAATAGATACGAAGCCATCTGTACCTTGTTAGTAAAATAATAAAACTCAGAGCTTGTAAAACTATGATATAGATAAAAAATAATAAGCATCGAAATCTGAACACAAAATACCATCTCAAACTCTTTCAATCCCAACCCTAACCAAAACAGAAAGAGAAAATAAAACCGCAACATTGGCGGTGCCCCATGTGAGGGAAAAAAAATTAATTAAAATAGCATGTTATAAAAACAATAATATTAACATTAAAAATAACATAAAAAGAAAAATATATGAAAAATTAAATATAAAAACATAATAATAAAATTAATAATAAATAAATATAATACTATAAAAATAACATAAAAATAAAATAATATATTAAAATGAAAATATATTAAATAATAATAAAACTTAATAATAAACATATACAATATGAGTAAAATAAAATAATATAAAATAATATATTAAAATTCAAAGGTATTAATAATAATATAAAATACACAATTATATTAAAATAAAATATTTTTAAAATTTTTTCATAAGAATACTATTTATTAATAATAAATTAAATTATAAGTAATATAAATTAATAAATTATATAATGGTAATAAGAAAAAATTTAAATAATAGTAAATAATAAATAAATGTATTAATAATTAAATATTTGAAATATTGATTATTGATTGTAATAATAATGATAATTATTATAATACTGATGATTATGATAATAATAATAATGATGGTGATAATAATGATAATGATAATGATAATGATAATGATAATGATAATGATAATGATAATGATAATGATAATGATAATGATAATGATAATGATAATGATAATGATAATGATAATGATAATGATAATGATAATGATAATGATAATGATAATGATAATGATAATGATAATGATAATGATAATGATAATGATAATGATAATGATAATAATAATAATAATAATAATAATAGTAGTAGTAGTAGTAATAATAATTTTAGAACTCAGCATTTTCCCTCACGGCTCTGATAATTCTTTAAGGCCTGTCTTGTGCCGTGAGGCTCCTCAGCACAGCAGAACTCCAGCCCTGGCAGAGCAGCGGCTGATTTCCGTGCCCCCTCCTGCAGGGCAATGCCATCCGGACAGCCAAGTACAACGCGCTCACCTTCCTGCCCCTGAACCTCTACGAGCAGTTCCACCGCATGGCCAACCTCTACTTCGTCTTCGTCATCCTCCTCCAGGTGGGGCTGGCACCAGGGCCCGGGCTGGCGCCAGGGAGGGCTCCCTGCAGCCCGGGGCACGGAGTTTGGCCTGGAAGGTTCCCCCGGAGCTTCTCCGTGCTGCTGGGTGTCTTTGAGGAGCTCTGAGGGGTTGAACCATGCTCAGTGTGGTTAATTTAAATTAAAGCCTCCCAGCAGCAGGGGGACGTGGAGCTGCTGCAGCCAGGCCAGAGATGCTCCAGGCCTCCAGCAGGGAGCCCCTCTGCTGGTTTTATTTCTCTCCTCCAAATTTTTGATTTCTTCTTTCAGTTCTCTTTCTTCTTTTCCTTTTCCCTCCACGTTTTAGTTTAACTTCAACCCTGGAGCCCCTCTGCTCTGAGCCAGGCTGGCAGAGCTGGGGCTGCTCCCCTGGACAAGAGAAGGCTCCAGGCAGAGCTCAGAGCCCCTGGCAGGGCCTGAAGGGGCTCCAGGAGAGCTGCAGAGGGACTGGGGACAAGGCCTGCAGGGACAGGAGCCAGGGAATGGCTGCCAGTGCCAGAGGGCAGGGCTGGATGGGAGATTGGGCAGGAATTGTTCCCTGGCAGGGTGGGCAGGCCCTGGCTTGGGGTGCCCAGAGCAGCTGTGGCTGCCCCTGGATCCCTGGCAGTGCCCAAGGCCAGGCTGGGCAGGGCTGGGAGCAGCCTGGGACAGTGGGAGGTGTCCCTGCCATGGCAGAGGTGGCACTGGGTGGGATTTAAGGTCCCTCCCATCCCAAATCTTTCCTTGATTCTATAAAATTGGTTGGGTTTCCATGGAGGTGAAGCTCAGATTGACCACACCGAAACAGAAATTCATCCCTCCAAAGTCAGAGACCCAGGCGCATTTCACACCTCAGAAAGAGGTGCAAACCCAGCAAAAGAGGTGTCTGTAGCAGAGATTTGATTTGGTGATGCTGAGATGGGTTCCTGCCACCCTCGGGCCCTGGCTCGGGAGCCAGGGAGTCACTGTCACCTCAAGTGCCCCAGGGTGGGACAGGAGCTGTGTCAGTGCTGTACAATCTCGTTCTCCAGACTTTCCCCGAGATCTCCACGCTGCCCTGGTACACTCTGCTGTTCCCCCTGAGCTGCCTCCTCATCATCCGGGGGCTGCGAGACCTCATCGATGACATTGTGAGTGGGGGTGGCCCTGGGGACATGGGCAGGGAGGGCCCTTTGCTCTGAGCTGGGCTGGGGAGCTCAGGGGCTGCTGCCGCCCCTCAGTCCTGAGGGATCCCCTCCTCCACCACATCCCCACGATTTTGTTTTCCCTCGGGAAAGATGTGACACCCTGGCCACTTCCCTTGGGGTCCAAACCCTCATTTCTGTCACCTTTAATAGCTTGACCACGGGCTGGAGTGCCAGCTGGGTCCCCAAAAACATCTGGGGGGAATTCAGCTCCTTTATTCACCAGAACAAACCTTCCCACAGCTCAGAACACAGCTCTGGAGTGAGGAGGGAGGTGGTGGCAGCAGGGGGGTGTTTTTGTGGGACACCACAGCCTGGCATTCCCGTTCCCATCCCCTGGCCTGTCTGTCTGTCCTGTGCAGGGCCGTCACCGCAGTGACAGGAGCATCAACAGCAGGCCCTGTGAGATCCTGGCTGGCAGGAGGTGAGGGGCTCGGGGGGCTCTGCCTGTGCTTGCCACGCCAGGAACGCCTGTGCTGCCATGGAGTGAGAACCCTTGAGCAGCTGGGGAGGGTTTGGTGGGACTGTCCTGGACTCTGCAAGTTCCTGTCACTTCCCAAAACGTGCCACAGGTCCTCCTGTAGGATTGGTGATGTTCCAGGCATAGGCAGCGGGTTTAACAATGCCCCAGTTTGCTGAGATGTGCTGGGGGAGGCTTTCCTTGGCCACAGAATTCCTCAGGCCCTCAGATCCAGCCCTGGAGCTGTGTCCCTACCCAGTGCTGCTCCAGGGAAAGATGAGCTTTCCCAGCTGTGCTCAAGGTGCTGAGAGCCTTTGTGAAAACAAAGAAAGCAACACCTGGGGCTGCCCCTGGATCCCTGGGGGTGTCCCAGGCCGGGCTGGGCAGGGTTTGGAGGTGGGGACAGGGACATGGATGTGACACACGGCTCCTGTGCCACCCTCGGCGCTCAGCCCTCTGCAGGTGGCACAAGAACCTGGAGACCCAAATCCTGCAGGAATTCGGGACAGGCAGGGGCTGAAACACCCGCAGCCCCCAGTCCCACTGCTCTGCAGGGACACAAAGCTGTCCCCTCTGTCCCCCGCAGGTTCTGCTGGCAGGAGTGGCGCGACATCTGCGTCGGGGACATCGTGCGGCTGCGCAAGGACAGCGTCGTCCCGGTGAGGGCTGACCAGAGCTGGCTGTGCCCTGGGGACACCGGTGACCAGGGGCTCACCCAGCTGCTCTCCCCCTTTTCTCCTCCTCAAGGCTGACCTGCTCCTGCTGCGCAGCTCCGAGCCCAGCAGCCTGTGCTACGTGGAGACCGCTGACATTGATGGGTGAGGACAGGATGGGACAGGGACAGGGACAGGGACCCCTAGGGACCCCTCTGGCTGTGGGCTGATGCCTTGAGGAGCTGGAACAGAGGCTGGAGGGAGTTCAGAGGAATAAAGTGGATTTATTGCAGTGCCTTCCAAGGCCACACCCTGGCAGTGCTGGAGGGTCATGGCTCTGCCTGGATGGTTCCAAGATGGAAGCAAAAGGACTTGGTCACGAGATCTCTCATTTTTATAAGTTTTAGTCCATTTGCATGCAGGAGGTAACTGTCCAATTAACAACTTCAAATGATGAAGTTTCATCCTCCTTGCTTGCTTACCTGCCCTCCTCTTTTCACGTTGTTTGTGCTTTGGGCCTGAAGTTTGAAGAGATTGTCCTTGAGTCTCCAGCTGGAATAGGATTGTTTTGTCTTCACCAGCCTGTGAAAAGATCCTAGTATAAATCCTGTATCCTATATCCTATGTATAGGATATATAGATAGGATAGATATAGGATATAGGAGATAGATAGATAGATAGATAGATAGATAGATAGATAGATAGATAGGATATAGATAGGATATAAATAGGATATATAGGATATATATAGGAGATAGTAGATATATCTATATCTATCTATATCTATCTATATCTATATCCTATATATCCCATATATCCTATATATATCCTTAATATAAAGCTAAAAGCTGCACACCAAAACAGAACAGGAAAACTTAAAACCCAAGGTCTCAGGGGGACAGAGACCCTGGACTTGGAGACCCCCCAGAGCTGGGAGGGTTCAGTGGAAACCACAGGATGTGGGAGAACCTCCAAAACCCAAACCTGCAGACACCCCAGAAATGTGGATTTAACCCACAAATTTTGAAAATGGGAGTCCAGAGGCGCCTAAGACTTGTGTGTCCATCTCCCAGCTCCCTCCCAGCCATCCTCCCTGTGCAGGATGATTTAAGGACAGGGTCCCTGGGCCGGGGCTCTTCCTGCACGTGTGGCACGACAGGTCCCTCTCTGGCACCACTTGTGTAATTAGCTGATAATTAATGACCTGTCTCTGTCCTGTGGGCCTGACAGGAGGATGAACAGCTCTGTCACCCCACAGGGTTGTTTTGTTTTCCTTTCCCTGGTTTCTGCTCACAGGGAAACCAACCTGAAGTTCAGACAGGCCCTTCTGGTCACCCACCAGGAGCTGCAGAGTGAGGAGAGCATGGCTGCCTTTGATGGTGAGTCTGCTGGCTGGGGGGGATGTGGCCAATCCCACTGGGCTGGGATGGACTCAGCCTTGGGAATTCTCTGCTCCCCATCAGCCCAGCAAGAGGCAGCCAAAGGCCTCATGGGGAGGCACATCCCATCACTTCTGTGATGGATCCATCAGGGCTGGGCACCTTCCCCCTGCCCTGGGTCTTGATTTTCCTGCTGGAAGCAAGCTCTTGGTGCCCAAACCTGAGCTCAGCCCCTGCTGCTCCTCCACAGGAGCAGAGCTCCCCTCTCCAAGGCCTTGGGGATGAAGGGGGTTGTGTTTGTACCTTCTCCAGTGAGGTTCCTGCACTGCACAACCTCCCAGCACCTCCCTTAGCCTTAACCTGAGACACCCAAATCCCAGCTAGAGATGCCCTGACAATCTCTGGATCTCCCCAAGAGGCCCTGAGTGTTGGATTATTCTCAGCTTTTTACAGACAGGGTAACTGAGAGGCATTTGAAAAGGTTTTATTCCATTATCAGTCTTGATGAAGGGTGAAACATAAGAGATGTTACAGTCTATGCCATTCCACCAGAAGCTAACCTATTTCTTGGTTATAATATTTCATTTTAAAAAACATACATTTTTATAATTTTCCATTTTATAATACTTTATAACCTTTTCAGCCTGTTAGCTTTTGCCACACAATGCTGCTAATACCTTTAACACTAATAACCTACATTTTTACCATTACAAATCCATTTCTCACACCCGAGCACCCCTCTTTGGGGGGGACTCATGGGGCTGAGAGGGGAGAAGGCTCTCCCTGCCCCCTGCCCTTCCCTGTGCCAGGGCGATGAGATATCTGTTTCCTGGGATGTTGGGGTCCACTCTGGCTAGCTACAGGCTCTTGCCCACACCATAATTCACAGATGGAGGTAAAAGGTTGAGAAGCACTCTTCTCCACGTGGGAAACGTTCTCCTTTATTCCAAGACACACACCAGGTGGACAAACCCATGGGAGAAAGAGAGCGTTCCCTGGTGGCAGGGAGCTTTTATACCCTGGGATGGAGATAGAGGGAGAGGTCCTCTATAGAGTCAGTGGGATACCAGTGAGGGACCACCAGGGGGTACTGGGGTGTGTGAGGGAAAGACCTTGTGATGGGGGAAAGGGATAACAAACCACGTGATAAAACATAAACTACACCGCGCAATACCAAACTATTCTGTGCAAATCCCCAACCCCCCGTTGCAAGAGAACAACTAACACTGGTGCACCACCGCAGGGCGGGTGACGTGCGAGGAGCCCAACAGCCGCATGCACGCCTTCACGGGCGCCCTGCGCTGGCGGGGCCGCAGCCACGGCCTGGACGGCGAGCGCATCCTGCTGCGGGGCTGCCGCCTCCGCAACACCGCCCTCTGCTACGGCCTGGTGCTCTACGCAGGCGAGTGTCCCTGTGGCTGGGGGGTTGAGCTGCCCGAGTTCTTCCAGCAGCCCCAGGTGGTGTTCCCAGCTGGCACAAGGCGGAGGAGATGCCGCGGTGTGTCCTGGTGGGAGGTGAGGGGGTGCCAAGCCTCTCCTCATCCCGGGTTATCCCCCCAGCTGCACCTGTATTTGGTATAAAATGTCTTGGGTTTAACATGTTTGGAGAATCAGAATGGTTTGGGTTGGGAGGGGCATCAAAGCCCATCCAGTGTCAGCCCTGCCATGGCAGGGACACCTCCCACTGTCCCAGGCTGCTCCAAGCTCCATCCAGCCTGGCCCTGGACATTTCCACTCATCCCAGATCCAACCCACCCACCTCAGGCTGTGGGGAGCTGTGGGGAGAGGGAGCTGTGAACATCATGTTTTGCAGCCTGCAACCATGGCTCCATGGACACTGAGAGAGGGAGGGTCTCCTCAGGGGAGGGGAGGTGTCATCATGGAGGAAGCAGCCTCACTGACCTGCACCTGAACCTTCTGGGGACTTGCATTTTTACTTTGGAAATGTTTCCTGCCCAGGGTTTGATTCCAAAATCATGAGGAACTCTGGGAAGATCAAGAGGAAGAAAACCAAGCTGGACCACCTGATGGACCGGCTGGTGATCGTGGTGGGTGTGGGACAAACACCTCTGCCCTGCTCCTGGGGTGGCTCACAGGGCTCCTCACGAGAGGCCTCTTGCTTGGGTGGTGCTGCTTTTCTTCATCTTTCAATATCAGGCCCAAAATATCTTGTGTTTAACATGTTCAGAGAACCCCAGAGTGGTTTGGGTTGGGAGGGACCTTAAAGCCCATCCAGTGCCACCCCTGCCATGGCAGGGACACCTCCCACTGTGCCAGGCTGCTCCCAGCCCTGCCCAGCCTGGCCTTGGGCACTGCCAGGGATCCAGGGGCAGCCACAGCTGCTCTGGGCACCCCAAGCCAGGGCCTGCCCACCCTGCCAGGGAACAATTCCTGCCCAATCTCCCACCCAGCCCTGCCCTGTGGCACTGGCAGCCATTCCCTGGCTCCTGTCCCTGCAGGCCTTGTCCCCAGTCCCTCTGCAGCTCTCCTGGAGCCCCTTCAGGCCCTGCCAGGGGCTCTGAGCTCTGCCTGGAGCCTTCTTGGGAAGATTCTGGTGGGCTCTGTGACCCTGGGGCTTTCTCATCTTGGGACCTTCTCGTGCTGGTTTCCCACCCCAGATCTTCCTGCTGCTGTTGGTGACATCCCTGGGCCTCGCTGTGGCCTCTGGGTTCTGGGCCAGGACGTTCCAGGAGAAGCACAGTTACCTGGCTGTCCTCTACCAGCACACGAGCCCTGCCCAGCAGGCCTTCCTCAACTTCTGGGGCTTCACCATCCTCCTGAGCATCATCATCCCCATGTCCATGTACATAACGTAAGGACCACGGAGCTTGGTGGGGACCAGGGCCCAGCACCCACCCTGCCCTCGCTCCTCACCTGGAACTGGGGTCACAGCCCCAAAATGAAGGTCCAGGTGTGGCCCAGGTCGTTCCCAGGGGCTCCCTTAGCCAGCAGAGGGGAAGGGTGGATGGGGTGTGTGTCCTACAATCACCAAGGATGTGCTTTGAGATCTTTCCAGGGCAAAAGCAGAACAGGGATGTGAGCCCTGGGCATCCCTGGAGAGGGACTTGGGGGAAGGGATGGAGGGATGGGACACAGGGAATGGTTTCCACTGCCAAAGTGCAGGGATGGATGGGATAGAGGGAATCATGGGCAGGCTGAGGATGGCTCTGAACAAGGTGCAGCTCCCTGGGTGCAGGATCTGAGAGATTCCTGGGCTTCCTATGGGCAGCAGCAGGGAGGAGAAGAGCACAGCTGCTTTGTGCAGCCGACAATCACAATTCATGCTGGAAAAAGCTGTTTCCAAACTTTTGGGCCCTTCACTGGACCTCCAGATCTGTGAATTTGGTCAGCAAGGGCCACAGTTCCAGAGGGGACCCAATGGGTGATGAAAACCCTCTGGCCTCCCCTAAGCCCAGAGGAGTAGGATCAAGGTGGGGATGTCCACCTGCCTTTCCTTCCTGTGTCAGGTCCCCAGCACCCTGGGCTGTGAGGAGCACCACCTCCTTCTCCCTGTTTTCTGCTCCTGCACTCCCTAGGTTCGAATTCATCTACCTGGTGAACAGCTGTTTCATTAACTGGGACCTGGAGATGTATTATGGTGCCAAGGACATCCCAGCCGAGGCCAGGAGCACCAGCCTCAGCGACCAGCTGGGCCAGATCCAGTACATCTTCTCGGACAAGACAGGCACCCTGACCCAGAACATCATGAGCTTCAAGAAATGCTGTGTCAACGGGACCATCTACGGTAACCTGGGCCAGGGTTGGTTTGTAGGGGCTCAGATGAACCTGGAGCTGGTTCCTTCCACCCCTCCTGAGTGCTTGGGACAGGGGGATTGGTGTTGGTAGGAATTCTCTTTGTCTTCATCTGTGTTTTTGGAGCGTTGCAGGTGCACCATTTATTATTGTGTCTGGGTTGGAAAAGTCTGCTAAGGAAGGCAGGAGCCTCCCCTGAAATGGGAAATGTAAACCCCCACCCTCTGAATTGTTATAATTTTGAAATTTAAAGGCTCTCAGGCAAAGATATGGGAATAGGAATAACAGTTCTTTATTGGGAAAATTAAAATACAAATGCAATAGTACAAACAAACACTCAAAAAAACACTACCACAGTCAGAGCAGGACCTGACACGCTGTGTGTCAGGTCCAGCTCTGACAGATGGGAACAGAACATACAACCCCAGCCACATCTTCCAACCTAAGACTGTTGTTGTTTTTAATGAAGGAATGGGATTATTGTTGGGTTAAGAATGATTTATTGTTTACATAAATATTAGTTGTAGAAGTTGTTAGATTTTAAAGGAATAAGTAGTTGGTTATAGTTTAAAGTAGTTATAGGTTTTTGTTATAAGAAAAGATACAATTTTTAAATTTAATAGGTAATTGTTATGATGTTTATATTTTTATTATATTTATTTAATTTTGTTGTAGTGTAGATATTTTTGTTTAATGGGTTTTTGTTATATGTTTATATAACATATAAACATATATATGTATATATATATATCTTTATTATAATTTTTAGTTTTAGTTTTAGTTTATTTTAAATTTTTGTTTTATTTTATTTTATATAATTATATTTTTATAATAATTTTTATAGTTTTATTAATATAGGTTTTTTATTAATTTAAGGTATTTTTACTCATAATTATAGAAATATAAGTTAATGGGTTTTTATTTAATATTTGTGTATTTTATTTTTATATTAAGGTTTTTTTAAGGTTGCAGATTAAATTTTTTTCTATTTGTGGAAGTTTTTATTTTTTATTTTATTATAAAATTATCATTGTCCTTAAGCTCTTCAATTAGAGTGACTATATGTAATTGCTTTTTTTTCTGTTTTTGGGGTTTTTTTAACCATTTTTGTACACTTAAAAATACATTATTTTTAATGCTTCTGCTCAGTTTTCCCCATAAAGCCTTGGATAACTTTGGGAGCCATCATGATGCTTAATTAGTAACATTTAATGAGCAGGGCAGGCCCAAGCTTTAGCATGAAGCCCTGTTAAGTAGCATGTGTTTGAGACAAATAGACAGTGATAAAAGCAAAAAGGAAGGCCAAAATACCCTAGCAAAGCTTTTAGGCAGGAATAAACCAAAATTTCCCTGCCTGGTGTAGCACATCCCACCCCTGTGGAGCAGCATCCCCTCATCCCAGCAGGCTCTGGCCAAATGCAGAATCTCCCAGGAAATGCAGCTGAAAGTAGACCTGAATTTTCAACTTTAAAATCATGGTGAAAAGCTGAACAACAAGCCAAAAAAGTGAGGATATCCCAGTGGAGTCCAAGCTGAGCAGATGCTGAGCTGGTGCCTTTTTACTGTTTTTTTGGCCAGCAGGAGCAGGAGTCCCTCCAGAGAAGCTGCTCCCAGCCCCCTGCCAGCCCTCTGTTAACAGGATTATTTTTATTTTGGCAGGTCCAGGCACAGGCCATGAGAACAAACAGCCACTGGTGAGTAAACCCTCCTCCCACGTGCCATGGGGGTGACACTGGTGACACTGGTGGCACCAGGCACAGCCTGGTGCTGAGGAGCTCAGCTGCCTCCCAGCAGGGTCCAGGCTCTGAGAGGGGTCTGATGAGTTTGTCATTCAGGACAGGGGAAGGGGGGTTATAAAAGGATGCAGTTATGATTTTTAGGGTTTTTTCACTGCCAGCTGTTTTACACTTACCCCGTTGGTGTGGGCAGTGCAGAGCTGGGCTCAGCCCCTGGCCTGGGTCTGTGCCCTGGGGTCTCACTGGCAGGGAGGGGAAGGGCACCTTAAAAGTGTCTTGGCTGGAACAGACAGGTGTGTGCTAAGGAGGGCAGGAACCTCCCCTGAAATGGAAAATGTAAACCCCCTCCCTCTGAATTATGATAATCCACTCAGTGGCCATGGACAGCAGAGATCTCCTGGAGGGAGGGTTGGGTGTGGGGGAGATAAAGGAAACTGCCCCATGAACAGAGATAACTGCCCCAGAGATAGGAATAGAACACACGCACCCATTTCCAACCTAAGAGAGAAGGACCACAGAGTGTCACTGTGTCACATCCCGGTGCCCCTGCGGACACAGAGCCCCATGCTTGGTCCCACCAGGCTCCTGCATCCTGCCCGTGCCTCCTGCAGGGCTCGGGGCTGGGCCAGGAGCACCCCGGGGAGCAGAACTCGGATGTTTGCGATGTGACGCTGCTGGAAGCCGCCCAGAGGGACGATGACCCCGTGCTGAGGGAGTTCCTGAGGCTGCTGGCCCTCTGCCACACCGTCATGGTGGAGGACAGGGGCGGTGGGTTGAGCTGCCCCTCGGGGCTGTGGGGCCGTGGTGGGGTTTGGCAGTGCCCAGCAAAGCTCAGCTGTGGGGTGGGAGGACACAAGGGTGGCTCATGCCACTGTCCCTGTGCCATGGATTTGTGTTTGGGGGAGTTTTAGAGCTCATGGGTGGGAACAGAAGCACAAGAGGGATAATCCTGTCTGGGGCAACGAGCTAAAGGGGTCATAGAATCACAGAATGGTTGAGGTTGGGAGGGACCTCAAAACTCATCCAGTGCCACCTCTGCCATGGCAGGGACACCTCCCACTGTCCCAGGCTGCTCCCAGCCCTGTCCAGCCTGGCCTTGGGCACTGCCAGGGATCCAGGGGCAGCCACAGCTGCTCTGGGCACCCCAAGCCAGGGCCTGCCCACCCTGCCAGGGAACAATTCCTGCCCAATCTCCCATCCAGCCCTGCCCTGTGGCACTGGCAGCCATTCCCTGGCTCCTGTCCCTGCAGGCCTTGTCCCCAGTCCCTCTCCAGATGAGACCAGCAGGACTGGGCTTCCCCAGCCTGGCAGCTCAGGCCCAGGGTGTCACAGCTGGGCAAGAATGGGGCACTGCAGCTGTCCCAGTGGGGTTTGCTGGGAATCTGTGCGTGTGTAATCCTCCTCCCCTCCTGCAGACCAGCTGGTTTACCAGGCAGCCTCCCCAGATGAGGAAGCGCTGGTGTTGGCAGCCAGAAACTTGGGCTACGTCTTCCTGGCCCGGACTCAGGACTCCATCACCATCAGGGAGCTGGGCAGGACCAGGACGTACGAGGTGCTGGCCATGCTGGACTTCAACAGCGACCGCAAGAGGATGTCTGTCCTGGGTGAGAGGGCTGGGGTGGGCTGTCCCAGGTCCCTTGGGCTGTCCCAGGTCCCTTCTGTGCTCAGCCCTACAAGGGATGGCCCTGGCATGGCTGCAGGTGGCCACAGCCAGCTCCTCAAGGTCATCCCTGGTCATCCCTGTGGATTTGGTCACCTTGGTCAAGGTAGCCAAGAAGAGTTTGAGCAGCCAAGAGAGAGGAAGTAAATCCAGGGCTCAGAGGAGTTGTGTGAGGAACTGACAGTCCCTGATTCTGCCCCGTGGTGGTGCAGATCTGGGGATATTCCTGTGCTTCCCATGGCCACAGATGGGAACCACCAGCGAGCCCTCGGGTGCCTTCTGGGGGCCAGCACGGGCCAGCGTGGCCACTGTGCAGGGACAGCGATGCTTGGGAGCCATCTCCGAGGGGACCTAAGGTGTCCTCCCCCCCTGGCAGTGCGAGACCCCCAGGGCACCATCCGGCTCTACACCAAGGGCGCCGACACCGTCATCCTGGAGAGGCTGCGGAGCCGAGGGCCCAAGGAGACCCTCACCGAGAGGGCTCTGGACGTGAGTGCCACCCCAGCCCGGGGTGACAGCACTGCTCTGCCTCCTGCTGGCTTTGGGCTGGGGTCCTGCAGTCCCTGCCCTGCTGCTCTTCCTCTCTCTGCCTTAGGGATTTTGGTTCTGCCTTCTGCTCTAGGAGCCTCACCTGCATGTGGGACAGGGGGTAAGAGGGCATGGATTGCATCTTTGGTGTTCTGCATGGACCAGCTGCATCCAGGGGTGCTCGTGGGGATGCTGTAGGATAGGGGGAGTCAGAGTCAGAGCCCAGGTCCTGGAGTGTCTCTGGCTCTGCCCATGGCTGGCCTGGGGTGATGCCCTGGTCCTGTGAGAGTCTCCTGGCCCTCTATTGCTGGTTGGGGATCTATGTACAAATCACCAATGGGACGGGACTGCTGGGGAACAATTCTCGAGCTGTTGTATTTTCCAGCATCACTCTCATTGCATGGTTATGACAATGGGAAGATGCCAGCAGCTCACATCCCCAGCAGCAGATTAAGAACTCAATGTTACAACTCACTTTAGAAGTTTTTTGACCAATCACACAAAGCAAAAGCATACTGACAGTAGTTCTATCCAACTGCTATAAGCACAGGTACCTTTGGTTCAAACAATGCTTGCTTATTTTGAATACAATACCTGCTTGTGAGCCTTAAAACACAATGCACAGAGCTTAATTAATAAACCTAGAACTTCCTAATATCTCACTAGATAGACTTTTCTGCAGCTTAGGGAGTTATTCTAGCCAAGTGTTAATATACAGCCCACTGTTCTATTTGTCCTTACTTTCTACTCTTCATACAATTTCCCACAATCTGCTGGGGAGGGAGGAGAGTCCTGACGTGTGCTCCCTGCAGCGCTTTGCAGAGGAGACGCTGAGGACGCTGTGCGTGGCCAGCAGGGAGGTGAGCGAGGCCGAGTTCCGCGCCTGGAGCCGCAGGCACCGCGAGGCCGCGGTGCTGCTGCACGGCCGTGCCCAGGAGCTGGACAGGCTCTACGAGGAGATGGAGCAGAACCTGCAGGTGGGACGGGGCTGGCGTCAGGAGGAGCTCTCTGTGCCCCAAGGGCAGGCATGTGGGGTTTGGCTCTCCAGGATGAGGAGGTGAAGTGCCCAGCCCATTCCCTGGGGGCAGGACAGGAGGAGTTTTCCCTGAGGGGTGACTTTGTGACATGCCAGTGGACACTGGGGTGTCAAGCTGTAGATGTCAGGTTGTGTCACCCCCAGCAAGGGCTGCTGGTTGGATCCAGGGGTGATTCCCACCTCTGTGTCCTGCCCTGGCCCGTGCCATGACACCCAGTCACCCCCTCCAGCTGCTCGGGGCCACAGGCATCGAGGACAAGCTGCAAGAAGGAGTCCCCGAGACCATCCAGCTGCTGAAACTGGGCAACATCAAAGTGTGGGTGCTGACAGGAGACAAACAAGGTCAGTGGAGGCACCTCCAGACCCCCCCAACACATTTCAGCTTCTCCCCTGACCAGGACAAGGGAGGAGAAGGGCCACTGGGAGTGGGCAGGAACTGGTCCTGCTGCTCCCTTTACTCTCCAATAGCAGCACATCCCACCTGCCAGGGGAAACTGAGGCAGGGGAAGGAGCTGCTGCCCACCAAGGGCTCTTGCAGCCAAGGGCTGGGGCTGCCCTGGGCTGGGGCAGCACCAGGCACCATGAGAGCTGCGTGTTGCAGAGACCGCGATGAACATCGGCTACGCCTGCAGGCTGCTGACAGACGACATGGAGATCCTGGAGGAGAAGGAGGTCAGGTGAGGAATCGTCCTCTCCTGGCTCAGGACATCGCTGGCCCTGCTGAGGACACCCTAGGACAGAGGAACTGGGGCAGGGTGGGCACAGCTCAGCTCAGCCAGAGGAGCTTCTCCTTCCCTGTGCTAGCCTGGATGTCCATGGTCTTCATCTGATGCTTTTCCAGGCCTCCTCACCTGCTCCTTCTCCCATCCTGTGCTGTTCCTTTGCAGGCTTTGCCCAGAAAAGGTTTAGGCTTCTCTCCAGCTTCTAAACCAAGCTGATTTCTGATATGAGTGAACCCCCTCTTTGTTCCTCCTGTTCCCACCACAGTCCCATCTCCCTACCTTTGAGATGACCAAGGCCTCACCAGCATTCCCAGTGTCCCCAGCTCATGTCCAACCCCCCTTCCTCCCACAGCGAGATCCTCCAGGCTTACTGGGAGAGCAACAACAACCTCAGTGGCCGTGGGGACGCCCCGTGCAGCCGCCGCCTCTCCCAGCAGCGCCCAGAGACTCCGTGCCACAAGAGAGCCATCATCATCAGCGGGGACTTCCTGGTAAGGTGGCACCTGGATGCTGTTCTCTGCTCCCTGCCTGATGGTTGTTCCTGCCCTGGTGGGATCAGAGTCCTGGGTGGCACCAGCACGGGCAGGACGTGGTGCTCCTCCTGCCCCAAAAGGTGGGAAAAGCCCATTTGGGGCTGGGGAGGGAAGGGTGGAGAGGAGATCAACCTTGCACTGAGCATTTGGTGTTGGGGGCTTTGGCCAAAGCTGCCCAGTGTTCTGGGCTGGGTGGTGATCACAAGCTCTCGTGGTCACACTGGGACATACTGGGCTCATGGCCACAGCACCCACTCTGTGATGAGCTTGGGGAAAACCAGAGTCACTCTTTTGGGGCATTTAAGAGCATTGCTGAGGGCTCTGGGTGAGGTCCCAGCCGTGTGTGCTCTCCCCCAAGGACAACATCCTGCACACAGGAGAGGTGCTGAAGGAGAAGAAGGGGTGGCCGTGGCGGTGGCTGTGCTGTGGCAGGGCTGAGGCCCTGCAGGACCAGGCAGGTCTGCTGGAGAAGGCCTTTGTGGACCTGGCCACCAGCTGCCAGGCCGTGATCTGCTGCAGGGTGACCCCCAAGCAGAAAGCCCTGATGGTGCAGCTGGTGAAGAAGCACAAGAAGGCTGTCACCTTGGCCATCGGGGACGGGGCCAATGATGTCAACATGATCAAAAGTGAGGCTCGGGCAGGGGGAGGTCGGGGTTCTGTTGGTGTGTCCCACTGGTGATGGTGGTGCCCCATTTGTCATCTCCACCACCTCACCCTCCCCTTTGGGCTGAGGAACTGGGAGGGGAAGCCCCAAACCTGTTCCCCATGTTGCTGTGCTGGGAGGGGAGCGAGAGGCACAGCACAGGGACCAGCCCAAGACAAGTGAGGGTGGCTCACGTGCTTTTGGCACCTGGGATGAACCTTGATGAACCCTCAAACCCCAATGTGGGCAGCTGGCAGAGCCACCCTGCCCCTCCCAGCAGCCCTGACAGTGGGCTGTGCTCTCACACCATGCCTGGAACATCCAGGACATGGGACAGAGGGGGTTCCCTTTGTCTGTCACCCCTGGATTCACATTCCCGGGGACAACCCACGGGGACATCAAGCCCCCAGCTCCCCCAAACCTCCCCGTGTGTGTTTGCCACCCGCAGCCGCAGACATCGGGGTGGGCATCAGCGGGCTGGAGGGGCTGCAGGCCGTGCAGTGCAGTGACTACGCCCTGGGCCAGTTCTCCTTCCTGCAGCGCCTGCTGCTGGTGCACGGCCGCTGGAACTACCTGCGCATCTGCAAGTTCCTCCGCTGCTTCTTCTACAAGACCTTCGCCGGCCTCCTGGCCCAGGTGTGGTTCGCTTTCCACAGCGGATTCACGGCCCAGGTGAGCGCTGCAGGGCTCACATCCAGCCTGTGGAGGTCTCTGCAGCAGAGTGACCACCCCCTGCTCAGGATCCCCTGCAGGGATCATCCCTGGGGCTGCCTGGAGGACACGTGTCCACATCACCCCCTTGGTCCCCTTTTGTCCCTCACCATGTCCAAATTCTGACTGAGGCACAACTGGTTATCTGCATTTCACCTGGCTGGATTGGGAAAGCATCCCGGGGAAATTCAGGATCTCCTCGTGTGTCATAGTTGAGACAGAGGCAATACAAAGCAACACTCCATTTCAGAAGGCTTCAAACCCATTTTTATTATAGCATGCATATTTTTATACATTCTTACAAAACTCATAAGTTTAGACTTTACTCATTGGTCAGGAAAGACCAGCAAAGTGCTTATTGAAGTAGCCAGTTGCAGGTTTGTCTTATCCTTCTTTCTTTCTTGATTTCTATGTCAATGACCTTGGTAGAAAATTCTTTCAGGGGTAAACATGGATCCTCTTCTCAAACTTCTCTCTGGCTCACAGAAGTTGCTGTAAAACCTCTTCTGCACTTGTGAGCTGCACTTCAGTCTTGGACATGTGCAGGATCCCATGTGCATTAAGCTGGGTTCCTCCAAACTGGGAGCTTTGATCCCAAGGGCCATCATCGAGTGTTTGACCAGCAGCACACAGAGCTCCAGCCCCATCTCTGTCTGCAGCATGACCCTACAGACAGTGTGGGGCTGGTGCAGGGAGTGGGGCAAGCCCAAGGGGATTTCCATGTGTGGATCTGAGTGTCCTGGGGCCTGTTCATCCTTTGTGAGTCTCTCCAAAGCACCTCCAAGCTCACAGCTTCTCCCTGTTCCCTTCTAGCCTCTGTATGAGGGCTGGTTCCTTGCACTCTACAATATTTTCTACACTGCCTACCCCGTGCTGTCCGTGGGCCTTTTCGAGCAGGTACGGCTTCCCTGGGCTCCCCCAGCCCTGTGCCACCCTGGGCAGCTGGGAGCCAGCCTGGCACTCACTGCCCCCTCTCCACAGCCCTTTGTGCCACACACGGCACTGGCAGCTCCGTGGGCATTTGGAGCTCACCCTCAGTCCTGGGTGCCTGTCCCCAGACACCCCAGAGCCACTGGGCAGAGAGACCCCCTGCAGCTCTCCCAGAGGGTGTGTGGGGTGGGGCAGACCCATCCTGCTCCCCCAGTCCCTGCATCCCCTCTAGGAATCCCTGCATCCTCTCTGGGATTCCCACCCTGCCCCAATCCCTGCATCCTCTCTGGGATTCCCACCCTGCCCCAATCCCTGCATCCCCTCTGGGACTCCCACTTTGCCCCAATCCCTGCATCCCCTGTGGGATTCCCACCCTGCCCCAATCCCTGCATCCCCTCTGGGATTCCCTCCCTGCCCCAATCCCTGCATCCCCTCTGGGATTCCCACTTTGCCCCAATCCCTGCATCCCCTGCATCCTCTCTGGGATTCCCACCCTGCCCCAATCCCTGCATCCTCTCTGGGATTCCCACCCTGCCCCAATCCCTGCATCCCCTCTGGGACTCCCACTTTGCCCCAATCCCTGCATCCCCTGTGGGATTCCCACCCTGCCCCAATCCCTGCATCCCTTCTGGGATTCCCTCCCTGCCCTAATCTCTGCATCCTCTCTGGGATTCCCTCCCTCTCCCAATCCCTGCATCCTCTCTGGGATTCCCTCCCTCTCCCAATCCCTGCATTCCCTCTGGAATTCCCTCCCTCTCCCAATCCCTGCATCCCCTCTGGGATGCTCTCCCAGCAGGATGTGAGTGCCAAGAAGAGCCTGGAGTTCCCTGAGCTCTACGTGGTCGGGCAGCAGGATGAGCTCTTCAATTACCGTGTTTTTGGTGTCACCCTCCTGCATGGGGTGGGCACCTCCCTCATCAGCTTCTACATCACACTCTGGGCCTTTGAGGACCACGTTGGCACCAAGGTGGTGGGTGACTATGAGTCCTTCTCTGTCACAGTGGCCCTGTCAGCGTTGCTGTCGGTCCTCGTGGAGGTGAGCACTGATCTGCTCTTGCTCATCCTGCCCCACAGCAGATCTTTAGGGTCCCTGGGCTCTGGCACTATCCCCAGTGGCTTTATGGCTGGGGGATGATCTCCCTGGGATGGAGGAGGGATTTGGACAAAGCAGCTGAATGGAAGAGGGTCAGCAAGGCCCTCCTGAGACTGCGTGCTCTGTCCCCACAGATTGTCCTGGACACTCAGTACTGGACAGTGCTGTCCTTCCTGATGGTCACAGCCAGCCTGCTCCTCTTCTGCCTCTTCTCTTTCCTGACCCAAACGGTTGATGCCTACAGGATAGCCCCTGCCATCTTCCGCTTCCCAGGTGAGCTGCCCTGGGGATCCCCTCAGCCCTTCCCTTCCCTGGCCTTGGTGCTAGGAGCTGTTTCCCACCCTGCAGATCACCTCCTCATTCTGCAGCTGCTACCTTGACTTCTAACTCCACTTTAGGTGCCATCTCCTCTTCAGAGCCCGCAGCACCTTCCTGGCAGGGGCCCAGCCCTTGTTCCCTGTTCCCTCTCCACCTTCCCTACCCAAACACCACACCTGTGTTGACAGATGCCAGCTGGAATGCCCTGACTGACCCCTATGTCCTGCTCGTGGTCCTGCTGTCCCTGGTGGTCAACACCCTGCCCTCGCTCACCGTCCACGCCGTCCGTGCCATCCTGGGCAGAGCCACCACCCAGCAGGTGAGGGCTGGGGCACTGCCAGGGCAGGTCCTGCTTCCCCCTGGGGTCTGGGATTGGTGTTGGCAAGGGGAGGCTCCCCAGGGAAGCCTGGATGTAGTGCTGGGACGTGTCACCTCTCCTTGGTGTCCCACTGGTGGTGGTCCCTCGTGACACTGGCACCAACTCTGACTCCAGGGGCCTCTCCCAGAATTGCTCCATGGCCCAGCCTGGCCTGGGCCAAGACAGCTGACCCAGCTCTTGGACAGGGTCTGCTTTTGGTTGCAGTAAGGAATTGTCCTCCAGGACTCCCCAGGAGGGTCTGGGGTCTGGTGCAGGTCCTGGTGCCACCCCAGCCTTGGTGGAGCTTACCACCACCGGGGTTGTGGGTTGTACCTTCAAAAGAGTCCAGGTGGAAGCAGGGGTTGAAATTGTGCTCCAGAGCTTTGTGAGCTTTGAAGACCCTTGGGAGAGTCCACATGTCCCTCATCCCATCATGGAGAAGGAGATTGTGGTGGAGCTGGGATCCAAACCCTGTCCTGGTGGGGATACCTTGTGAAGGCTGAGCCAGAACAGAGACTGGACAGAGCTGAAGAATAAAACAGGGATTTATTAAAAGGCCACAATGGATCCACCTTGGGCAGCACAAGAGCCCAGCCAGGGCTACACCCAAGATGAACCAAAATGGTCACAAAATGCACGAGTGCTCACAGGGTCTCTCACTTTGATCAGTTCTGCTCCATTTGCAGATTGGAGTTCATTGTCCAATTCCAGCTCCAGCCCATGCAGTCCCATCCTTCTTGTTTTTCTCTCTTCATTCCACGTTGTTTGTGCTCTTGGGCCTGAGATTTGGATCCTTTGTCCTTGGTCCCCAGCTGGAGCAGGAATTGTTTTGTCTCCCTGCTCTGTGCACAGAGCTCACCATCCCCTCATGTGAACCCAGACCCACACACTAAAGCAGCCCAGAATGTGAAAATAGAAAAGCTAAACCTGAGGCATCAGTGTAGGGTGTGCCTGTGCCTACCTTGTGTCCCACCTTGGGCTGAGGGCTTGCCTGAGAGGCGTCCACAGCCCATGTGGGAGCAGGGGTTGACATTGTGTTCCAGAGCTCCACGAGCTTTGCAGGTCCCCAGGAGAATCCCCATGGAAAATCAGGTAGATTGTAGAGCTGGGAGCCAAGTCATGCCCTGGTGGAGATGCCCCTATGCTCCCTTGCTGCCCAAGGTGGATTCATTGTGGCCTTTTAATAAATCCCTGCTTTATTCTTCAGCTCTGTCTAGCTCTGTTCTAGCATCATCTTGCTCAGCCTCTGCATCTTTAGCTCAGCTCTAGCTCAGCCATCACAAGGCATCACTTCACGTCCCCGCTTGGGCTGAGGGCTGTGCGGGGAGATGTCCCCAGCCCTGATGTCTCGCTGTCCTTGCAGAAGCTCCTGCTGCAGGCCAGGCGGGACGCGGAGCCCGCGGTGCAGCTGCGCTCGCACGTCCCCCGCGGCTCCCTCCGCCGCTCCAGCTACGCCTTCTCCCACCAGGAGGGCTACGCCGGCCTCATCACCCGCGGGGACAGTCTGCGTGCCAGGGCCACCCACGGCACTGCCCCGCCTGCCCTGCGCCCCCGGGGCACCCCGGCTGCGCCCTCCTGCCAGGGGCCACCCTGACTCCTGTCTGGTGGCCTTGCAGAGGGGCTGGCCCAGCCGGGGGGGCTCCTGCTGCGGGCTCCGTGACCCCCACGCTGGGGGCATGTGGCTTTGCAGAGCTGTGCAGCTGTGACAGCCACTGCCCGCTGCCACCAGGCTCCCTGCCCAGTGCCACCAGGGTCACTGACCAGTGCCACCATGCTCCCTGACCAGTGCCACCAGGGTCACTGACCTCTGCCACCAGGGTCACTGACCAGTGCCACCAGGCTCCCTGCCTACTGCCACCATGCTCCCTGACCTCTGCCACCAGGCTCCCTGACCAGTGCCACCACACTCCCTGACCTCTGTCACCAGGCTCCCTGACCAGTGCCACCAGGGTCACTGACCAGTGCCACCATGCTCCCTGACCTCTGTCACCATACTCCCTGACCAGTGCCACCACACTCCCTGCCCGCTGCCACCAGGCTTGCCCTCTCCCTGTGACCCCTGCCTGGCAGTCCAGCCCCCTTCGCTCTGCCGAGCCCTCGGAGCCTCTGGTGTGAGGCTGATCCCAGCCCAGGCTGAGCCCACAAAGGCAGTGCTGCCGGCCCAGAGCTCATTAACCCAGCTCGGGATTAATTAACTGCCCCATGGAGAGCAGCAGGGGGCTGGGGGTGCAGCCCCTCAGCCCTGCTCGTTCCCACCCACAGGGCACTGAGCTGCAGTGGCTGCAGGAAGAACCTTGTTTGTGTTCTCCACCAAGGGCTGCTCAGTCCTGTGGCTTTTCTGTCAGGCCACAGAATCCTGGAGTGCTTTGGGTGGTGTTGGATTATGGTTTGTTTGGTTTTTTTTAATTTAGAGATGGGGTAACTGAGAGATGTTTTAAAAACTTTTATTCTATTTTTAGTCTCATGAGAAAAGAGACAATACAGATGTTATAATTTATGCTATCACAATCAGAAGATGACTATTTCTTAATTACAACATATTATAAGCATTTTTTGGTTTATCAGCTTTTGCAACACTGTGTTGTAAATGCTTTAAAGCCAATAATCTAAATTACTCCTTGTGGTTTTATTACAATGCAACTTTCATTGTTCTATTTCTTTAAAGTATCTCGTCTTATTTGTAAGGCCATCCTTTGAAACTTGTTTCTAGTTTTAATTTTCTCCTAACAATGTCTGTCCTATTCCATGGCATTTGTAAGTCAGCATTTCTTATCTCAAGGTTTGCATACAGGTGCACACTATTTTCTACACATTTATTTCTCACTGTGGGACCTTAAAGCTCATCTCATGCCACCCTCTGCCACGGGCAGGGTCACCTCCACCAGCCCGGGTGCCTCAGACTCGAGCAGTGTCACTTTAAAATATCTCCTAATTTCTGGAGAGGCAGCCAGGTATGATTGATTGATTGATTGGTTTTTCTTCTCCAGCCAGACCAGCCTGGCTCCTGCAGCCTCCTTGTCACTGCCCAGCACTCCCAGCTCCTGCCTTTGCTGTCCCTGCCCTGCCCCATCCTCCTCTGTGTGCCCTGCCCCATCCCCACACACTCCCCCAGGTCTGGTGTCCCCACCTCTGGGCACAGCTTTTGCTCACAAACTCTGCAGAGTCCCAAAAAGCCCTTCTGGGGGACGTGGGGAAGCTCTGCCTGCTGGGCACAGGGGACAGGTCCCACAGAGCCAGGGCCACCAGCAGTGGCTGCTGGAGAAGTTGTGTGTGAACAATGGACTGGTGACCTCGTCACCCTTTTTATGGGTTTTGGTTTTTAATTAAAAGGACTTTTTAGCTTTTCTCTCCTCTCCTGGAAATCTCTGCTGTGCCACAAAGCAGCACTGAAAGGTCCCGTGGTCCCTCTGTCTGTGCCAGCCGTGCTCATGCCATGGCAAAGGCACAGGAGGAGAAGAAATTTGGGAAAAAGATGCACAATTAAATCATCCACGGGGCTTGGCCCTGCCTGCAGCTCACGGAGTCCATGGGTTTGTTTTACAAGTGCTTTGGCCTCATCTGCTCCAGGTTTGTGAGAATTAAAGTGTTTGCCTTGGGTTCTGGCCAGAAGGGATTGGATGGTGCCAAGAAATAAAAATCTTTCCTCTGGAAAAGCTCTCACTGCTGCAAGTGCCAGGTGGAAAAGAGGGGGAGAAACTTTCCCCAGTGTCCTGGGCAGGATCCCTGAACCTCCCAGGCCAGGAGTGAGGTGGTGAAAGGGGCAGGGGAGGGAAGTGACCCCCTCACCACCACAGGACACCACACACGCCAGGGTGAATGACTAGAAAATAATTTATTGAAGAAACAGAAAGCTGCAGAAATACAACACAGTCATGACCAGTAGAGGATGAACAAATAGAGATTAATTTTTTTCTCTCTTTTAAAACCTGTTGACAGGCTGGAGTTAAGTTTCCTGATAACTTCCCCTGCGTGAGTCATTGCAAAGAACAAGGAACAAACTCCAGAGCACACAGCACAGTTTGGATAAAGTGCCTGACACATAAGACTCTTTTTTATTTTATTTTTTTTCTTTTTTAACGTTTGTAAATAGCTTAAACAAATATAGTTGCAAGACACAGAGGAGTAACAATTGCATTTTGCTGTAGAACAAAACTTATCCCATGAGAGTAACAATGAAGCAGCAGCAAAAAAAAATTAAGTTAATTTAATTAGAACGAAAAAGTCATTTAAAAACTCAGAGATGTGGCCCTCAGACTGCATGGGACGAGGACGAGCCTCACCTATTGCTATACACAAAAATGAGCAATGTTTTCTGGAGGAGGCTGGGCTGGCAGAGCCGAGGCTGTGGGTTCTCCCTGGCCAGGCTGCATTCTGTCTGACTCCTTTGTTTCCTTTAGAAATCAAAGGGGGAAAATACAAAGAAACCAAACCAACACAAACCCAAATTCTGTTGTTTGCATTTTTAATTTCCTCTCTTTAAAAACGCCAGACAAAGATGTGGGAGGAAGTGGGTTCCTCGTGGCAGCTCCTGCAGGTCCGGCCCCACGGCTGGGTGTCCTCTGAGACAAGGGAAAGGAGCCAGCTCCATGCTGGGGACACGTGGTGGTGACAGGGACAGGCAGACGGGGCAGTGACAGCCCCGTGGTGAGGGAAAGAGGAGCTCCAAGTCTTCCCCACCCAGGCTTGGGATGTTCAGGAAAAAGGATGAACGGTGAATTTTTGGCAAAGCCATTTCTCTCGCTCTGTGCCCGTGTCCTACCTGCACAGCTGATGTTAGAGCAGAGAAGCTTGGCTCTGGTGGGGTAGAAATGTTTAGAACTGACCCCAGGAGCCTCCTGCTTTCCCAGTGGGGTGAGGTCAGTGCTGCCCCACTGCTGGCAGCGAGGTTTCAAAGCATAAAAGCCATAGTTGGAAAACTTCCACTCCAGGAAGAACTGGAGCGACTGGGGGCATCACAGCTCATGGAATGACCCAAATCCCCGAAAACTTCCACAGTCCAAGCAGGAGACACTGGCCAGGATGAGCCAGTAGGTTCTGGTGGGAGATCCCAGGTCTCCTCCTCTTCCTCACTGCCCTCCATCGCCCTCGGAGGTGTTCCCAGGGCCCCCTTTTCACTCCTGCTCCCCACAGCACAAAAATGCCCTTTGGGTGCAACTCTGGTCAAGAGAATTGTCTTTAGGACAGAGCTCGGATTGTCATTACCTGCAGGGGAAAAAAAAATCTTTGGTATCGTGGCAAGTTGCTCCTGAAGGCATTTTGGTTGGTGTGGGCAGCCAGATCCAGGGTGGGATCAGCAGAACCAGAGTCCTGGTGGGCCAAAGGACAGGGAACAGGGCTCAGATTTGGCTTCTCCAGGGTGTCCCAAGCCATCATCCCAAGATGGAATCAGCTGGTCTCAGTAAACTCCAAGGACTTGTGACTGGGGTTGTGTCTAAATCTGCTTGCAGCTGGAATTGTGGTCTTGGCTGTCAAGCTTCTCACGGTGGAAAAGGTCTTGGAGGAGGAGCTGGGGCGTGGTGGGGGTGCTGAGCTCTCCAGAGGACAGAAGGGTTGGCCAGCAGATGAGTGGTGCTGCTGGAACCAACATCATCTCCTCCTAAAAGCCAGGTCCTTGGTCAGAGGGTCTTCCACCAGCACCTGGTGCTGAGCACCAGACAAAGGCTGCAGCCTGAAAAACACCTTCCTTGGCTTTTGGGGACCACCTTGGTGGGGCCTGAAGGAGCTGAGATCTCTTTCCTCATGGTGAGCTGAGCTTTGGGTCCACCTCGAATGGTGAAGAGGTTGGGAAGGGCTGAGGAAGCAGCAGTTTCAGGGAAATGCTCAGGGAATGGCACCACTGCCTCCTCCAGGTCCCCATCACCCTCCTGGCCTCCAAAGATGTGGCTTCCCAATGCTCCTGTCTGTAAGCAGGGAGAGGAGGAGGAGCAGGGGGAGGAAGGAGCCACTCAGGGGTGGACTCTGGGCACTTCAGAAAGCTCCAAAGCCCAGGAGGGTGATGCCCAGAAAGCTCCAAAGCCTCCAAAGTGCCTTGAGGCCATCTGGTGGGTTGGGATCCTCCAGGGACTCCTCCACTGCCTGGACTCTCCTCCTTCCACCAGGGCAGTGTCTTTGCACAGAGCCAGGCTGGTGGCACAGGGAAGCCTGGCAGGGACAGAGTGCTGGCTGTGCCCCTGACCCAAAGCACACCCCTGGGGCCAAAGCCCCCAGGAATGGGTCACCCCAAAGCCCCCAGAAATGGGTCACCCCAAAGCCCCCAGAAATGGGTCACCCCAAAGCCCCCAGGAATGGGTCACCCCAGGCCGTGCCTGGTCCAGCTGGGCCTTGATGCAGCAGCATCCTCAGCACCCCTTTCTGTGCAGGGACAGGGCTGTGAGGTCGTCCCAAGGATGGGGATTTGGGAGCATCACCTGGAGAGGGCTGGCCCCGAGGGGGGTTTTGGGGGGCCCAGGGCAGTTTCCCTTGTCTCAGAGGACACGAGGAGCCGCATGGCTTTGCCAGCTCAGGTCGTGGTGGCAGCTGATTGTCTCTCCTCCTCTTGGCTGCACTTGGGATTTGACCCACAGAGCTGGAAAAGCAAAAAAACCGAACCCAAACCCCACAATTTCCCCCCCAAACAAACAGAAAACAAAGCAGAGCGAGGAGCCAGGCCTCAGGGGGAGGCAGGAGGGAGGGTGGGCACGGCAGGGTCCCGTGTCCCAGATTCCCTTACCCTGTTTGCTGGGCACGGGGCCAGGCTGTGCCCCCGCCTCCCCCCGTGGCTGCCAAGCCATTTTCAGGGCGAGGAAAGGAACAAAAGAGGTGAAGGAAGAAACTGAGGGGGTACATGATGACTTTCCCGTGGTTGTGAGTTGGAACAGAACCATGATCCATGCAGAGAAATCTTCATCAACCAAAAACTCGTGGACAAAAAAAGCACAGTTTGTCCCCTCCCGCTCCCACCCGACCACCCCTCCCCCAATAATTATTACATTACTTCAAGAAAGAGTATATTTTTCATGCATAAATCAAATTCTCATCTTGTCTTTTTTTTTCCTTTTTTTTTGTCTTCTTTAAATTACATTTGAACACAGAACACATATAATAAATACTCTCATACGACATGACTCAGAGAAAAGTAACACATCTGAACGCAAAGGTATCGTCATCATTATTAGTTTTTCTTTTTTTTTTTCTTTTTTTTTTAAAAGGACTTGTTTAAATATGAAATCTGTAAACTCCAAGGGTCCTTTTTTTTTTAATCTTTCTCTCTCTCTTTCTCTCTCTCTCTTTCTCTCTTTTTTTTAAATCGTGAAACTATCCAGCTTTCATTTCCTTAACATTCAATATGTCTCCCATTGAACGCATCAAAGAAATAAGAACATGCCGTCTTCTGCAAAATTATAATTTAACAGTATAAAGCTTCAAGTCACAAATTCCAAAAACTAGCTAAGTAATTTTTTTTTTTATCACATAAACTATACATTAAATATTTTGAGGTATTTCAGAGAACATTGTCAAAGGCTTGTAAGGTCTGTGCTGGGTGGCAATGAAGGCTTTCTCCTGCATAGAGAACATCTTTGGTATCACGAGCCAGGTGGGGCTGGGGACAAGGGGGTGGCGTGGCCAGGAGGGTGGCCCTGGCCAAGGCAATAGTGTGGAGGTGGGCAGGGGGGGCAGGGAGGTGACAGGGAGGTGACAGGGCCCTCTCAGGCTGCCCAGCAGGATGGAGTTGCTCTCACCAGGGGCGTTGGAGTCCTGGAATATCTTGGATTGGAAGGGACCTCCCCCAAGGATCACCAAATCCAGCTCCTGGTCCTGCACAGGACAACTCCAAGAATCACACCAGGGGTGGCCCTGGGCAAGTTTGGTCCAACTCAAAGGAGTCTCCTTGGCCTGACTGACCCAGGCAGGTACAATTCAACCCAAGTTTTCCCTAAACTGGGCATTCTGGACATTGCTGGGGAGCTCTGGCAGGTCCTCCTGCTGCCTTCTGCTGAAGCCAAGGGCAGAATGGAGCAGACCTGGCTGCTCAGGTCCTCCCCACTGAGCCAAAAACGTCCCTCTGGGGACTTGGAAACAGCTCCTGCTGGAAGGATTCAGTGCTCCAACCCCTTCCCTAAGGGAAGAGTTTGGAGAAAGCTCAGGGTGAGGCTTCCACTGCTCCTGCCTTCATCTTTCCAACCAGAAATGCCACAAACTGTGCTACCAAAAGTGGGAAGCGAAGCTCAGATCTGAGCTGAGTGAGGCAAAAACACCCAGAGCTGAGGAAACTCAGCTTTGTCACCCCGTGAGGAAACTCAGCTTTGTCACCCCGTGAGGAAACTCAGCTTTGTCACCTCGCGGGCTTCTGCAGGTCCAGCACTGAGGCTGGAGAAGGTCATGGAGCAAAGCCCTTCCTTGGGAGCAGCATCCCTGGGCACCAGGTCTGTGCTCCTGGGGCAAGAGGGGCTGCATGGAGGGACCCTGGGACCAGCTTGGGGACACAGGGACATCTGAGAGTGGGGACATGCCGGGGAACCAGCACCTTTCCCTCAGCCAGGGGGATGTTTTCTCTTCAATTAGGACAAGGGTTGGGCTTTCTTTCCTTCATCCCAACACCCAGAGACTACGAGAGCCCTGGGACTCTGTCCCTGCCGAGAGCTGAGGGCACACTGAGTCTTTAGGATCAAAGCAGAGGAGCAAAGAAATGGCCACACACCTTTGGTACAAGAAAAAGGCACTCATCTACCACGCTGCCATCCCGGAGTCGCTCGCTCGCCTCCTCCCTCGCTCTCTGGGGACAGGACAGGGCTGGGGCTGGGGCTGGGGGTGGCCAGGGGGCCACGGGGAGCAGGGAAAGTGGCGTTTCCAGCACAGACCAGACAAGGCAACAAAATCTTTGGTATCAGACGTGATTTTCAAATCACAAAAATTGAAAACTCAAGTGAGGTAGCCTTTAGTCTCGGGTTCTCACTAGAAATGTCTTTGCATCCTTGAGGGCCTGTGGCATTTACTCTTTTTTTTATTTTCTTTTTTTTTCTTTTTCTTTCTTTTCCTTTTTTTCCCTTTTTTTTTTTTTTTTTTTTTCTTTTTTTCCTGTTGTGTTTTTCACTTCCCAAACCAAGGCCCCCTTCCTGGCTTTGCAGCCCTTGAATACTACTCGATGGGGTTCAGGAATCCACCACCATCATCACCACGTCACGACAAGACGAAGAAACAACATTAGGGGAAAAAATCAGTGGCGGGGAGCGGGGTCCTGGGGGGGATGAGATTCCCGTGAGGTTTTGGGTTCTGGTTGGCAAAACACGCTGTGGCACCTGCCCCTCCCCGCTGTGGCCTCTCCTCCCTCTGTCCCGCCCTCTGTCCAGCACTGGTGGTCAGTCTGGTGTGGCCGTGTCCAGCCTGACACCCCCAGCCCTCCACCGCCCACCTACCCCAGCAGCTCTTTGGTTCAAGGCGTCCTCTGACCCTGCCCGCTCAGGGCTTCGTGTGCAGGGCTTTTTTCTTTCTCTCTTCATTCTTTTGTCCTTTCTTTTTTCTTTTATTTTGGGGGTGCTTTTTTTTTGGTTTTGGTTTTTGGTTGGTTTTTTTTTTTTTGGTGAACACATACCCTTTTCTTTTCTTTTCTCTTTTTTTTTCCTTCTTTTCAACAAGGTGCCTTCCTGTGACACAACTGATCACTCTCAAAGTAAAGTGAATCGAAGAAACCATAGAACACAGATGGTACTTTTTACCCGCATAAATTCAAGAGTGTCCCTTTTTTTTTTTTTTTTGGTTGATGGTTGGTTTTGGAGGATTTTTTTTTCCCCAACTGGTGGGGGAAGAAGGGGACCTTGCCTCCCCGTTCATCCCCAAGCCTCTCCCAGCCCTTCCCTGTCCCCAGTGGCATCTCCTGCTCCTCCCGAGGAGCCCTCGGGGGGCTGGGAGAGGGCTGATTGTAAGGGTTTGGCCTCGTGATTGCTTTTTTATATGGCACAAGTCACCATCGAGAGCTCGGAGGAAACGATCCCTTTGAAGCTAAGTACCATTGCTCCAGAAATTCGAGTTTAAGGCAGGTTGTTAATTGGCACAAAAAAAAAAAAAAAAAATCTGGTGTCTTTTTGGTAAGTTGCCGGTCTTTGTTGAGCTTGTTTGGTTGTGGTTTCTGTTGTTATTCCTTTTTTTGGAGGAGGGAGTTGGTTTTTTTTCCCTTTCAATCTCGTTGGGGAGTTTTCCCCCTTCTCACACCCAGGGCTGGATTTCGCCACCAGATCCCTCGGATTTTTCTTTCCCACCGTGCACCGACGTTGGTTCCCAGGAGGGAAATTTTTTTCTTTTTTTTTGGTTGTCGTTGTTGTTGTTGCGTTTTTGGTTTAAGGCAGGCTTTTAATTGGCAAAAAAAAAAAAAAAAAAATCTGGTGTCTTTTTGGTAAGTTGCCGGTCTTTGTTGAGCTTGTTTGGTTGTGGTTTCTGTTGTTATTCCTTTTTTTGGAGGAGGGAGTTGGTTTTTTTTCCCTTTCAATCTCGTTGGGGAGTTTTCCCCCTTCTCACACCCAGGGCTGGATTTCGCCACCAGATCCCTCGGATTTTTCTTTCCCACCGTGCACCGACGTTGGTTCCCAGGAGGGAAATTTTTTTCTTTTTTTTTTGGTTGTCGCGTTTTTGGTTTTGTAATTTCTTTGGTAACAGAGATGAAGAGGAGGGATGGGAAGGGGCAAGAGTGTGTGTCGAGGGGTGGATGGGGCGAGAGGCAAAGCCAACAAATCTGCTTTGTCTGTGTCCATTCCTCAGCCGGAAAGTGAAGCAGAAATCCAGAGGTGAAAGGTGGAGCCAGTCACCAGGACAGATCAGATCCTTCACTGCGAGTCTCTCCTCCCGTCTCCTTTCCAACAATTGTTATTTTAAATACCCGATTTCTGTAGCTAAAATGTGCTTCTGTGACCTGCTGGGGCGCCGGGCGGCGCGGAGCAGCGGGGGTCCCCTCGGGGCGGGGGTCCCCGCAGGCAGGAGGGGACTCCTTCACCGTGGGGCTTCTCTGGGAGGGATCTGGGAGCGGGGTGCTCTCGTGGGTGGGGGGCTGGGAGGGGCCTGCGGTGTGGGTGCTCCTGGGGGTGGCCGGGATGCCCGTAGAGGGAATGGGGGAACAGGGATGTTCTCAGCCAGGTTTCCAAAACCCTCAAGGGGTGGAAGTGGCATGGGGTGATGGCACAGAGGGTCTGGCTGCCTTGGGGAACCCCTGAGCAGGGGAAAACCTCCAGCAATCAGCTGGCAGGAGCCCGGGAGCCCTCCAGGCACTGGGAGCTCTTCCCCTGCTCAGTCCCCTTTGAACCATGCCAGGCTGTGGCACAGTGGGGCTGTGCCAGAGCCCAGCCTGTGACACCCCTTCTTGTGTCACCCCTGCCCTGGGGGAGCCACAAGGATGGCTGTGACAGAGACCAGGTCAGGACAGGCCCCTCTCCCCAAAAACCTTCCTGGGCAGGGGGAGACGAGGCTCTGTGACCCCCAAGGACCAGGGGTGCTTCCTTCCAACAGAGCCCTGCTCCTCCCTCCATCCCACACCACCCACGGGCTTCCTCTGAGCCCTCCCGGGGATGGAGCTGACCTGGCCACAAACGCTGTCCCTGCTCCACGAGCTGGCAGGAGGTGGCAGCAGGAGGTGGCCCGAGGCCCACGCCCATGGGTGACACCCAGCTGAGGGTTTGGGAGGCTGACAAACCCACCCCAAAAGCACCCACCCCGGTCAGGCCACGCGTGTGAGTCTGGGGTTGGCTTTGTCATGAGGGGGACATCCAGGAAGGGGCAGGGAGGGCTGGGGGACATCATCATGCTTTGGAGAAAGTGCTTGTAGACGACGAGGGGACCCCGGGGTTGGCGCCTGGCTCCTCCTGCCAGCGGTTCATGCAGCGCCGGCGGGCGTTCATGAAGAAGTTGCTGACGGTGGTGAGCTCCAGGCCCAGCTGCTGGGAGATGGTCATCTGCATCTCCTTGGACGGGCGCTTGTTCTCCTTGAAGATGGCGATCAGGGTGCGGCGCTGCAGGTCCGTGAAGACCAGGCGCTGCTTCTTGGGCTGCAGGCTCCTGTCCTTCTGCTGCTCCTGCTCCTTGCGCTTGCAGGCTGGAGGTGTTCAAAAGACACAACAGCGCTGTTAATTTGGGCTTCCCCACCCCGGCCCGCTTGCAGGTTGCCCGGCTGCCTCCCAAAATCCAGGCCCTTCCCGCCAGGAAACTGGCTCGTGTCCCACTGCTCCCTCCTCTTCCTCCCTGTGCTCCTGAGAAGGGACAATTGTGACACCAGGGTGACAAAAGCCTGTGGGAAGCCCAGGGAAAGTCTCAGCATCTCCAGCTGACCCTGGACTAGAGACTGAGGAAAGCCCTGGACTGCTCTGTTCCCAGAGACTGCCTATGGGGACTCAGCCCTAAACTCTGGGGGTCACCCTTCGGCCTCCCTCAGCACGGTCTCACTCCTCACCACCCCTGTGGGTGTCCCTGCAGGTGTCTCCTGGCCACCACATCCAGCTGCCAGCTCAGAAATGCAGGGGACAGGGACATTATGGAAGGGTCACTCTGCAGCCTCAATCCCACAGCATCAGCTTGGAAGGACCCACCATGGATCCTCCTCTCTGGGAAGGGGTTTTCCTGCCTGAGCCATGGGAGGCTCCAGGAAATTCTGTCTCCCCTGGGTGCTTTTGCTACCGGATCCTCTGGCACATTTGTCAGCGTTGATTTAAAAGCCTTCCCTGCAGGTTTGGCTGGAGGCAAAGGTCAGCACAGAGGGGCAGCCAGTGGGGAAGCCAGGAAAGCCCCCTGACCCCAGCACACTGCATGAGGGCAGAGGGGGAACAGAGTAAAATAGATAAATATATGAATTTTAACTGTGGGGATATCAAGCACACTGTTGGTGGAAGGGGTGGGACAAGGGGACCTTTGCTATGATATTTTCTTAGAAAACTGTAAAATGGTGGAGGTGGCTGATCCAGGCCCTGCTCAAAGCAGGGCTGACCCTGAAGCTGTTGAGGTTTGATCTGGGTGCTCAGGGACTCAACCAGACACAGAACTGCAGGAACCTGAGATGCCACGGACAAGGCAGGGCATGGATCTGACCCCGCAGGGCTGGGGATAAAGCATTTCCTCCTGGGAAGCTGAGAAAAGAGAGAGCAAACTGTGGGCTGAAGACGTCCCAAAGGCAGTCCTGCTCTTGCCTGGGCCAGCAGCAGTTTTCACCTTTGGGCTTTCTTGGTTCAGATTTTCTGAAGGATTTTGCAGGGTCCCTTGAGACATTTGCTGTCTGGGTGGCAGATTTCAGCTTGGCACTTGCAGGAGCCTCTTGGGCCTGCAGGGCTCAAAGCAAGTCCCAAGCTCCGAGCACAGAGCTCGGAGGGGCCAAGATGCTGCAGGGGCACAGGACAGGTATTTCCCTTGGGCCAAAACCCTCCCTGCTCTGCAAACACCTCCACAGCCACAGGGGAGGCAATGTGCAGCTCAGGAGTAGTGGGAGGCTGTTTGGAGCCATTTCTTCCTCACTGGAAAATAAGCAATCTCCTCCTCCTGTAGTTCCTCAGCCGCCTCCACTACAAGCCCTCTTCACATCACCTCGAACTGAGAGAGAAGGATGAGATCCACCTCTTCCACCCAGAGCTGGGGAAATCTGGAGCTCACTGAAGGAGACAATTAATGCTGCAGATTGAGCTCTGTGTGCCAGCTGCTGGGCTCAGTCCTGGCCTGGACCCCACGCCGTGCTGGGAGCCACCAGCTCTGCCCCCATGGAGCAGGGGATGGGAGGCACCGAGCTGGACACCAGCAGCCACTCTGAGTCCAAACCAGCCTGCCCTGGTAAAGCCAGGGGAGAACCTTCCCCTGGTAAAGCCAGGGGAGAACCTTTCCTTGGTAAAGCCAGGGGAGAAGCTTCCCCTCCCCTTCCCCCTCCCCCAGGCAGGTTTGGCTGCACACCACCATCCTCAGGGACAAAGGGAACTCTGAGTGATGCCAGGGGACCCTGTCCCAGGGGTACCTTACTCAAACAGCCAGCAGAGAATGTGGAAACCTACCCTATGACCATCAGATGCTTGCAAAAAGAACAAACAAAAAAAAACCTTTATAGAAAATTTGACTTTGTTTTTCCCCCAGACATGAATTTTAAAAAAGAACCCCCCCAAAGTCCCCCCAAGCCAAACAACAAACAGAAACACTCCCCCCACACTTGTGCCCCTTGCCCACCCTGCCCGACCCTCCCGGCACCCCCAGCATGCTCAGCTCCTCACACCCCACCCACGGAGCCTCTGCCCTGCAGGATGGCCTTTGGAAGGTCTCCCACGTCCCCACAGGATGGGTGTGACCCAGCTGTCACCCTGGCAGTCCAGTCCGTCCTCTTGCTCTCCTTTCTGCTGGCACCCATTCCCACCCATCCAGCCCAAGGCGCAGCCTCCCAGCTTTCCAACCTCCATCCTTTTTTAGCAGTGATTGTTCCAACCCAGTCTCCCATCAATAACTCTGAGCTCCGAGGCAAACACAAACCACCCGGGTAAGCCTGGGCTCCTGCCGTGGGAGCAGTGCCATTGTCCAGGCACAGGTGACATCCCGCTCCTCACCCCTGCTATTTTGGGTTATTTTTGGCCTGCGCTGCCGCTGGCGGCCGCATCCCCCATTTCCTGTGCTGGTTTGTTTATTTATTAATTTCCCTTTCTGCTGACGCAGCCCCGCTCCCCTCTCCCCAGCTCAATCTAATTACAGCTCCGCACAGCAGCGATCGATGGCGGCGCTGCTCAGATCTATTTACGGCAGCCATCAGCCCCTCCTCGGAGGATCTTTTTCCCATTCCCCATCCCCTGGGTGCTGCTTTCCCAGGCAGCCTGGCTGTGGCTGTCCCCACGTCCCCGCAGGCAGCCAGGGACGAGGGCCAGCCAGGTGTGGCGTTCACATTCTCTGAAAAATCCCTTCGCCCAGGATTTTTCTCCTGGGAAGCTGAGAAGCCTCAGAGAAAAGGAAAACAATTCTTATCTCATTTGCTTCTCCTGGGTTTTGCTCATGTGGAATGTGGTTGGAGATTGTTTCCCCACAGGTGATTGTTTCATTGGATTCTGGTGTGAGTTGTTTTGATTCTTTGGCCAATTCTGGCCAAGCTGTGTCAAGACTCTGGAAATAGTCAGGAGTTTTTATTATTATCTTTTTAGCATTCAGAAAGTATCCTTTCTGTATTCTTTAGTATAGTATAGTATTCTATAATATAATATAATATTGTAAAGTAGTAAGTTAGCCTTCTGAGAACATGGAGTCAGGCACATCATTCCTGCCTTCGTCGGGGCATTCCCTGTGAATACAACAGCCAGGGGCACAGCTCTGCCTCCCACCCATACCAGCTGTGGGTGAGGTATTTGTGCTCCAAAATCCCTTTTCCCCCCCAAGTTCTAAGATCCAGACAGCCTAGCCATGAGTTAAAGTTGTTTTTCCATCATGTCCTTCCCGGCTCTCTGGGCTTGGCTGTGGGGATGGGGACATTTCCAGCCCTGCCTCTGCAGTGTCCCCAAACGACAGGGTTTATTTATTCCTGGGCTTGTCCTGCTCCTCTGGGGCACAGAGGGCCCTGGAAGCACCAGGACCAGCCCGGCCCCAAGGCTGCCAGAGCTCCAGGGGCGTTTGGCCAGCGCTGCCAGGGCTGCTCAGGGTGGGGGTTATTGGGGTGGCTGTGCAGGGACAGCACTGATGATCCCTGTGGCTCCCTTCCAGCTCAGGATATTCCAGTTTCCCATGGCTCTGTTGGCCAGTAATAGGTTGGGCTCACCCACAGTGGGGTTTTCTCCTCTGTCAACCCCTCCCCTGCTCGTTTCACCCTCCAAACCCAACCAAGGAGCCCAGAAGTGACAAGGGGGGGATGGCAGGCGCAGTGGGACGGGGTTGGTGACGGCACAGATCCCTCCACACAATCCAAACAACGCCATCCCTGAGGCAGCTCTGACCCAGCTGCAGAAAAAACACAGCGAGCAAAGCCAAGGAGGAACCCGGGGCCGGGAAGGCAGGAGGAAGGAGCTCCAGAAAGCAGAGCCATCCCTCCCTCCTCCCCAGAGGCTCTGCCCAGGGTTTCTGCCTCCCGGGAGCCTCATGCCAGAGGCAGCGCGTTTTCCTTGACTTAACCTTGACAGCTCCGAGCAAAACATCTCCCAAATCATTTCAGAGGGGACATAATGGAGACAATCAAATGGCTGCTGCTCAGGAACTGCGATTATGCCTCGCAGCGTGAACCCCGCCAAGCATTTAACTAATACCTGATGGCTTCGCAGGCTTGCACAGCCTGTCAGACCCTGCTTTCTCTATTATACCAGCAAACCTCTGCTTTTCGGCCCCAGCGTGCTCTTCCCTCTCCATTCACTTGCAATACAACCTGTAATTTTCTGCCCACTTTGCTTAAGTGCTGGTGATTTGTTGAAATCACAAAAGACAGCCAGGGGCTTTCAGAGCCAGCACACCGGCTGTAAGCAAGGATGGGGGGGGAATTCTGCACAAAACCCACCAGCTTCTCTCTTTTTCTCCTTGTCAAATCATCTCCCAGGGGTGGAAGAGAACTGAGGAGCATTTATGGGCTCCGAGGGAGGTGGAGGAAGAAACGGAGAGGGGGATCCTGGGTGCGGTTGGCCAGGTGGGGACAGGTTTCCCTGGTGGAAAGGTGGGATGGGCTGATGTGGGAAATGGATTTGTAGGGAATTCTCAAAGCCTGGCAGAAGGCTCACACAGTGTGCACCTGTATGCAAAGCTTGAGATAAGAAAGGATGACTTAGAAACGCCATGGAATGGGACAGACATTGCTGAGAGAGAAATGGAACTGGAAACAAGTTTTAAAGGATGGCCTTGCAAATAAAACTGGATACTTTGGAGAACCATAAAAGGTGCATTGTAGTAGGACCCAAAAAAATAGTTTTAGATTATTAGTTTAAGGCATTTGCAGTATGATGTGGCAAAAGCTGATAGGCCAAGAAACCTATCTTATAGTGAAAATGTGTTATAGAAGGAAAGTAAAGAAAAACTCCATATATCCTATAGAAACCTGGCTTATAGTGTATTGTAATTAGGAAATAGTTGGCTTCTGATTGTGCTGATGTGAATTGTAACACCTGTACTATCTCACCC